AACGAAGGAAAAGGAGGAGGCTTAGAAATATATTAATACCTTAAAAGGCGGAAGTAATAACCCGGGGAACGAGTAGCATATCCTAGGGAACGGAGGTAGTACCTAAGGATACGGTACGTATCCTAAGGCGCGGAGAAAACGGATTAGATTATTAAGGCTAAACGCCGAAGAAAAGGACGGTAAGGCGTACTTTTTTTTTCCGGGAAGGGACCTTATATAATAAGCTATACTTATTATAAGGCCTTAGCTAGTACTAGGGCTTAGTACGTAATTAATACCTACGAAGGATAAGGCTAATTATTATAAATGCGGCTTATACGGCGCTCCTTTTTCTTCTTTTTTTCCTCGGTTAGCTTTAGTTTATTAACATACGGCTTTTACCTAACGAATAGCTCTTAAAACCGTAACAAACGTACCTTATTTAATACGGCTATTTTATTCTATCTTCTATCTTTAGGCCTTCATAAGACTTTATGTTATATTCTTTCGATAACTTTCCTAGCGAACCCGTTAGATTTACTTAATCATTATTTTATATACCGCTATACTTTATATATAGGTACGTATTACCTACGTAAATCTCTTAAATAAAAATAAGTCTATATATATACGGTTTTTAAGACAAGAGCTTAATATAGCGTTAAAATACCTTATATAAACGATTATAAATGAATAGAAGCGTATATTTTTTGAGCCTTCGTTATAGCTATTCCGCGTTACTATGTTTACGCGATTTACGGCATACCTACCTAATATAGTAATACGGTAGGACTAGATTACGAAGGCCTTTTTATAAGTATTTATATAGGCCTCGTACTTATATTTCTATCGTATATACTTAAACCTATAGTTATTATAATTATTATTATAAATTACCTACTAGGATTTATTTATCCGTTCCTTATTATAACCTCTTAGTCTACTATATTTCTTTTCTTATTACTCCTAATTATTATTATAGCTATAATCCTACTTAATTAGCACTGGGTTAGTTATCGGTAGCTAGGCTATTCTTATTCCTATCTAGGTTCCCCTAATAACGTGCTTACGCTATTTCTCTTTAATAGCGCTACCTAGTAACCTAATTACTCTTATTTTAGGAGCGACCTATTATTAATAGTACGTAGTTTCTTTTATAGTCGATAGGTTTAAAAAACGTCGATTAGGTAATTCCCTAACTTTTAGCTAATAAGGAGTTATTTTCGTGGCTCCAGAGCCGTCTTTATAACTTTTACTATCGAAATTTTTCACGTTAGGTAGGATTAATAAAGAGAGCCGATAACTACGGGAACCATTATAATAACCATATATTCTTTCGCTAGCTTTTGATTAGCTAACCTATAAGTTCGTTTAACGATTAGGAGGACTATTCCGTTCTTATTACTTAATTATCTCTTTTAAAGGAATAGTACCTATATTTACTTAGTTTAGTACCTAAATAGTAGGCTATATTATTAATAAACCGACCTCCCCTTTTATATATACGCTTAAAGGTAAATAGTCCTTACCGATTAATACGTTTTAGTTATAAGAGGCTTACGGGTAGTTTAATTCCCTTTATTTTCCCTTATTATAATTCGATACCTGGAGAGGTTTCTCCTTACTTATTAAAAGGTATTACGATACCCTTATTTCATATAAAGATACCGATATACCTTATACTTACGAATTTAATCGGGGACGTACCGATTAGGTTAACGACCTATATAAACGAGACTACGATATACGGATCGATTATATGTTAAAAGAGAAATGGCCTAGATAAACGGAAATAGGAATAGGATTAGTTATTTTACTTTAAGGACCCTTATGGTTGCCTTCCCGGTATACCGGTATATAGCCTAGCTAGCTACGTATATACGGAAAGACTAAGGATTAGAGGACTATAGGACTACTATAAGGACTACCATAAGAATCGATACCGTTAAACTATTACGCTCCTAGTTAGTTAAAATTAATTAGGTTTAGGATACGGTTATAGTTAGCGGCTACTAACTTATTATAGTTTACTCTCGTTATTTCTTACCGTCCGAGACCTTCCTACCTTTTCCTATTAGCCTTTAATTAAATTAAGTAGCTTTTAATTAATTAAGGAACGTATACGAGCCGCTATACTTAATAAATTTAATTATACCTTACGGAATAATTAAGCTAAGGAGGCTGACTTTAAAAATAAGGTCGTAGATATATACTTACCCCCTTGTTTCTTAGTACGCCATATACCTTAGGTATACTACTTTTGGCTTTCATTACGTAAGCTAAACCCCCCTTTTACGGACCACCCCTTCGCGGACCAGGCATTTTATATAGGGTTTACATATAAAAAGCTTATTTTAATAAAAGCCATAAAAAATCGGAAAAAAATCGGAAAAATCGGAGATTTAATTACGTAATCTAATTACTTAATAAAAATAACATATGATTTTCTTGATTTTTTTGCTTATTAATATAAGGATTTTTATACGAATTTCGTTTTTAAAAATTTTCATTAATAGTTTTACATATAATTTATTAGTAAATCTATCAACTATGTATTATATCGCCTTCTTTACGTATTTTATTTATAGTAATAAAGTAAGGCTATAACCTAATGATTTTTATAATAAATAAATAAAAGGTTAATATTAGCTAATCTTATTTTTTTTTATTTTTCCGATTTTTATTAAATTAAATATTAATAAAAAATACTAAATTTTGAGGTTATTTTTAAAGACTACTTTGTACCTATTTTTATAGTAAGAATTCGACTTTTTTAACGGAGCTGTTTTTCTATACAAAGTAATTTCAAAAAATAACCTCAAAATTTAGTATTTTTTATTAATATTTAATTCAATAAAAATCGGAAAAATAAAAAAAAATAAGATTAGCTAATATTAACCTTTTATTTATTTATCATAAAAATCATTAGGTCATAGCCCTACTTTATTACTATAAATAAAATACGTAAAGAAGGCGATATAGTGTATAGTTAACAGATTTACTAACAAATTATATGTAAAACTGTTAATGAAAATTTTCAAAAACGAAATTCGTATAAAAATCCTTATATTAATAAGCAAAAAAATCAAGAAAATCATATGTTATTTTTATTAAGTAATCAGATTACGTAATTAAATCTCCGATTTTTCCGATTTTTTTCCGATTTTTTATGGCTTTTATTAAAATAAGCTTTTTGTATGTAAACCCCATACAAAATGCCTGGTCCGCGAAGGGGTGGTCCGTGAAGGGGTACCCTAACTTATTCTCTCCCTTCTCTTGGTCTTGATTCAGTGGGCTCCATCTCCTTTATCCCACTATGTACCTACCTCTCACCAGCCCCTCTTAATTTGCTTAACGAAGGTGGTAGGTACCTAACTAAACTCATGCAAGACTAGCTCAACTGGCTTAGAGAGCGCCTGTCTATTTACCTATGTCGGATAGTATGTGGTGTTTATCTTAAAGTCGGTGCGGCTCTGGGGCGCCTTGCTCGATCGCGCATGTCGATATTATTTTTACATCTCACTTCTTTTGTACTTTGCTTTTGCGCATCTACCTTCTTATAGCAGATACAACATGAGGGTAGTCTACCTGGGTACTTAAGGCTAGCAAGAGCCCGGTCGGCACTACAGCACTACAGTAAGCGCACTCTAAAGTACTTAAGGTAGGTACCTCTTTCCTAACTGCTATAACTGCCTCTGAGGTACCTCTGATGGTGTAAGGTTCGTCTCGCTGAAGGGTAGGAGATAGGTAGGTGCCTAGGCAGGCAGGTACCTGTGTAATAGTGCTGCGATGGGTACGTCTATTCTGATTTGTGTTCCCACCTGCCTACCTCTTAGGGACCTACGCGGTACCTGCCTTAGGTAGTGTTGTCAATTTGTGTACGTGCACAGTTCCTACTTATATAGCTACGTAGAGCTGGTACGCGCTACCTTCTACGTACCTACGCAGCCTATCTAAGATACCTCGCTAGGTACTGGTACCTGCCTTGTACCGCCTTACCCTGGCTGGAATTGCTAGACGCATTCAATATATTAATATATATAGTGAAATGTAAAGTAGTATAGGTGGGATGCTAAGAAACAAGAGGGTAAATATATATTCTTAACCTTTTATAATTTCTTATCTTTAGTATTATAAATTAACCTTAGTTTCTTATAAACTAGCCTAAGTACTTTATAACTTATCTTAAATTAATTTTATTATTATTATTATTATTATTATTATTATTATTATTATTATTATTATTATTATTATTATTATTATTATTATTATTATTATTATTATTATTATTATTATTATTATAGTTACTATTATAAAGATATTAATACTTTTAGTAATATATTAATACTATAATTAAATTAACTCTACTACCATAAGTTAATTATATTACTGTTGCAAATTATATTATTTTAAAATAGTTTATAATATAATATTTTATTATAAAAAGTTTTCTAAAATATGTTTTTATATAGATAACTAGAAATAAATTTAAAAAGACAATTTTCATAAGTTTTATAAATAAAAAGATAAAGCTATGTATAAAGCAGTAAAATGTAGAAGTTTTAAAAGGGTGAGTGTATGTACTTACCCCACTGTTTCTTAGTATTCTATACACTACTCTTGCCTTTTACTGCGTGCGTATGAGGTACAGATGTGGGTACTTCCAGCTCACAAGCCGTCTCCACTGCTGGGGCTTTTTTCTTCTTGAGGCGAGATATTTCGGTACATCACCGCCCACATTACCACACACCTCTCAGCACACCTCATCATAGGCGCGCACGGCAAACTTTGCGTGCATCACTTTTCCCTCTCCTCCGCGAATGAACTGTCTCTTGGACCGGAAGAGAAATTGCTGACATTTCCCAGTAAATAAAAGGGCACCGGCTATTGCAGCTGCCGAAGAGCCTGGCCCAGCTGGCATCCCTTCCCCGATCTTACCTATCCCGGATTCTCTGTTCCCCTGCTCGCACACAACGTGTCTGACACGTACGTGAGAGAGAGGTTAGATTCCGCAGCAGCATATGACCAGAACCCAAGACCTCGAGCAGGCTAGAAACGTCCCGCTCCTCCCTCCTCGCATGAACCCTCTTGTCTTTCTCTATCCCCTCCGCTACCTCCCTGCCGGTAGAGGTGGTATAAGCACCCAGCAATTCTAAACCGACTTCCCCCCAGAGCTGCTCCAGGCAGCTCACCGTCAAGACGTCTTCATCAAAGAAAAGGAAGATCTCAGCCCGCCAACAAGCCACCAAGGACGAACCCTCGACGTATAGCAGCAGCTCTCCAGACACGCCCATACCGTCCTTTGAGCACGAACCCGATCTTTGCTTCTCCTTCTCTGCCTCCTCCGACATCGTCAGTCCTGCTGCTTCTGTGTATTGCCGGGCTAATTCGTTGCCGCCTGCGTCGAGCCTCCCTCCCCGGCTACAGACGAGCACGAGCTCCCTCAGCTACGCCGAATACGCCTCCTCGACTGCGAGCTCACCCTCCGCTGCCTACGCCGATCTGACCATCAGCAGCGACCGTGGTACCAATACGCCAGCACCCGATCCCGGCTCAGGCTCTGCCGTCCCCAACCTTTACCCTATCGGCAGAGCCACTTCGCCTTTCCCTAAAACCACCCACCACCGCGCATTGATGGGTGGTTCTGCTGAGTTTCCAGAAAGATCCTCCTCTCCGCTCAAGCGGCGGGCCTCGAGCATGGACCCGGATCCTGTAAACCAGGATGCTTCGGAGGATGTCGATATGATTACGGCCCCGCCGTCTGAGGCTTTACGCCTGTCTACATCGGAACGACCCAATGGCACACCCGCAGACAGTCCAGCCTCAGGTGCTGTGGGCGAGCCAGAGGCCGATGCAGCGGACGAAGCCACACCGCCGGCTGGTGCAACATCTAGCACAATACCCGACACAACGTCTGGTACGTTGACTGCTAGCGGATGTCAAATACGTAAGCTGACTGACGGAATACAGGACACCAACCCCCGCCGTCCTTAGAGGCCCATCTTAAAACCATCAGGACATTAATTCAAGAGCAGAACGCCGGGTCCCTTACGCAGGGTCAGCGTTGCTACTTAGTCTCAAGGTCCTGGTTCGCCAAAGTTTTGGATGAATCGTCATCCAAGCATACCGCTGAGGACCTATCTACGGTGCCCCCGGTGGACAATTCGGACATCATCCTCGAAGTTATACCGGATCCTTGCGCTAATGACGTTGCCGATCCGGTGAATCAAAACTTCGTACGGTTGAAGCATGGTTATGATACGGAACAGTTCGAGCCGATACCTCCCGAAGCGTGGAGCTTACTCATGCAATGGCCTGGATTGAAGGATGGCCAGTTGCCTATCATCCGCGAGGCTCAAACTACGAACGACGATGGCACCAATATCATGTGGGAGTGGCACCCGCCTGTATTCCCCATTTACCGGCTTTGGTCTGCGACTAGTGAGATGCCCGTCGAGGCCTCCCTCAAGGCTAGCAACCCGCCGCCTCCGAGGCTTGTCCGCAGTCGCAGCACAATATTCCAAGAATTTTTGAAACAGGCCAAAGGAGTAGCGAGTATCGACTTAGCCCAGAGGGTTCGGGCGTGGAACGTTCCACAGCCGGTAGCAAATGTAGATGCCGTCGGCGCATCCGTGCCGACCCCTCCCGCCTCCGAGGACGGCCGGGGGGAGCCTCCCGCCTCATCACAAGCCTGGAGGCATCTTCTCCTAGACGTCGATTCTTTTAATGCGAGTCCTTTAGCCAGGGAATTGGTCAACTTTGGGGATCTCACCCGCCAAGATACCCCATCGACTAAGACGTTGAGCTCCTTGGGCCTGGGCCAGGACCAGGCCATAGTACTCGATGTTCACGAAGGCGGCCACAATTGGACCTCTACCCCTGTGCCTTTTCAGACGAGGACGTCTCTCCCGACCAGAAATAATTCCACCAGCCTGACTGTGCAAAATCGAAATTCCAGGAGTGGACGTACTAGCCCTGTGTCACACGGCCTCCAAACGCGTGGCAGATCGCTTAAGTCGGACAAAATTCCCGGCTGTGTCGGATTGGCAAATCTAGGAAATTCTTGTTATATGAATGCCGCCCTTCAATGTGTCAGGAGCGTTGAAGAGTTGACCAAATACTTCCTTTCCGGAGAGTGGGAAAAGGAGCTGAATAAAGAGAACTTGCTTGCGCACAACGGCGATGTAGCCGCAGCGTATGCCCAGCTGCTAAAGGACATATACAGGGATCCCAGCCCAAGCTCTATATCGCCTCGCCAATTCAAGAACACCATCGGACGATACTCGGCAGGGTTCTCCGGTTATGGCCAGCAAGATTCCCAAGAGTTTCTCGGATTCCTGCTCGACGGTTTGCAGGAGGACCTTAGTCGAATAAAAAAGAAGCCCTACATCGAGAAACCCGATTCCACGGACGAGATGGTGAACGACCCCGATGCGATCCGACAGATGGCTGAAAAAGTATGGGATATTACGAAGAAACGGGACGATTCCGTAATTGCAGATCTCTTCACTGGTCTCTACAAGTCAACTTTAGTTTGCCCGGAATGTCAAAAGGTTAGCATCACCTTTGACCCGTTCAACAATCTAACATTGCCTCTCCCCGTGGAGAACAAGTGGAGCCATACGATCAAATTCTTCCCTCTGAACGACCGACCAGTCGATATTAGAGTCGAACTAGACAAACATGGCAGTATCAAGTCCCTCAAGGAGTTCGTGTCCGCCCGAACGGGCGTGCCGGTAGAGCGTTTGTTCGGCGCGGAGGAATGGAAAGGGAAATTCTATAAGCACTATTCCGACCTCGCGTGCGCCTCAGAGGAGATTAGTGCCAATGACAACGCTTGGATTTTCGAGATAGAGGCCAAACCCACCAACTACGGTACTAAGCCTCACAGGCAGCAGAAGCTTGGCTTGCCGGTTAGGTCCATGGTCGACGAAGGGGAGCATAGTGTGTCGGCATCTTGGGATGACGAACAGGCCGCAAGGTTACTGGTCCCTGTCTTCCATCGACGCCCATCTAAGAAAGCGACCCCCTTCCAGTCATCCAGGTGGACGTCCGCCTGTTTGCCTCACTTCATCGTGGTGACGCCTGACGAAGCTAGAAGTGAAGACGCCATTCGTCGTAAAATTTTAGAAAAGGTAGCGACTTTTACGAAGAAAAACATCACTTCCAGTGTTGAAGACACAGACGCTTCCGACAGCACCGATTTAGAGTTGATCGGCGTGGGCAGCTCCGATGCCGGTTCTTCGAATGAGGGAAGGATCATCGCACAATCCGTCAAAGGAGAAGACGATATAGTAGATGTACAGATGAAAGATTTTGGTGTTAAGGGTAGCACACCAAGGTGCGTCTCATGAGAGGGTTATTGTGAAAGGTAGGGAGAGCGCTAACTTATTTTCAGCAAACCCGCCGTGAAACATATTTTCTGCCGTAAGAGGCCGGCCTGGGTCGACCCCATGGCATTCCTGCAACCCGAGCTTCAAAATTTGTTTGATCTCTCATATTATTCCGAGTCAGGGGCATGGTTGCCGACGGGCATGAATGGCGTCAGCGATGACAAGGACTATCCTAGAATTTCTCTACGAGCCCCTCCTGCGTCGCCTTCATCAGAGGATCAGCTTGATAATGCAACCAACGGCACCGCGTCGAACGAAGATACTAGCTCAGACGAAGCGCCCCGACAAAGCTTAGAGCAAACCTCGACTCGCATGAATGATGAGAGCGATGACGAAGGCGTTAGCCCAGTAGTCAAGGTATGCCCCGGGATCCTGCCCGCTCGGTTTCGACGCTGGTTATCCCCCAGACGTTATTGCTAACAGCTACCTAGGCCGTGCCCCCCCGACTTAAACAAGGGGGGCGAAATAAACATAAAGGTAAACACGGATATGGCCAAAAGCAGCAGAAGACATATAAGTCCCACAAAGGCAACAAGAAGCGAATGCGTCCTCGTCATCATAAGGAGAGATCCCTGAATTTGGAACATGAGGATATATTCAGCACGAATGAGGCTGGTCCCGACGGAGGTCCGCTAATCCGTCTAAGAGAAGCCCTCGTTGTGGACTGGTCCGGTCGTGCTTACGACGAGCTCTTTGTGGATAGCCGCTCTCCGTCTCGCCACAACTCCCTAGCCACCAACTCGCTGGCCACCTGGGACGAATGCGAGCTATTGCCGGACCCCGACCTCGACAAGGCCCAAGCTGCCCGGACGAGGCGCCGTAAGAACGGTATTACTCTCGAAGCCTGCCTAGATGAGTTTGAGCGGGAAGAAATTCTGTCCGAACAAGACATGTGGTATTGTCCCCGGTGCAAGGAGCATCGCCGTGCTAGCAAGAAATTCGATCTATGGAAAACTCCAGACATCTTAATCATCCACCTTAAGCGATTTAGCTCTAGCGGCTTTAGGAGAGATAAGCTAGAGGTCCTCGTCGACTTCCCTCTGGAGAATTTAGACATCACTTCCCGTGTGCTACAGAGGGAAGCCGGGAAGCAAGAGGTGTACGACCTGATCGGGGTTGACAATCATTGGGGCGGCCTAGGAGGTGGCCATTACACTGCCCATGCGAAGAATTTCTTAGATGGTAAATGGTATACGTGTAACGGTATGCGTCACTTCGTCGACCCGAATTCGACACATATGCGCTAACCCTAATAACAACAGACTCCATTGTAAATGAGGCATCAACAGATAGGATCGTTGATTCTGCTGCGTATTTGCTCTTCTACCGTCGCCGATCGGAAATACCCCTGGGCGGTCCCAGGTTTCGGCAGATCCTGGAAAAGTTCGTTGACCAAGAGTCTTCCGACGATGAGCTACCAGGATCGGGGGAAGGCGAGCGTCTTGGCGAGTGCTTCTCCCGAATTGGGTCGTCGAGCGCGTCACTAGAAGCCAAAGCTCTTCGCCAGCAAGGAAAGATTAATGGCAATAATGATTGGGATGTTGGCGAGGTCGGACCCGTCCACAACATGCTCCCAAACCTGTCCCAAGGCGTCTATCGGAGTATAGAGGAAGACGAAGGGGTAGATCTGACCCAGGACACGGCCCGGTCTACAGGCTTTCAACCCCTAACTGGAAACAATTCCTGGAATTTCGACAGTCTCGGGGGCGAAAGTCTCCGTTATGAACACGACAGCCCCCTTGATTCGGGCGCAGCCACAGACGAAGCACAGCACGATTCATCTGGCGATGAACAAGTGATGGGTCCTCACAACATGGACGTGGAATTCGAACCAGATCTCGAGCAGGATTTCCCAGGGATGGCACACTATGAGCTGCCTTCGCAGCCTGACGCGGATCCGCCATCGTACAGCGAACCTCCCCCTCCCGACTGTCGGGGCGAGGTAACTCGAGACGACATGAACCATATATGGGATCAAAAGCAGGTTCACAAAGTTCCACCGGAGGGCGAGATCGAGACACGATCTGAGGCCGCCGCAGAGATTCACCTAGACGATAGCGATAAGCTCGACGACAAGCTCGACGACAATCTCAAGCTTGGCTAGAGTCTAACTGGGGTTTCTTTTCTTCTTCTTCCTCTCCTTATCATTGGGACCTATTCTGGGGGCCGCCTAGGGCTGATACCGGTAGTCTTTCCCGAAGAGCACCTCGATCCATGACATGAGGCTATAAATAGGGTGTGCCTTCATTCCAGCGGACTGTCTAGTAACCGGAAGCCTACGAGCAGTCGCGCGGGTAACCCAGTGTTTGATTCGTGAGTAGATTCGCGTGGGTAGAATGACGCAATAAGGCGTCTTGGCTTGGTGCAGCACAATCTCATAATGGGGGCAATTGACGACCGTTGGGACATGCATAGGCCTCGGCGTATTTTAGAGGTGGCCTACACGATGCGAATGCTGCGATACGATATAGGCACGCGGTCCTCTTTCTTTTTCTTGGTAGGTGAAACACGAGAGAAAGGACGGAGGGTTCTCGCGTTGGTTTGTGGGGAAGAGGGGAGACGAGGAGGGAGGGAGAGGGAGAGCTCGCATCGATACAGGAAAAGTCGATCCAACTTCTCGAGTCAGCCGGTTTCGTTGTAGTGGTCAACCTCCGGGGTAGGTGGAAGGAGAAGGGGGGGGGGGGGGAAGCATTGCATACGAGGGTCATGCGTGTGAGGGCAGCACAGTTGAGAGGGGAAGAGGCCTGCCGGCGCGGTCTTATGAGTATACATACAATGGAGTTTATTTCAATAGACTGACTGAGCTGGTTTCGCGTGTGCGCCTGCGTCCATGTAAATTTGCGCCTGTACGAGGCTTACGATGCTTAATGTAGCTGTCATTGCTATCATCATCGTAACCGAGAAAGAAGGCCGTTGCTCGCTTCTGCTTTCAGCCCGCGTGCTAGTAACGGTAGGCGATGTTGGTTTGAGGAATAGTACAGTGCCCACCATCATGTCCTTTTATATTCTTGGTTTCGGCCCTTGTTTCGCCCGTCGGGACGTACCCGACACCGAAGGTGGTGGGGAGCGAGGGGAGGGTGTCAAGAAGGAGGCCCTATGTCGAGAGGAAGACGCATGACGCCCAATTCCCGCATCCCCCTCCGTCTTCCCCCATTTCGTCGCCCCTCAGCGGCATCGCGGCCCTAGTCTCGGCGTCTAAGATAACAGGCGCTTCCATATTTACAATCCGTCGCACGTCTTGCGCCTGGCTACCGCTACCTACCGACTAACAGGCCCGGCTTCGGGGGGGGAAGGGGGGAGGGGGGTAACATGCCTCACATTATCGGTCCGGCCCGGCAGAACAGAATAAGCGGCCGAGACGCGAGTTTCTGGCCCCGGCTGCTACGTGCGTCTACCAAAGAAGTAGGGAAGGCAAACTAGGTCGTGGTGAGCTAAGAGTTACGCGTGGGCGCCACTGTCGGCGACGCATCTCTTCTAACCGGAAAGACACTCCGATGAGATGGAGAGAGTGTGTGTATTTTTTCCCTACAAGCAGACCCAGCAGAATCCATCCAGGCTTCGTCTCCCTCTTGCTCCTTACAGACGATACCTGGTTCGCTCCCTTCTTACAAAGCGGTTTTGGCCGGAGACGACCAGAAGGGACGGTTGCTTGTCTCCCAGCTCTTCGCTAGAAGAGTAGGACATGGTCGGGACGACCCGCGGTCGGCAGAGAATCGATAGACAAAATGGTATGTATAGGCGTAGTAGACGGTAAGCTCGGGGCCCTTCCGACGACCTCGAGCGCGACTACTCCGTCTGTAAGCACAGGGCAGCTCGTATACGGGAAGCCGATGTCTTCCTCCTTGGCCAGTAGCGGGAGGGGGATTCCGCTCACCCTCATCATTCATATGAGGCTGGCCGCTCCGGATCACTGGCCCTCCATTTTACGTCCGCATATTTATAAGGGCCACCTTCTGCAAGCCAATCGCGAGAGAACATATTCCCGAGAAACCAGGTGGAGATAACTACGGGAAAACGTGTCAAGAAAATAGGAGATGAGACAACAGAAAAGAGGCTAGGTCCGGGACCAATCACTTTGGCAGTCGTGGGGAGATCCACAGCGTAAGTAGGTCCGGAATATCTAGATAAAATCAGGGCTAGATGCGTACGGACGGCGGAACGAAAGAGCTGGAGTTTGGGCTTCCGCTAGGACAGAGGGTACTGGGGGCAACATACGCTATTGAAACGTCTGGCCGTAAAAGATTAAGAGCCTAGATATAACCCATAGACACGCGACGGCTATATTCAATGCCCAAGTTTACCGCGTGAGTGGGAGGAGCATGGTGGCTCGTACGATCGGTGCTTGCCCCATGGGGCATCTCCGCCCCAAATTCATTCTAGATCACGAGAAACCGTGACATTTGGCCATAGGAGACAGGACTAGCGAGTATCCCCTAGCGAGTATCCCGAGCCCGATATGCAACAGCGGTTGCGTCTGTAATCGCCTATTATAGGTCTTTCTCATAGAGGCGACACGTCAACCTCCCGATGACGATTCGTTCCACACGGCAGATGGAAATATGTTGTGGCGGAGTTCTAGTGCCAGCGGTGGGTGATGGGCGGCGATCCAACCGTGCAAGGAGGGGGGGGGGGGCACTCTTTTCTTTTGCGTCGGCGTGTAGAAACAGCGAAGCCGTGTCTAAACCGGCCAAAACCCTCCTTCGAGAATTATTCCTAACTGCCTGGCCAACCAGGGTTCGCAGGACCGGGGATACAACAGCAGTCACGCGACGACAGCTCGTTGTTCCCGGTCGCTATTAGATGAGACAAATATAGAAGAATGCGTAGGCGATCGAAGAGACGCAAGATTAATGGTGGGAAGGCAACGGCAGCCGCCTCTTATAGGCAGACGCCTTGCCGACGTCTGGGACAACTCTTGGCGGCGGAGGATCCAAGCGAAGTCCAACCAAGGCAGGGAGCAAGCCAGTGGGAAAGAGAGGGAGTTGCGGGATATTCCGCACCACACGAAGGGCAGGTTTCGAGCCCGAAATGGTTGGGATCATGGCGCGATGTGAAGATGCCGCGCAGAGCTGTGACCCTCCTCCCCTCACAGCTGCTGTGGTTTAGGGTATCAGATGTCATCGTTTCGTTCTCAACTCTGTCGATGCCCGATAAGCGACGTACTTTCGCTTAAAGGTGAGAGCCTCATATGCATATACGAGGACAATAAAGCCTGGCAGGGGAAGCAGCATCACGAAAGGGCGGGGGGCGGGAGAGGAAACGACCGGGAGCTCCAGATTCCGGGTGTTGAAAGGCGCAAGTACACAGCAAACAGACTCTCAATCCTCGCATGTGTGCTTCAGCACCTGAGTTCTCTCTTTCACCCACCCTTCGCTGCCGCGCGGACCGGGATTTTACCAATAGTGGCCAGTACACGAGACGTAAATTCCGGACAGCTAGGAGACATTCTCGCCTATGGGGGGGGGATAACGGGGATGGGCTAACCCGGCGACCAGAAGTGCTATACTCTTACCGCATGGTATTCACTCGTGAAACCCGGGGAATTGTCTGGCTGGAACGTGGTGTACAGCACAGCACAATATAGACAAAAGAGCGAGGGTGCACGACACCTCGGGTAGTAATACCACCCACGCTAGGTAGGCCCGCTTGCGTGTATTTGGCCGTGGCACTTTGGGGCGGCTGTCGCATTTTCCGATATAGACAAACTGGATCTCGTTTTGCTTAGCCTTGCTGCTTCGTCAATCGCGTCACGTTCCGGCAATCCGGCCGCAGCCCCCGACCAGATGAAGAAGGTAGCTGGAGGAAATGCGCATGTATGCGAGGAGTCGCTTGGGGAACCCCTTATGATGGACAAATTGTCAGCGGTCCCGAGCCAGGCAAACCAAGGTAGACCGAGAGAGGCAGGTGGGAGGGTGGGAATAGCTGCGTGAAGAGAAAAAAAAAAGGAGCAGGGAGGTAGACAGGGAAAATGGGTAGATCGTTGACATTTAAGCTCGGTCAAGGGTCCTGGATGCCAGGAACGAAGCCGTGGAAAAACAGATCCGGCGGCCTCGATTCGTGATGTTTCGCTTGTGTGGGGTCGATAGAAATCCGGCGGGAGTCTTTATTGGAAAGAAGAAGCTCGAAGAGGAAGGTCGTTGAAGCGGCGGCAGAGCTGCTGTTTGGGGTTGACGCAGCCCACTGACTAATACCGCCGGAAAGCGATATCGTCCTGACCTCCCTCTTGCGAGGCGATACGATGGCCAAGTCCGGGAGGTATTCACCAATGGGGTTATACGTCTGAGGCTGGGTGCGAATTGGCCGTAGGCAAAGCCTCCGGGCATCGATCAAGAGATTCGCATCATCGCCACTCCTACCGCCGTCGTCGTGGTTTCCGTCGTCGTAGGTCTTCGCAACAAGGGCAGAGACGGACGTGAGTGCAGGATTCGCGGGATTTCCTAGCCAGAACCTGCTAATCGGTGAAGACGGCGCGTCGAGTTGTTGCTGACTCGTTTGGCACCGGATTCGCTGGCCATGAGCGGGCTGTATGACCTCACTGGAGTCCTTCGTAGTAAGGGAGTGATGGAGGAACCGGGGGCCTCTCATCTACTTTCCCAAGGACTCACCGTTTCTTTCTGACAGCAATCTCTTGTCTCGATCGGCCAGGCTGTTGGGACAAGAGAGTGCCGTGACATGGCACGCATTCCGAGGCCCAACTCTGTCGAATACCATGGCCCCCGCATGCATGTAGGTCTTCTCCCTGGGAGGCTTGGAGGCGGCCAGGCGATGGAGCCGACCATGTAGCAGGCATGTCGATGTGGTAGACAGGTAGGTAGGTAGGTAGGCAGGCAGACGGAGAGGTGACACGCCTCGGGCGGAAAAACGAGGACGATCAAGTCGAATGGGAATAGGAAAGAGACCATGGTAATGATAACGAATACAGTACATGTTTGTCATGGATTGCCTAGGCATTGGTACACTACCGCCTGCTGTAACCCGCCAGAGATGCTATACCCACACTATGTTGGCCCGGATCTGCAGCGTGAGCCATATCGAATTGCGATTGATGGGATCTAGATGGTGTGTGGGTTCGAGTGTGAATGGATTTTGGCCGACCGTCGTCTGCCTGCCTTCCTCGGCCTTGGGTACGTACCTGTCCTGGCGCCGCCCTAGGTACCTCCTGTACGTACATTAGGCACATACATATACGGGTATGAGGTATTGTACCTACGTAAATAGAGGTACTTCTATCTAGACTATCCCATAGGGACTTGCATAGGTAGGTATACTGTAACGCACCTACCTATCTACCTTAGGTACCTCGTAGAATGCCTGCGTGCATAGAGGAAGCAACAGAAAATCAAAATCGAATAGATTTATCAAGTTAAGTCATCCATCCACCCACAGACGGTTGCAAAGTGGATTGAGAGTTGCATATGTTTGGGAGGTATATATGTAGGTACACATCTACATTTACTCTAATGCCTGCCGTTAGGTGTCTGCTTCATAACACGTACCTAGAGGCAGATTGCATCCACAGACCCAATACACGTATGCATAGGTAGGTACCTAGGTACCTAGGTAGGTAGGAGGTACCTGTTTAGGTACTTCAACATGCCTCTATAAGTACATGTGGCATCCATCTATGGACGCAATCATACATGTCCTGGGGGTACCTAATGCATATGATAGTATATACGTGTATACATCCACGCGCTCTATGTGTTCCATCCTATAGGTACTACCTACCTATCTATGTACATGGGCGCCTGATGTATATACATACCTCTCTCTATTATACCTACCTTGAGCAGGCAATCTGTACGATGCATCTCCCATTGGCTGGGTGAATCTACATTTCCCGTTTTATCCACTCACCCACCCATCTTTTTTTTTCCTTCGCCCTTCTAGGCATGGTTGCCACAGTCTTCGATAAGCCTTCTCGAAGCCATCGAAGCCAGCTAGAAGCCCTCCAAGACCGCGCAGGGTTGCTCGGTCAGGCAGGGGCCACCCGGGCCACCACGCAGGGAACTGCAGTGCTGCAGCCAGTCATATCCACCTGTTCCCTGAAGCTTGTCTCTCTAACAGCCCCTGCTTACGATGCATGGACTAAGAGAAACGTAAGCAGCCCGTGAACCTGAGTCGAGGGATTCTGGACGGCAGCTCCGAAAATCCGAAATCCTAAGCTAGGCGCTGTTTGACCTTGTTTTTTTTTTTTTTTTCTTCTTCCGCTTTCCCCTTTGCTTTCCACTTCCCTCCTATTGAGGTTTAGGCGGTCTCGCCAGTTCCACCATCTATTTCACCATCGGCTTTGCGGGTTGCGATACTGAGCAAAGTACAGTACACGTAGGGAAGTTGTTCCACCCTACGATCAGCAGCACGGATGCTTCAGCAGTGACGAGAAAGAATTGAACTCCACGTGTACGGCAACCTCGTGTGGCGTGGGTGTACATGCACATCGTGCGGCCAATTAGATGGGGCCTGCGACACAATCAATGTCTCCGGTATTCGTACCGGTACCTACCTTCCTAGCGTACCTCCTCCTCTGCTTCTTGCGAAAGGGAACCTTACTGTGGGAGGTACTTAACATACCTGGGGAGATACCGGCCTGCCTCTACATCTTGCTGGTTAAGATAACCTACGAGTACATGTTAGGTGTCTACCTCATATAGGCACCCAATGCTAGGCGAGATCCACACGTTACAAAGTGCAACACTGCCTGGAGGTAGTGTTCACCTCGGATGGCGAGCTCGTAGAAACTTTCCGCTATAGCATCATAGGCTCGGTCGGGAAGGTTCCAACGTTGTAGGACCTACCTAGCAAGAGAGGGGCTAGCATGGGGCCGCGTACGTTAGGTGGAGGTTGCGGACCTAATGTCCGCTATCAGGCGTTCCGTGCGCGGTAGAAAGATAGAGATGTATCCGGGTACCTAATCGTCTTCATGGGGGAGCAGATCCGATTCCAGAATGCAGGCATTCTGGTATCTGAGACGGGTACGCTTGCAAGGCAAGGTTTAAGAATCCGGTCAGAATCCAGCGGCAGGATCGTAGTGCAGGAAGGTGGGTGGGCTGACTGGATGCGCCGTCCGAGGTATCTTAGGTAGATATGAGGTTTACATCTACCTAGGTAGGTACCTACCTACCTACCTACCTACCTAGGTAGGTCCTAGGGTAGATTGAACATACTTACCTATACATAGGTACACATGCACCTACCTGTGTGGGTATTTACCTACCTAGTGTACATATGTATTGAAGTACCTGCCCAAGGTGCCTTTGCTTAAGAAAGTAAAGCTCCGCGGTGAAGAGGTAGATCAAGCTAGATTACCAGGTCGGTACCTGCCTTCGATACTGAACACATGCAACAAAATAGAAGAGGTAGGTACCCACGGTCCTAAGGACCTAGGTATATATCGTGGGCAGCTATATGTACCTCTTAGGCAGGTATATATCAAGAGAAAAGCGAAGGGGAATAGAGATACAAACTAGGTGGGTATTTAAAGGTGCTTAACATATGCGTGGTACATTTTGTATAGGTTCGATTAAGAACCTTGAGTTGGGTCGCTACATGGCTGAAGGAGCTGTTATAGACGATGGGCTGATAGAAATACAATTGAGATTGTATCTGCTGAATGTCCTTGTCATGGAATCATTCTATCATTCTACATGCCTGGCCACACTTCCCCAACCAAAGAGAGGGGCCACTGCCTCGATAGGCCCATCCAGGTTTGATAATGTAAAACCATCGTGGTTGGTTTCATTCTCAGATATGTGTGTGTACCTAATGCATATAGGCTAGGGGCTGTTAGCTTAGGCAGGTACATATAGCCTCCTCTATCCTGTACCCAGACGGTTCGCAGTTGATGGATTTAACTGGATGTCACGGAAGCGGGCGGGATCCCCTAGCCTTGCCTCTGCCATCGAAGACATCTAGAAGAGCGCGCTGCAGGGTAGAGGGTAGGTAGAATAGGTACTGATGTGTATATGCACACAACACATAGGGAACATTCAAAGGTGGGTTGATTCAAATTAATAAGACGTATTCTAGGCGGGTACATAATGTATCGCCTGGGTGGATACCTTAGGTACTTGGGTACCTATCTACCTAACATCTAACCATAGGTAGGTAGGAGGTACCTAAGGTATGTAACATTACCTGCTGAATGTATATATCTAGGTGTGTACTGTATATGTCTAGGAGGTATCGAAGCTAGCCTCCTTGGCCTGTTCTTGATGTATATATAGAAGTACCTGAATGTAGCACATTGGTTGGGGTCCTGAGCTAATTCCAGTATCTATCCATTGTACAATTACCTACGTCAATACACAACACGGGTACATTAACCTGCTCGACTCCATTGCCCGTTAGGTTGAGTACATGCCTAGGTTAGTGGGCCTTCCACCTGAGTTCCAACCTTAGCAAGCTCATTGCCGTCGCACTAAAGGTGACACTGGATCAATCGCAGACTCGCCGACTTCACCAATTCATTCCCTTTCCCTTTTTCTCCCTCTTCCTCCTATTAACAGCCCAGTTGGGGTTTTCGAAGACTACACCCTTTTTTTCGCACCATCATTTGGTATTCTCGTCATCCTTTTGCCCCCCCTCGAGACATCTGATCTCCTCGCTAGCTTTTATTTTGTCCAACCGTCTGGTTCGATCCAACTGTACCATATCCCTTTCCCTCCATTCATCGACAAACCTCCCTTGTGTCTTGTACAGAGTCTCGACCTATCTCATCGTTAGAACACCTACGGGGAGCAGCAGGGAAAAAAAAAAAGAGAGACGAATTCCCGAAAAAGAAAAGGAGAGATATATATATATGCTCAAAATTGACGAGTATTTCTCTGGGTCCCACCAACACCCATCGCTACCACCACCAACCCCGACGGCCGAATCCTTCCTCTATCTTCTTGACGTACAGAGACCACACCAAACCCATACAGACCAAACATTATCGCGAGGCCCCTCGATCACAGACGTTGCGAAACCATTGTCATTCCCGTCCCGGTGTAACATCTTCCTTTCTCCAGAAGCACAGGATCGTGTGAGGCGACCAGCTAACCCCTTCGACTCGTTTCCCCATACTACCATCGCAGCACTCGTATGCGTTTTCTCGCCTGCCCCGAGTCCATGTTACTAATCCGTTCCACCATTCCTCGACTTCTTCCTTCGACGACCTGTAGCCAATAGCTGTAGCGCACCCAGCCCGTTACATGCGCCTTTTGTGTGCTTGGTATCCCTGGACCGTTGACCCAGTCCTGACCTGAGTGGCCAGCCGTGGAAGCACCCTTCGAGTTTCGAGTCCCGCCCTTGCGCCTCGATCATCGTTTTCCTTACTGTCGCATACACACGATACACTAGTATAACTGCTAGCCGGGACATTGCTCGGCGTCTCCTCGCAATCCTATCAATCACGTCTCTTTTCTATACAATCGTTCCCCTCCCGCAGTCGACTCCGGTTGCGACGTCAATTGCGACAACAGAACTACCCTTGGCGGAAGCGCTCCGGTCGCCAGACTGGATGCCATTGCCCGCCGTTATGGATAGTGCGACATGTAATGTGATCTACGTTGATCGTAATGTGCACGAAGACCGAATACTGCGACTTTCGAGCGCAAAGCTATCGGAGTCTGGTGAGCTTCGGGCTAATCTGGGACTTTTGCTTGACGCTTTCGGCGACGGTCAGTTCATAGCACCGGAGTCCTGCGTTCAACGGACGACTAACACGCTTTACAGTGCACGTATGCGCCAGTGGTGCTGCTTGTATATCCAGACTGTTTCGCCTCCATGATACCTCTATGGTAGAGCTGAAACCGACGCTTGTACTGATTGATACACCACACGACGAACGGGTAGTAGAATCGCCGCTACGCGAACGAGATTATTCCCCTTTCTCCGAGGTCTCTGAAGCAGAGGAAAACGACGACTACCCCGAGGCCGAATTATACGGATTAAAGCTCCTGCAACGAATCGTATACGAGACCCATCTTAGAAGCCTATCGAGACTCGTCGTACCCATTCCCGTCATCAGCTTCCCCCTGCTGCGTAGCCCGCCGGCTAGCGACGGTGCGAACGATGATCCAATGCAATCGGCCTATGCTGGATATCTCTCAGAGGCGCCCAATGGAAATGGTAACTCGTTAACCAACCGCGCCCTACTCAGGAAATGCCTGGACTCTGGCGCCGTGGATGTGATGGCCAGTCCGCTGCATATCAAAACCTTGACGACACTAGAGGTTCACGCATACCGAGCTCACAAAGAAGCCGCTAGGGAACAGCAGGCCGTGCTAGAGATTCAGAGAGGCCGCAAGAGGTCGTGGGTCGGGGTGCACGAGGAGCAACCCTACGCGTACCTTAGAGAGGCCATGGTATCTGGGCTGATGAGGGTAATCTGCCTTTCGGGAGCTGAACCCGAAGACCGTATCGGGAGCGTCAAAATTACCGTGCCCTCTGAACGTCGGTCTGAGATCGCTGAGGCGGTGGGCAAGTGGCACTTCTGTGCTCCCGATTTTTGCGACGACTCCCTCCTCGTCGCGGCTATCATCATGTTTAGGCACGCCTTCTCCATGCCTGAGCTGGAACATTGGCGGATTCCAACTGGTGAGTGCTCATACTCGTGCCCGCGGCTCACCACCGTCTTCGTCGAGCGCCGAGCTGACCTGCCACGTAAATCTAGACCAACTAACGACATTCCTCGTCGCAACCCGAGCGGCCTATAATACCTTTGTGCCCTACCATAATTTTCGGCATGCCGTTGATGTTCTTCAAGCTACTTTTAACTTCCTCGTTCAAATCGGGTCCTTGGCACCCTACCCTCACGTACCGGGTTCTCCCTCTGGGTCGACGCGGAAATCCCCGCTTGCGGCTATACTTGGACCCTTCGAGGCATTAGCTCTTCTTATAGGGGCAATCGGACACGATGTCGGACACCCCGGTGTAAACAACGGATTTTTAGTTGTGCTAAATGCTCCGCTAGCACAGCTATATAACGACCGATCCGTCCTCGAGTCTTTTCATTGCGCGGCGTATTCGCAAATCCTTCGGAGATACTGGCCGAAGGTCTTCAAGGATACCAAGATGCGTACCCTAATAATCAGTTCGATCCTGGCAACGGATATGGGTGTACACTCCAATTATATGGACAAGCTCGGTAACCTCAAGGATAATTTGCGCGCGGACGGTTCGACTGACGGATGGCACGGGCGTATGTTAGAAGAGAAGAGGGAGATCCTATGCTCCTTATTGATCAAGTGCGCCGATATCAGCAACGTTGTATGTGGCATATTCGTGAATTCCTCCCCTGTCTTGAGTGTCCCACTGAGGCTGACCATAGCGATAGGCGCGAAAGTACGAAGCTGCGCTGCAATGGATGTATATCCTCTACGAAGAATTTTCGAGGCAAGCAGCAATGGAGAGTGATGTTAACATCCCGTCTTCTCTCATTTCGCCGCCGAAGAAGGATTTTGTATCGCTAGCTAAGGCCCAAATGGGGTTTATGAACATATTCGCCATCCCCCTATTTCAAGGTGTTGCCGAAGTGCTACCTGCGATGCAATACACCGTCGACGAGCTCCAGATAAACAAGACCCTATTCGAACTAACGTTGAAGGGATTTCCAAATATGGACGAGGAGCGAAGAAGGAAGCTGACTGAAGGCATACTCTCCCCTCGTTCTTTGAGCTTAGCCATCCGATCCGACGACGTTAGCGACTTCGCAGACGACACAAAGCGCGAGCTAGCCCGGAATAACTCTGAGTTGAGGAAAGCCGGACCCTCGTCCCCCAATCAACTAAATCACGTCTCTAGTCTTCCAGGACGATACAAAGAGGTGAACGGGGCACCGTCTACCTTGAATAGCGTTGCGGAGTTCTCAGCAAGCGATCCATTTAACATGCATGAGTCGGAGAACCGGGCGATTGGGCACAACGGAAAACAACGATCTAGCGAGACGACCGACGGCAGCAACTCGGTACCACCCGGAGACTGGCAGTCGCAAGCTACTAGTGCTACTACAGGAAAGATGCCTCTCTCGCCCAGCACCCAAGGGACCAGTATCGTTAGTCAAGAGTCTCTCGACCGTCCGGGTAGCGTTCCTGTGACCACGGTCACAGCAGCCCCCGAATGCTACATGGCAACACCGATGGCAAGTTTCGACTCGGCCAATTCAGAGGAGGACTCCAATGGGAATACTCTCAAGCCGGAGAAGGTTCTCAAGAAGAAGACTAGCAGATTTAGGATGAACGTTTCGACTTTTTTCCGGCGGAACAAGGGCGCAAGCTCACCGTCATCCGGCGGTTCTTGAAGACAGGCGCGAGGAGGCAGTCATCAGACGGCAACACGGTACAAGGCACACGATCCTATGAGATCCGACGACACGAGAGCATCGACAAGGCGTTTACGAGCTATTTATACCCGATCAGCTTGGCGACGGCCATACTGATATTTCAACTCCGAAATGAGTTGGGCGGCCCACGGCGAGAGTAATTCCCCGCCCGCCGCAAAAATGTATATATAAATATACGCATAGTGTACACTAGCGAAGAAGGGGGAGACCTCCCGGGGGCCCGGCGGGCCAGTACCTCTTTTTTGGTTTGTTTCTTTCTTTCTTTCTTTCGGGCAGCGGCCGGATGGGGGGGGGGGAAGGCTTTGTGTAATAGGAACCCAGAGGCGGCGACAGGTGGGGTTGCATCACCGCAGATGCATGCATGCACGGCGTTCAGGAAAATGGGCTTGTTGCGGGGCCAGGACATGGAGCCTCCAGGTGAGAGGAAGTGTACACGTGGGACGGGTTAAACCACGGAGTTTACGTTCTTGGACGGGAGTTATATACTAGGGAAGGGAAGGGAAGGGGGGCGGTCCGTGGCCTGCCTTTACGGCTTGCAAGAGAGGCTCTTGGGAAGCAGATACGAGGTAGAGGCGCGCCCATAACGATGTCTCCTATACCGAAATCCAGTAAGTGGGCCGATCCTCACCACTCTGATTTGGGTGAAATTTACCAACTCCTACTACTCCGGTGTATCAGCACGCGAGCAGGTGATGGGAGGCAAGCAGCGAGGCGAGAGAAGCAGACGGATGCGGGTAGTAGTTTTACAATATCTTACCAGCTTTTACTTTTCCAGGAATATTTATATTTCTTGAGAAAGATTTGGCGTGTGCAACGAAACCGCTCGCGGGAAACCGACTGACTCCCCGCGCGTTCACGACTGATGCAAGTGACCGCATCCAGCCACTTGGCTTACACGAGCCACGGCGTGAGAACTTAGCTGTGATACCTTCCTTCTTGTCTTGTTTACCTAGCATCGGTATCGAACTCGGACCGCTAATACTAGTGATTTTGTTGCCGCCGCCGCTTTCACTATTACTTCTGTTGGTCCTGCTGAGCGTGTGTCGTCACCAGGTTTAGCGCCTCTGGCGGCTGTTCAGGAGACGGATCCTTCGACCGCAAAAGAGAAGGGAAAAAAAAAAGAGAGGAAGAGCGGGTACGTTATGCCAGAGCTGCCAATCAGCAGTCGAAGCGGCTGTGTGCTCCCCCTGCTGGTTGACATCATAAGCGGTCGGTCCATGTTAGATCACGGGTCCCAAGTCGGCTCCGCAACGGTGTGGGTGGTGGCTGTTTTATGCGTTCCCCCGTGTCAGGGGTGTGGAAAACGTGCGGTCCTCTTTTTTTTCCTTCTTCTCCTTCTCACCCCACCATCTGCCTCTCTCCCTCTCTCTTTACCTATATAGATGTATTACCCTGGTAGTGATGAGAAGCGGGGAGCGGTGGAGGTGAATGAGGCAGACTACCTCAAATCAGAAGTCGAGGCGTTGGGGGGCGTGGAAATACGGGTTCCATTAGGCGGAATCTGTGCTACGTGAGGAGGTCCCGGAAGCTCGTTTGCTCGTCAGTTGTCAGCCGAAGTAACGGCGTCTCAGTCGGGAGAATTTCACCTACGGCGTAGGTATGTGTGCTATAGTATGTAGGTAACTTGTCCGAGGCAAGGCGACTTAGGAGAGCAGATGCCACTATCCACCCTCCCTTCCCCAGTATGGGAACGAGGGTCTTGTCTGATATACCCAGATATTGATAGTGATGTTTCCTTCTTTTCTATTTTTCCTCGTGTTTTTTAATTCGCAAATATAGGTGGAGAGGAGAAGGGGAAGAAATGCTCGGGGTCGACGCGGGATTGCTTAGTTCTTCAAGAGGCCTAACCTGGGAGAGTTGGCATTATAAGAGGTACCTAGGTAAGTACCGTCAACGAGTTTCTAGGCCAAGGGTTCCCCAGCTTTCGCGAACAACGTGCGCCACACGGGCTGCGAACAGGGGGCCAGTGACAATTCGAGCCAGTTGCCGGTCTGTCACAACTCGATTTGGCCAGGGATCTCATCTGAGTTCTCTGGTCCGTGACCACCGTGCGTGCGCGCTGGGGCGGGCTTTGATCACACTCTCATAGGGAGCGAAAGGACACGGCCAAATCGGGGCAGGATCCCACCATACACCAGGTAGCCGACCGGGGCAGATTATGTACGGTATCTTGGGAACTACCTGAGGTACCTCCTAGGGTATACCTCTAGGTAGAGGCGGGCGGTTAAGTACCTACATAAGTACATACATACATTTGGTGTCTAAGACGGGTCTCCGTCGACGAAATGTAGGTACCTCCCCCTAAACGCCCCCGAATCCAGCGTAATGAATCATGAAAGCATTAGGTCAGGTTAGGCCAAGTTAGGTGCATCGGATTCTGCCTTCGATGAAAAGCTGCAGTTGGCTGTAGGTACCTGGATTGGGCACTTAAGGCATTTACAGGCAGGTTAGGAGGTATCCAGGTTAAGCAGTAGGTAGGTACCTAGGTAGGTACCGAATGCCCTCGTTACTTTACTGTAGATACCCGGTGCCTCTCTATCCGGAATACCAGCCGAATCATGCGTGCTACGCGCCCGACCAAGGTACCCGCTCCGCCGAAGTTAGGTAGTGTGAAACATGCCCTATGTGCACGTCCATACCTTGCCGGTGGTACTACCGCCAGAGGTAAGGTAATAGGCCATTGTCAGGTGGAGGTGAATAGTCCAACTTGTGAAAGGAAGTCAGGTGGTCCATGTGTGGCTGTATGTTACCCATATGAAGGGGACAGCCTTAAGAGGGAGAGGTAAAAAGAAAAAGAAAAGAAAAGAAAAGGGCGGACGGGACGACCCAGACAACTCGAGTTCCCGCCGACCCAGCATCAAATCATTTCTCTTCCCTGACTGCGCTTCTCAGACTCGGTGTCGATCCATTTTCTTCTCTTCTCTCTTCTCTCCCCTCTCCTCCCCTTCTCTCTCTTTTCCTTCCCTTCACTCACGCGCCAATTCCATTGCCCCCACGCACACTTCCCTTCCTTCCTTCATCCCACCCATCCCATTCCATGTGTCTACGTACCTAGGCAATACCTAACACCCGTGTCGTAGGCGCCTGAAGTTAGGTACCGAGGTACTTGCCTACCTACCTAACCACCTAACGGGCACCTAACCAGCCTGATCTAGGCACCTAACCTAATCCCCTACCTCCCTACCTACAGGCACTACATAGATACCCTAGACACCTAACTACTCACACGCCTAACCCGACTGGCCGGCAGGCCACACTGGTGTCTATCGATTGGTAATTGGCCTATCGCCCTCCGACCTTGGCTGATAATTGGCCTCCCGTGGATCCTTCCGGTGCAGAAGAGCAGAGAGCAGATAGCGGAGAGAGAGAGAGAGAGAGAGAGAGAGAGAGAGAGCAGAGAGACAGAGAGACAGAGAGAGGCCCGGTAGTACCTAAGTAGTACATACCTCCTACATACGTACAATAGCTCAGTACTACCTCCTACCTACCTCCTCCACCCGCTGCTTGCCACCCCCCGCCTCTCTTGCTCCTCATCCGCCGGTTACTCCCAATTATTCCTACTGCTGCTGGTGCCGCCGCCGGTGCTGCTACGACTGCTAACCACCACTACCACCGCTACCGAAACTTGTTGCGACTCTGACTGAAGCTAGTACTGCAACTCTTTTTTAGGACCTCTGATTCTCTTCTCCTTCACCGTCTTCTCTTTTCTCTTCTTTTTCCTCCTCTCCCCTTCTCCCCCCTTCGTCCACTTCCCACTTCGCTCGCATACTCCCTCCCTGCCTCCCTCTCTCTCTCTCTCTCCACTCTAACTTTTGCGCGCGGGCCGTAGCATTGCATCCCATCCCTATCCGCCAATTATGAAACATATCCATGGTGGAAACCAGGACCACGGTAAGTTTAATCCCGCCCCCGTTCTGACCGAAAAGAGGGGGAGTGAGAGGCAGAGGGTGAGGAGATCCAAAAATTTTACAAAGAAAAAAACGGCAAAGGGAGAGACACCCGCATACTTGGAAACACATCAGCGTTCAAGACCGCTTATCCGACTGTTCACCTACCAGGCGCCGAAAATATTATTCAAGATGGAGAACCCGAACTCCAACGCGGACGTGGCTCCACCAGGAGTAGCAAGCTCGGCGCACCGCTGCGAATACCCAAGAACCGCAGCACCGGGAACCTCGCCCTGGTCGCCGAGTTTCCCGAAAGAACGCGGCTGAGGTTCTCCTTCGATACCGGATCAGGGGTGACAGAGTCTGACCCGATCACGAGGTACGTCTCTTTTCTATGTCCTCCCTAGATGTGCACCATACACGCCGCCATCATGGGGGAAAGGGGGAGGCCGGGGGGGGGGGGGGGGGGGGGGGGGGTTGGAAGGCACGGGACGGGATGAGATGAGACGGGATTGCCTACAACTCGCGTCACATGCATGCTCAGCCGCCTCATCACACGTACCTACGCACACGCCGAAGGGAAATCCCTATAAGCCAAAGGGGGACCGAGCGAGAGCAGAGAGGAAAAGAAACGGCCAATCCTTCAGGCAGAAACACCAGGTTCTAGTGCTAGGGCTACGAGCGACTAATACTGCAGTCGCTTGGACGTTACAGATCTCCCATCATCACCGAACATGACCATGGGCTGGGCATCTCTGGTCTCCGACGCATCCGCCAACACCCGCCTCCGCGAACCCCGACCATCCCTTCAAGTGCGGTCTCCTCTCGAAGCTCGTCGGCCGGCCTCCCTCGCTCCATGTCCATGATGCTGCCTTCGCCGCACCATACCCCGTTGGCCCCCGGTTCTATCTCTCCCAATTTTTCCGAAGACCTGTCGAGATTTCCTTCCGAGTCCCTACATTCCTTCTCCTTCGCCCACCAGTCCGAGGAGTATATAAGTAACCGCCAGAATGTCCTGAAGCGATCTATAGAGTTTATGAAGGACCGTATGGGATGGTCTATTTCGTCGAGCGCCACCGTAGCCTCCGCACAAGGCCGCATCTCCGATAACGTCGAGCCCCAGAATGTGCTCGACCTACTTGCCCGGGCACAGTTTGTCGAGGGCGGGACCCTGCCGAACGCCGGCCCCTCCGTGGCCTCCGGTCCGTTAACCGGACCTGCCGAAATCTCGCACGAGAATGTCTTCGATAAAGATTTCATACCGCGGACGAGCAGCCCTGAACCCTTCGTCGCCCCGCTCGTATCCCCTACGACACCCCAGGGACCGACTATAGACGAGATACCGCCTACTCCTGCCCAGACGGCAGACCGCAAAGGTGGCGACCCGGCAGATTTCGAGAGTTCCTCGAGGACGCCGACGAACGAGAGCGGTACCACCGCCAAGACGTCGCCGCCGCCGACTAGGCGCCCGAGCCTACGCAGGACGTTTACAGATGTAACATCGACCGCCATGCAACAAAAGCTCATGGATAGCATGACACAGCCGTTCCTCAATAGCCAGTCCGAAATATACCCTGAAGCTTTGATATCCCCGATCCTCCCGTCCTTGGCTTTGGGTTCGTCGCTCAATCCTCCCGGGGCCCTCGGATCCGCAGTACACGGCCACGCAACTCGATGGGTTCCTGCGGCGCAGGCCATCTTCACGACCGAGTCGAGGCCACCGTGGACAATCTTAGCCGCAAATGATTTAGCTTGCCTGGTCTTTGGGGTAACGAAAGCCGAAGTTCGCAAGATAGGTATTCTAGAGGTCGTGCAGGAGGAGAGGAGGGCTTGGCTTGAAGGCAAGCTCCTTCATGCGGAGTCTGACGATCTGGGTCCGATACCGACAGAAGATGTGCACCAGCCTTCTCCCTCTTCCGTCGGCTCATCATTCCTAGGCGGCCGTACGGGGATTACGGCGCACTTGCTAAGTAAGCCTAATTCGAGATCACAGCCCCCAAAGACTCCGACTCGACGGGCGCAGACCGTTCATAGTGGGGACACGATACCATCTAAGTCTCGGGGCACGAATAACCGCAGTTCCAAATCAAGAGGGGTCCTTCTCTGCGGCGACGTCGTCCCCATACAGAAGCGCAACGGCGCAACGGGATCCGCCAGTCTATGGGTCAAGGAGAAGAAGGCAGGCCTGATCTGGGTACTCGAGGAGATCCACGAAGATGTGGCCCTGCTTAGCCTCGACGAAGACGGAATCGTTACTAAAATATCGGGGGCTACAGGCCCAATATGGGGAGAAGAGGACTTGCGGCCGGGCATGGACGTTGGCAGACTCATCACCCGCATACCGCGTCAAGGAATCGATCCTAGGTACGGCGCTATCGACTACGCCCAAATCGCGAAACGGAAATTTTTTACTTGCCGACATAGCAAGAAAACCAACATCCCGGCCTCCGTCTCTCAGACGAGGGGCTTGACGGAGCTTCGCGTTTCAAGCTTCCCGCATATTGCTGGAATCATTGTGGTGTCTCCGGAGACGCTCCAAATCACGAGCTCGAATTCAGCCTTCTGCGGGGCTCTATTTGGCTACGAGAAGCCCGAGGGGCAATCGATCAATGACCTAATACCGGACTTCGATAAGGTTCTCGAAATTTTGGTTGATCACGATGGGATTCTGCTTGGGGAGGGCATCGTTGTGCCCGAGCATAGTTTTAGAAAGGCGTCGGCCTTGTTGGCTATCCACAACGGCCGGCCAGACGCCGCTGCCAGCTTCCTGAACCCCGATGGCCTCCCGGCAAAACATCGCGACGGAACGGAATTGAAAATCGACGTCCAGATGAGGGTAGTTAAGAGCGAAAAGCAGTCGGCGTACGATGCCAACAGAAGTGGTGACGACCATGATTTAGACGGTAGCGAAAGCACCGAGTCGGAGATGGTTTATGCGCTGTGGGTCACCTATTCCCGGCACTTACACGCATCTCACGCCCAGTTATCAGCCAGCGCCGACCCCAAATCTCCGTTGCTCTCCGGGGCCGTGTCGCCTCTACACCAGCCTTCTCCCGGCCAAACCCCTGCGCACACGCCACAGGAAATCGGTTCCGACTCCGAGGAAGGAAAGTCTCGACCCTCCTCTGCCGCATCCGTATTGTCACAGCAGCTCAAGATAGCTGCGATAAATGCGGCCGCAAAAATTGCCGGAGCGCCAACAACCCCTTATAACCCGTTAGCCACCCCAACCGAAGCGCCGCCGCGGAAGAAAACGATCGATGACTTTACCATCTTGGAAGATATGGGGCAGGGTGCCTACGGCCAGGTAAAGCTAGCACGGCATAAATATAACGACAGCGGCAAGAAAGTCGTCTTGAAGTACGTGACCAAAAGGCGAATTCTCGTCGATACGTGGACCCGGGATCGGCGCCTCGGCACGGTGCCCCTCGAGATACACGTCTTGGATTATCTTCGACGAGACGGACTCAAGCATCCTAATATCGTAGAGATGGAAGATTTCTTCGAGGACGAGACCAACTATTACATCGAAATGGTGCCCCACGGGTACCCGGGGATGGACCTGTTTGATTATATCGAGCTCCGCACCAATATGGAGGAAGATGAATGTCGCAGCATATTTGTCCAGGTCGCAAGGGCTATACATCACCTGCACATAAAGGCCAAGGTGGTCCATCGCGACATCAAAGACGAGAATGTCATCTTGGACGGCGAGGGAAATATTAAACTTATCGACTTCGGAAGTGCGGCATATATCAAGAGCGGGCCCTTCGATGTGTTTGTGGGCACAATTGGTACGTTGATCACCCCCCTCCCTCTCCCTCTACGACTAACCTCGATGTCTCCGTAGACTATGCAGCGCCGGAGGTGCTGGCAGGGAATCCGTACGGCGGCAAGGAGCAGGACGTGTGGGCGCTAGGAATCCTCCTCTACACCATCATCTACAAAGAGAATCCGTTCTACAGCATCGATGAGATCATGGATCGGGACCTGAGGGTTCCTTACGTGATCAGCGAGGAGAGCATCGACCTCATCCGCTGCATGCTCGACCGTAACGTCTCCCGTCGCTACGACATCGAGCAGGTTATTCAGCATCCGTGGTGCCAGTTGGATTAAAGCAGTCACACAAGCAGACAAGGCTACGACGAGGACAACTGATCTATCCACACAATGTGAGTGAAGCGAGATATGAAGTATGCAAAGTACATGGACAGGTGATAACGAATATAAATGAGTTTATTTGGAGTTGGTTGGACTAGCTGCTTAGTCAGTTGCGATGGACTAGACTAACTAGACACTTGACTGGATTAATGACTTGACTTTGACTTGGAGGGGGCGTGGGCGGATTCGGTTTTGGTTATTCGTCTTTAAATCATCTGAAAACGAACAAACACCGGCAGGAAAAAAAATTTGAGAGGAGGGGGGGGGAGGTAGGGGAGGAGAGAAATTTCGTTCAGAGAATGTTCGTTATTTACTACCTACTGCTTGGTATTTCTCTCTCTCTCTCTCTCTCTCCTACCACAACTTACACGATATGATACCCAACAACACAATATAGGATGAATCCAACTTTTTTTTTTTTTTTTTTTTTTTCAAAAGACTGTCACGCTTATTATAGGCTTGATGTTATTCCGGGGAAGAGAAGTGAGATGAGGAGAGATATACGAGGACGGAAAGAGTCGAGGAAACCGCTGCCTGCTTCTTTCTTCTCCCCCCCCCCTCCCCCTCTCTCTCTCTCTCTCGTCTAACTCTTACGCTAGGAAGAGAGAGAGAGAGAATTACCAGGAACCCATCGTCAGGCCATGTCACGCCGTAGTCGCTGGGACTAAGCATGAGTTGTCGACCTTTGGGCCGGGGACCAGGTTGGGCTGGGTTGGGCTGGGCCGGGGCTGGGAGGACGGCACGTAATATCCGTCAGACTCTAACTCGCCATCGAAAGCTATTATTCCTCCCTGTTTCCGCTCCGCGGGAAGGGGGGGGAATGGCCGACCCCCGAATGTCTCAGGGCGCCGGGCGGGGCCTTCGTTGCGATGAGCGTTCTAGTAGGTAGGTACCTACCCGGGCGAGATCCGCCGTATGCGCCTCCCATCCCCGAAGCTACCGCAAACAAGCAAATCCCTCTACCGGGCGGCCTGTTCGACGGCACAAATGTGATACCTAAGAACCACCCCGAGGTCCCCCATCCCATCCCTCGGAAGAGAACAAAAACGGAAAAGTACTATACGCTTGGTGTAGATCGGTAGCGATAGGTGTATATATATCGCGTTGTATCCTGCATATACTACGCCGTGGCCAGATATGTCTACACTCTCACCCAACCTGAGCCCAACTCGACGGGGTTGGAACCCGATTAGTTAGCCGTATACCCTATGAATATCCACCCTGACCTTCCACACCACCACGACCCCGAGCTAGGCGAGCTCCGATTCAACCTGGCTAAGGTCCGCCGGCGTCGCCAACCCCTTTCCGCTTGAGCTCCTCGAGGCCGAAGATGCCCTCAGGTAAGGCGGCGCGGCCGCCGCTATCGACCGCCGCCTCACCGAACAGGAACGCCGTGCGCTCGCGCTTCGCGTTCGCCGACGGCCTCTTGCGGTGCGCGTGCGTCCCCGCAGCAGCCGTCGCCGCCGTCAGCGGCACGCTAGAGGGCGGGAAGATAAGCGGCTGCTGGGACAGCGCGGACGAGGGGGATGCAGAGGAGCCGACGACGGAGCTGGCGCTCGTGCTGTCGGGCTCCAGCATCCACGAGAACGAGGACTGCGCGATGGACGACCGCGTCGGGATTAGTGCACGCGGGCGCTGCGGGAACGCCTTATCTGCCGACGCTGCAGCAGTGGCCGTAGCCTTTGTCATCTCGGGTGGCTGGTCCGTCGGGTCTGTCCTATCGGGATTGCTGCTAGGCTTGGGCAAGCCGGAGGGGGACGACGACTTCGCATCTGTAGGATCGCGAGGGCCGTCATTAGCCGTGGTGGGCGCCACCGCCGCCGCGGCGTCACCCAGCGGTCCCGTGTCGGCCTTGCCGTCGCTAATGGGCGGGGTCGCCGACGGTAGCGAGGAGACCGTCTCCTCTTCTTCTGGGAGCGCCACAGTGGAGTCCTCGAGGTGGACCTTGACGAACTGTATCTTGGCGGCGGCAAGCTCGAGTGAGCTTTGGAGCCTCTCCTTGTCATCCAGGTCGGAGGTCCCGAGACTCTTCAGTGCGGATACAGACTCGTCCAGCATAGCCGCCAGCCGCCTGTTCCTCCGGTCCATCGCGGCAAACGCCCGCGCCGTCGGGCTCGGGCCCGGCTCGGCAAAGAGGTCCCTGCCCGCCTTCATGGAGCTCCTAGCCTCCTGGACGTTGCGGCGTATCTCCACCATGGCGTCGCGCACCGCTTGGTTGATACCGAGCCTCTCTCCCCTCTCAAGAACCCCCTTAGCCGCGCCTTGAAGCAACGCCTCCACGCTTGCAGGCGGCGACTTTACGCGAGGAGGGGAAATGGGCGACCTGGAGCCAGCCAGTTTTTTCTGTATGGTTGAGGCTGATATCCGAGAAGAGGTTGGCCGTGAGATGAACCCCAGTGGAGATGGTGCTTTTTTGGTGTATTTAAGAATCAGTGCAGAGCCCCCAGCCGTGTCTAGGTGGCGCTTAAGATAAACTGCGTCGTCGATGAAAGTATGAGGACCGTACTGCGGTTGAGGGGGCGGGTACTTGAGCAGTAGCTGCAATGCGGCGGTATAATCCGCATCGACAACTGTCAAACATTAGAGAGGGCTCTGCATGTTGCAGGGTGGGTAGTTCTCACGATCCCATCGAATCCTAATTATCATTGCTGTGCAAACCAGGTCTATCAGATTAAAAGACGGATCTACAGAAAATAGGGTATCCCAAAGAACGAGCATCTGGTGAAATGGGAATTCGCGGCTAAATAGAAGACGGATCCAACGGCTGCAACGAATAGCGACATGTTTGTTAGTAGCTCGGTTTCAGGGGCAAAAAGATGCAACTCACATTAGAAAGACCTGTGGGAGAATTTCAATATTCTTAAGGTGAGTTGAAAGTTCGGGGTCGACTTTAAATAGGCAAACTTCATGAATATATTGGCTCTTCTGAATGATGGAGGGTGTTGGGGGCAGCTGGCTCAACGTCGACAGAGGTGTATTTGCGGTGGTCTCGTTTGCTTCATAGAATGCCTTTGCGTGGTTCATCACCCTTGAGAAGAGGGCGAACGCGTCGTGTTCGATAAAGGAGGCATCTAGCATCACTATCATGCCCGGGTCTGCCGAAACGTCCGAGGCGGCCTCAACCGGATCGATAGCATCCTGCTCGACGACATATACGATAGGAGCCAAGAGTTCATGCATACCCTGTCGGTAACCCCCTATTGCCGGGTTAAGCTTGCAATAGATGAAGAGCACGTCGAGGATGAGCGTCTGGATATGAGACTGGTGATAGAAGGGCTCATCTGGCAGACGCTGGACATCTTGGAGAATCTCGGCTCTAAGCACTTCATCACTGCGAAGCGTACTCCAAGGGGACTAGGTTAAGTCAGTACCCAGAAAGCACGGCTCCATAGGGCCATCAACCTCACATCAGCATCATCAGCTAAGGGATCGCTCGAGGCGGCAGTGAGATACTCGGGGTGATTGATGAATTTTAAGTAGCGGTCCCTCAGATCAGAGTATGTGCTCCGAGACTCGAGTAAGGCAGGAGGCCAATCCGTGTTGCCGGGGATTTGACCCAGCAGGAAGGCCTAGGCGCCGATCCGAGTTAGCTAACTAGGGGGCCTCTTCCCGGTAGGGTATCTATTGCATTAGGTACGGCGACCGACTTTCCAGCAGACAGATCTACATCCTGAGATGCAGGGGCTGTTGGGCCCGTTTTCCTTGACGGCCCGTTGAAGGTCCGAGAGACTGGAGCTGTGCTGGAGAGTATCCTGCCACCGTGTCCTGAGCGGGTATACGGGTTAGTTAAGGAGACAGTTGTTAAGAGACGGGATACGAGAAGGGGTGGGACACCTAGATCAAGGGTCACCAAGGATGGCGAAATTAGCTAGACTCACTTCGAGTCAACCAAAGATCTCATTATGATCGCGTCACTCTACCTAGAGAAGGCAGAGGCTTTGGTGGTGGGATGGCCGTAGTTGTATACGCATACGCATGGAGTTCTTTGTAGGTAGGCACATGGTGAGTTGGAGGAGGATTAGGAGGTAGAGGGATAGCGCCAATGTAGGTAGGTGTAGGTATGTACGACGAACTTGGCTGAAGTTGGAAGAGGGCTGGCTGCCAGCTGGCAAGCCAGCCTTTTTGTCGGCGATTACCTACAAAAAGGATCGTAGTTGGGTCCCCGGGCGCCTAGCCCTCAAGGTACTTACCTTATGTACCTAGATACCATAGGTACCTAAGGTAACTATAGACACAATCTAGATGGTACCTACTAGGTAGATCGGAGCCACAACCTTTCACACGATTCTTCTCTCTCGAAGGTAGTGACTTTACCTGTCATGATAAGAGCAACTTAGAACCTCCGCCTCCTTCGTTCCTGTTGACTCCCTAATAAGCCTCTAGCCTAATTATATTCCCCCTTTATAACCCCCCAAATTGCCGGTTTGTTGTTCAAAGTAAAAGGCTGGCAGCGATCAAGCTGCGCTTGTCAGCGGATCTCACTACCCCCTGCCCATGCACAGCAAACCTCTCCTCACCATACTCGTGTGCGTTTCCGAGTGCCTCAATTACAGCTGCGGATATATTTACTTTTTTGGTATGATATGTATATGGCCGGAAGTAATTGGTTGGACACATACATGTACCCCGTTCTACGTAATAGTCCCACGTGTCCCATGACACCCGTCCCTATTGCCTAGTCGTTCTTATCGCATCACAGCTCGACGACCAAGGGGTCTTCGCCCCGGAGTGCCCTCCACCGATTTGTCGACTCGAGCATGGCCCAGCAGCCCTTGACGAGGAAAGGCCACCTTTTTATAAAGCCTTCCGTCAGCTCCCAGCCTTCAGGCCGCCAAGGCTGGTTCCAGACCAGTACCCCGTTGAATTCGAGTGGCTGCACGTTCTCATACAGGGAACGGGTCACGTCTTCCTCGACGTCCTCGCGCTGAAATACCCCCATCATCAGGATCGCGTTATCACGCATTTGCTTGTCCGGTATTAGGTCCATCCACGGCTCGTGCGGCGTACTGAGCTGCAGGGCCGTCGGCTCAAGCGACTCGGGGATGGTGGACGGCGCCGGGAAGAGAGGCACATTCGCCCAGCGCCGGGAACAGGGCGGCGGAAAGGCGTTTTGGCTACCCAGGATAGCCACGTTGGTAAGGACACCGCGGATGAAGTTGTATTGTACAAGAGGTATCAAGTGATCGAGGCTCAAGGGGAAGGAATGCAGCCGGTCTCCGTCTGTATTGCGAGGGTGGACGGCAAGTAGCGGACCCGAAGACGCAGCGACTGGAGAATTGGCACGATGCTGCTCATGCCGGTTCTCTGGTTGGTACGGTCCATGGAGTCGCCCGGGTGGACCGTGCCCCGTACGAATGTGCTCCCGTCCAAGTGACGCTTTCCGTCTCCCTATTGTAACCCAACATGAGTGTTCAGGCTCGGAGTGGCTTCGACGCGCAGGGACAGGCCGAGTTGCTTACGGTACGCGCGGACATTCAGTCGGGTTTGCAACCTGCGTCTTGCTTTGGCATCCTTGAGACCAGACCAGTCCTCATCTGGGCCACGTGCCTGTGCCTGTGCCTCTCCTGTGTTAGTGACTAGACAACATTCTACCGTTGTAAATACCTTGAAAAGATATCTCGTGGTCGACCTAACCTCCGGTAGTGTAGGCATCGCTACCTCTGCAGGTTCATAGGTAAACGACTAGAACTAGCTTGAATTTTGGACGGAACGATGTGTATGTAAGTGGCTTACATAGGGTCATTCGATAGAGTCATCCAATGGTCCGTAGCCATGTCCCGGGTCCGTTGTTGCTACTTAACAAGCTATCTAGGTAAGCTGCAGGGTTATGTTACTAGTCGCTTCAGGTTATAGACGGCAGGTTACCCACCTACCTAGGTACCTAGATATTTTATAACTTGAAGGTTGATAAACACGTAACACGTACGCGATTAACAGAGTTAGAAGCTAAAATGAAGACTATATATATATTAAAATATCATAAAAAGAATATTAAATAAAATTTTATAATAAAATGATAACATTGTATAAAATATAAACGCCTATACCTTATGACTAATAAAGATAAGTTTATAATAGCTAATCTTATATATAATATTTTATTAAACTATATATTAAAATATATTATATTTATATAAAAAAGATATATTTTATATTATATTACTTATTTAAGTTATATTATTATATATAGTTTATTATAGATATATTTTTCTTACTTTTCCTTTTTTAAAATATTTCAATATAAAGAAATTATATAAATATATAATTTTAATTACTTTTTTTATATAAATAGTTAATCTATTTTTATAATTTTAAGTAGGGGGTTTTTTTTAAATATGTATTAAAATTTTCAAGTTAAAGAGTTTAGTTAAAGCCCTTAAAGCTTCCCTAAAGCATGTTTTAAACTAGGTTTAAAGTAGCGAGGTGGAGTAGTTTGATGTATATTTTGTCATCTCTCAAGTTCAGCCTCATCTAACACTTCAGCTGCCTACCTCTTCAGTCCGGTGCACACGCACATCTTACCACGCTTCACTCAAGGCTAGTCCGAACCTACCTCGCCGGAATAGAAGACGGCTGTTCTAAAATGTCCAATTCTATTATATCTTACTAGTACCCGTGGAAAATCGGCTGACCGCCAAACAAATTTGCCATATCAACATGTCTGCGGATCTCTTCGCCGCCTTCGAGGACGCCTCCCGATCGCCTCCTCCATCACAGGGCCAGCCTTCGAAGGCGCTCCCCAAGCCGTCCCCCTTTTCCGCCGATCCCTTTTCCCTTGAGGGCAACAATAATACAAACTTTCGTTCCCACATTCATCCTCAAGAACTCCCCATTCACCAACAATGGGGCGATGATTCCCATGCAAGCTCCCAAAGCGGTCAGCAGCCAAATACACAGCAGTGGTCGAGTGGAAGAGGATGGGTAGGAACCCCGAGCAACGCCACACCCCCGTGGCCTTTCTCTTCGTTTAATCAAGGCGTGGACGAGGAGGAGGAAGATGGTTGGGGTGACTTTGAAGTTGCACCCAGCGCAAAGCAGGTGTTCACATCTACAATACCAACAACAATTAACCCACAACCAGCGACTGCCGTGGACCCGCAGAACCCGTCGTTGGGACGAACGAGGATTGTGCGGGCGCCGACAATAGATCTCCTGACAAACAATCTACTCGACCTAGGGAATTCGCCTACCTTGGAGAATAGGGAGAGGAAGCCACTACAGACGCAAAGACCTCTGGCGCAGTTCAAGATACCCACCCCCAACATCACTTCTGAAAAAACGTCAAAACGCACTCCGAGTACAAACCCCAACGTCCTTTTCGACGCGGACGACTTCGGGGGAGAGCAAGGAGGGATTGATGATGACGATTTCGGAGAATTCGAGACAGTGGCCTCCCCAGTGCAGGTGGCTTCGGCTGTTTTAGTAACGCTGGACTCCCAATCCCCTCCGAAGGGGAGCTCTTCGAAGGTCGCCGAGACCCGTGCCTCTCAGATGCTCTCGGGGTTGAATCTAAGTGAACCGAACCCTTACCCAAAAGCACCCCGATCTCCGTCATTCCAAGACAGGAACCCTTTTCCCGGATTAGGTGTCGCCCCGCCTGAAAAGAAAGACAAGCAGCAAGTCATAAAGAAATCAGCCGCATCGCCGCAGACCGCGTGGCCTTCTATCGATGACGTAAAATCTAGTAGGAGTGACGGGGCCGGTGACGACTGGGGCCCGTTCGACGATTTTCTTGATGAGCAGACTGAGTCTGGACCAAGTAACCCCGATTCGAATTGGGATTGGGACTCGTCACAGCTGGCTCAACGAAAAGAAAAAAAACCTCGGCCGCCAGCAGGAACAGGGCCAGAGCCCCATGATCCTTCGTGGGAATGGGACCTAGTTGACCCTAAAGCGGGAATGGATATCGGTCAGCTAAAAGGAGACTTACCACCTATCAACATCCCCCCTCCTTCCGTCCTACTATCCTTGTTCCCCCAGCTATTCGAACAAGCAAACATCAAATTGTATAAACCTGTTAGTGGACAGCCTTTCTCCATAAAAAACCGCATCCTGTCAGATCCAAAGACCATTGAATATCTCAAGGGGTACCTAGCCTTGTCGACGGTTGCGGCCCATATCATCGCTGGGCGAAAGCTGAGATGGCACAGAGACAAATTTCTCTCGAAAGCAATGTCTATATCGGCTGCAGGGAGTAAGGGGATGAAGCTTGCTGGTGTGGACAAGGCGCAAGCTGCCCGTGAAGATCGAGAGGCCGTTGACGTTGTGACTAGTTGGAGAGAACACGTAGGTCGTCTTCGATCCGCAGTTGCTGCTGCGAACTCTTCAATCAAGAACAATGCGGAGCAGCTCGTGATCCCCGAGATCTCTGGATCAATGCAGATACAAACCGAGAAGATGGCACCAACTGCGTCTAAAGCATGCATTGTGTGCGGCCTAAAACGCAACGAGAGGGTGTCTAAGGTAGACTCCCAGGTCGAGGACAGCTTTGGCGAATGGTGGGTCGATCATTGGGGGCACCTAACCTGCAAGAGATTTTGGCTACAACATGAGAGCGCCCTGCCGCAGCGGTGAATTTTGTGAGCCAACGGCCTCTGAGCAGTCGCCTATCAAGACAAGAATTGTGGCTGTTTACCAGGCCTTGAAGGGCCATCAGATGGGGTTTGACCATTCCATCAAGGTAGTCGATGCCAAGTTTGGTTACACTAGCTGAGCGTCGGAAACGTGGTCGGTCTTGAGGCATCCTCGACGTGCCATGAGATATATCATTGGCCTTGCCCGTTGCCCCCCTGTGCCTTGTCAGAATGCGGATGGGGACCGCACTGCATAGGATTACCGATGTGTCGTAGCCGGACTGTATGCCTCAGCCTGGCAGGGACAATCCAATGGTCCCAAGCATGTTACCCCACAACCACCTGATTATAGTAGCCTTCATTGATCTCAGACTGGACTAACTATATAATAGCTCCCGGGCCAAATGGGCTTATGCTATAGATTCTGACGACGACACGGATTGTATCGAATACCTATCTTGGAAACGCCCCACCCCCTTTTCATCGACGCCAATCACTGTGCGAGTACACTGGCAACCTAGAGGGGCGATGGGTGAGGCCCAGGGATAAGCACGCACATATCTCCCCGGTCACCACATCTACGTTATCTACCCGCCTTTGCCGCCCTAGGGAATATGCAGAATCGATGGTCACACAACATGTGTGTCTCCTGGCCGGTTCACGAGCCTGTAGGCAAGAATCAAGCAGGGTATTCCAAATAAACTCACCAAGAATAGCTCTCTCAACCCTGGTGTCTACGAGTAAGAGGCCCGTAGTGCTTGGTACGTCGTCCATTATGGCGAGTACCATGCTCCCCAGAGCCACAGTGGTGGGTTTGAAGGCGCAACAACGTACTCCCTCGATATCACAGACGGCGAACCTCAAACATTGCTCCCGTTTTTGGTCGGGTAGACGATAACTCGCTCTTTGACCAGGCTAAAACTCCTATAATTTGACCGCGTCAAGCTCGCTTATGTTTGTGTAGCTGGCCCCCCGAGAGACAGAGCACGAGGGTCCTCCAAAGCCCCGACACGGCCTCCAACCTCTACTGGGATGGAGGACCAGTCGTGAAGCGGTGCGAGCCCTGACTTGCATATCAAGAGTGAATGCGTGCTGGGATTGGTCTTGGGACTACCCCTGAATTATGAGAATGCAACCAATACGACGCCAACGTCTCGATTATTGGATGGTAGTGAGAACTTTGACGGCCTCATTGCGGAGGTTGGATCAAGTTGCGAAGAAATGATGAGCCCAAGCAGTAGAGCCATATCGGAACGGGTCAAAGCTGTCAGCTAACCGTCCCTTCTTATCGGTCTCAGGCCAATATATGGTCCACACAACAGTAGGCTTCAATCAACGCGTCCCCTCTCAACCCCGGGAATGAAGCCTTAAAGCCGACATACAGCTATCTAAATTACTCGCCCGTAGGATGTATTCTAAGTCATAGAATTAACAGTGCGTTATATCAAAACGCCAGGCCGGGAGAATCGCGTATGCTAAATGTTGGTTTTCGTGACGACCAAGATCTCGTTTAGTCGAATTTTCTCCCGAAGGCAACCTTCTCGTGACGTATTAAAAGTATACGGATAAAGAGAATCTGCTTAATATTTCCTTCTTATTCTTAAATAAAAATCTACTGAGACCCTTCTCACTAAATTGCTATTCACAATGTCATGACAGAGGGCCAAACTTCCACGTTAGCAGTTCTCAAGATCTTCTTTCTAGACCGACAACGCTACCACTCTAGCGAATGCAAGCATCCAAGATGACCGAATCTCCCTACGTAGCACATATTGATAGCGGTTGTAAATGTTCAGCTGCTGCTAAAATATTTGGTGCCTAGTAATGGTAGAGATGAGGAAATCGCGGGCAGAGAGAAGGTAGATAGGTACACGTAAAGCAGAGATTTGTCTAATAGGCTCGCCTTATTCTCAATCTAATAGCTAGGCAACCCAGGGTACAACCGTAGAAAGGAAATCCAGCTAACAGTTGACGAGGGGGAGCCTCGGGTATGAAGTTGGGCCACATCCTACGCAGACCAAACCCGTGAGCTCGTCAGGTATACGTTGTTGAGCGGTAGTTAACTATCCTGTCTAGGAGACTGGACCAGATATCAGCACCAGTCCAGACCATTGCGCCACCAGGACAATATATTACACGTGGCAGACAGCGAATAATAGACCTTTCAGATTGTTGTAGCACGGAAATAAGTGCTTCAGCGTATCCGTGTGATACGTACACACTATGTGTGTGTGCTCGCGCGTACACGTTGAAAGACGTAAGCCCCCACGGGAATAAGTGCAAAATGGGACATGATATCGGTGATATTTGTATGACTTACATGACAAACTACGAATGGCATGCCGAAGTCAGGCAGCTGAAGGCCTAATAGTAGAATATGTTGTGGGTTTCCAATAGTGGGCAACCGGGATACACATATATCGAAGAGTCCTAGGAAATAGAGACTTCAGTATGGATAGGAAATATACAAAGCATACTGGAGCACAACACTCCAACGGTATATATGTATAAATATATCTACACATTGCCTCCGTGCCGGCGGGGACGATTTAACCAAAGACACCCACGCGTTCACTGCAAAGTGGGTGGTAGGAAGGTGGAACCAGGGAGTTGCATGCTTTACATATGTATGTATGTGTTTACCTAACTTAATGTAGGTTTGTATGCAGGTAGGTACCTGGTACCTACCTGTGCCCAGGTTCGGAGTCCACCTACCTAAGGTACTTGCATTGGAAGCTACATTCTAGATACATATGCATAGACACACGGGATGCGGAGGTTAGGTAATTATTGCCCACATATAGAGAGACTCCTAGTTTTGCTCAATACACTTCGAGGCTCGATTCTATAAAAGATCTAAGGCTAATAGTATGTATGCTATCTTACTTCTTTATTAATAAAGCTACTTAGTATATAAAATACCAAGCTATACTTTAAATAATATATGTATATACATATATATATAATATAGAAATGATAAAAGTTTATATATTAAATATATAAAGTATATTAATATATATAAAGGAAAATATTTAAAATCTATTTTATATTTAAAATCTGTTTTATATATATTTTAAACTTAAAGAGAGGGGGTTTTTTTTATATAAACGTCTTTCTTTATATAAAGAACTTATTAAAATAGAATAAGATAATTATATACCTACATATAGCACGCTCCTTGGGACGTCTACTTCTATATAAGATGGGTGCAATAGGCTCCGGAGGTAGCTACCTCGTAGGCTATATAGGCTAGGTAGGATAGGTATACAGCGAACTCTTCAGAAACGCCCTTACCAACGGACTGGTGGGAGGCGTACATCTTACCCGCATTCCAACTTCCCCATCTACAGCTATCCGCGTCGCATTGCGTTGCGTACCTGTTTTCATCCGGCTCCACGTCCTACTAAACATAGCCTCCCTCTCTATCCGATTAGCATTCGCTGTGACTTGGGTACCTACCTAGATAGGTACCTACCTAGGTAGGCAGCCCTACACCGGACGGTACTTGCCTGCAGGACACGGCTCCACGTACAAATACTTACTCACGCGCCACGCATGTACGCACACCTTAGGTACTTACCTAGGTAACTTTTATGAGGAGGGGATGAGGGAAGGAGGGGACGAGGGAAGGGGTGAGGGAAGGGGGGAGGGGAGGGAGGAGGAGATGTCTGCCGCACCTGACCATTTCCCGAATCATCGAAGACCACCTGCAGCTTTGTACGTATAGTAGCAGAGGAAGGAGTAGCCCCAGGTTCCATCCGGCCAGTCGCAGTGATAATTGTCGACACAGACACAGGCACAGACACAAGGCACACACCACATATTCCCTCTTCAACTTTCTCTCCCGCCCTCTCTCTCTCTCTCTGAATCTTTTCCCCCTCTCCCCCTCCCCCTCACCTCTTTTTTTTCTCCTTCGCCCGTACCTTTCCCCCTTAACAAACCTTCCCGCCCACTCGAATCTACCGCTCCTCGACTCCTCTCGACCAACCATCGACCGCCCGCCGCCCCCCATTACTACCACCCGTCATCACTACCCTCTACCACCCGCCACACCACCACCGACACACACTTACATACAGTCTCCTCCTCCCCTCTCGCTCCTCCGACTGCCCGCTCTCCTTTCCCGCCAACCTCTCCCTCACCTTCATCGCTTCTCTTTTTCAATCCCTCACCTCGCCATCTCCACCCTCTCCAACCGTTTGTTTTCCTCCCGAGAAGCCAATCCGCTCTCGTCGCCCTTTGTCTTGTTGGCGCCAATTGCCCTTGACCAGGACAGTAAAACAAGCACCGCCTGCCAAATACGTAAGTATTCTGGCGATTGGGGCTTTTCTCCATCACCGCTTATCTAACCCTGGCCAAGTACTCGGGTGTGCCCCAAGTCCTTGCCTACGCAACCTAGACCACCTTGGCCCGGCCACCCTGTGCCGAGACCCAGCCGCCGACAACACCGGCCCCTGTTTCCCATAAAAGTCCCCGTTCTCGCGTGGATTGCCTGACACCAGGGCCCTAGGCTAGGCAAGCGAAGAGAGAGAGAGGGGGAAAAAAAAGATACCTAGGAGAGGGAAGAAAAAAAAAACTCCCCTCCTCCCCACCCCGCATCCCCGACCAGTAAGGTTTCCTCCTGGAACACAACTGCGAAAAGGCAGCCATTGAAGGGCGGGAGAAAGACCAGGCTTTGAAAGCACGTACCGCGATAGCGTGCAAAGCACAGGTACTACCTACGACGTAAGGTCAGTCAGTTCGAGTGGTATGCGGTGCCCCGCAGACTCAAACCCCCGTTTTCGCATCGCCCTCTATCTTTTTTCTTTCTTCCACCCAAAGCCCTCTGCAGTTTCTGCTTTTTTCTGCATTGGCAGCTAGTTTCTATTTTTTACATCCATATGTCGGAATCGTGCAGATGCGAGAGCTTCTGACGAGATAGATCAGTTTGTATGTAAATGTCGACTGCCTTGAACATCTCAACTCTCTTTTCTTCTACCGTCACGAGCTTCATATTACTCACCCCCCCCCCTCTCCATACGTTACTTCTGCGGAAAAACTTCCCCGCTGCCACTGCAGTCTACCAAAGCTAATCAGTGTGCAGCCTGTCCGCCCAAACACCAGATCTGAGGCTCACAGCAACCCATTCCCGTACCACTTTTCCCCTCTACTCTACGCACACCACCCATTAAACGTTGGCCAACAAGATTCCTGCGTGCGCGATTCTCCCTAATCTCTGGTCCCGTGAACTGGAACTCTGCCACCTCGCCGCCTACTCTTCATAATATCACCTGCCCGTTCTCTCCCGCCGAACCTTACATTCATCAACATGTCTGTCTCTCAGGATGGTATCCCGCAAAATGGCAACGACGCTATTCCTCCAATGGATCAGCTCAAACTAGATGACGAGGGCCGCTTGGGTCCGGACGGCGAGCCCGCGCCCAAGACGGACGAAGAATATGCTGTTGCCCAATTGACCCTTCGTGCCATCGTTTCCTCGAAGGAAGCCGGTGTCATCATCGGCAAGGGTGGCAAGAATGTCGCAGACTTGCGAGATGAAACTGGAGTCAGGGCTGGAGTGAGCAAGGTCGTGCAAGGTGTCCATGATCGAGTCCTGACCATCTCGGGCGGCTGCGATCCCATCTCGAGAGCGTATGCCATTGTCGCCCGAGCGCTGTTGGAGGGCGCTCCTGCGGTGGGAATGGGAGGCGTCATCCAGACTAGCGGCACGCATCGTGAGCTTTTTCTCAAACATTTCATTTTCGCCACGCGACGCTAACATACACTCCCAACATCTAGAAATCAAACTCCTCATCTCCCACAATCAGATGGGCACCATCATCGGCCGGCAAGGTCTTAAGATCAAGCATATCCAGGACGTCTCGGGCGTACGCATGGTTGCGCAGAAGGATATGTTACCGCAATCAACCGAACGGGTTGTCGAAGTCCAGGGAACTCCAGATGGCATCCAACGAGCTATTTGGGAGATTTGCAAGTGCCTGGTAGATGACTGGCAGCGTGGTACAGGCACGGTCCTCTATAATCCTGCTGTCCGAACCGCGCCTGGCGGTGCGGGGTCTGTTAGCGGGGTGGGCTACGGCTCGTCCAACAGGACCGACTACTCCAGCACCCGTGTGATGCGAACAGGAAATGGTGCCGATTTCAGTAACGGTAGTTCGCGCCCGTATAATCGCCGTTCGGATTCCGATGCCGGCACCCGCGGCCCACCCACGCACGACGAGAACGGCGAGGAAATTCAGACTCAAAACATCAGCATTCCTGCAGATATGGTCGGATGCATCATTGGCCGTGCGGGGAGCAAGATTAGCGAGATTCGTAAGACCTCCGGCGCTCGCATATCTATTGCCAAAGTAAGTCATTTCCCAGACATCGATTGCTGTTCTTGATGTGTTTTGCGACACGACGACTAATAGGGCTCCATAGGCTCCGCATGACGACACCGGTGAGCGAATGTTCACCATCATGGGGACCGCCAAGGCGAACGAATCCGCCCTCTTCCTGCTGTACGAAAACCTCGAGGCCGAGAAGATGCGTCGTAGCCAGGCGCAACCACCGGAGTAGTCCAATACCGTCCCGCTCGAACTGCACGGCTATCACGAAGGGGCTAGGGCTCCCCATATTTGTTCGGAGTATTTTTACTGCTGGGTCTGATTTGGTGACGTACCCCTACGCTCAGGGGCACTTCAGATTTGACTGGCCGCAAGGCTGACCCCCCTCGGTTTGGGCGGTTTCCCCACGACATGACGATTCCCCCTCCCCCCTCCTTCGCTCTCAGGCAAATCTCATTATCGCCTCGCTAAAACCCCCCTTTTCCTTAATATTTTCCTCTTGACAAAACCAACAAGTTATGGACATGTGAGTCCTTCACAACACCCGCTCATACACCAACACACAGGCAGACCACCCATGATGCATGGCAGACTACCGCTGGCGGCTCGAAATGTCAACTTCGATACGTAAGCTGAGCGCTGCGCGGGACCTCGAACAGCTCTAATCCACTTGACACATCCGCCCCCATGTGTCAACACCCTCGCTGTATCGACTTGCCTCGAAGATGCAAGATACGGCCTAATCATCATGCTTTCACACGCTCCTATCATAATCAATATCCTCCATTTCTTACGAGCCATCAGCCTTTCTCCTTGTCATGATGCAAAAACTACTCTCCGTCTATCATCCTGCCCGCGGCCCGGGATACCCTCGAGTATATCTCATTTTCCTAATGCCGCAAGCAGAAAATGGCTCTCAACATCTCTTGTGCCCAGATCACACACACCCTCATGCGACGCCATGTCGCCAATTAAGCTGTGGAATTTACTCTCGAGGAGGCTCCAGCCAAAGATGAGGGACTCCATGAGAGAGTGGCGTGAACGGCTTAGGAAGCAGTGATGACGGCAGCCAGGTTTAGGAGGTATATTCTTTCCTGATATCGAAGAAGAGGCATTGGAACCTAGTTACTAGCATTCCGCTTAGTCACAAATCATTCCCTTGAAACTTAACTAATGGGAAATGGGTCCAATCTTCTAAAAGAGATGTCTAGAGAAGGAGTATCTAGCAGTAGACGGGAGGAAAGTAAAAGGAAGAAAAAAAAAATCACGCGCATGACCATCAGGGTTGTTTTAGTTCTCTTTCGCTTGTGGCTGCGTCGCGATTAGGTCGACCAGAAAATGCAGTAGAGGTACCTAGGTATGGCGTTGTGGCAAAGTCGGAGCATTCTGACGTAGACCTCCGATGGTCCCTCCTCAACTATTGAAGGCAGGTACATGCTACGTACCCAGTACGTTCAGTGCTTTTTTCCGAATACATCAGGTAGGTACCTACCTAGGTACCTAAGATAGCCACCTGTTCGTGTAATTGTACCTATGTATCTGACCATTCAGCATATCTGGCCTAAAGGCGCCTGCCTCCGAAGTATCGGTACCAAGTACCCAAGGTAGGTAACGGCCAACCTGCCGATGTGATACTCACACATTCAAGTACCTAGGTACGTTGGGTCACTACGTTAGGTAGGTGGGTACCTAGTATGTGCCTTCGTATGTCTCACCGCCTAACTACAGGGGATAATTCTGCCGAATGTGTGTGGGGGATGAGAGGTGAGCGGGACTGAATGGCCAACCTGTCATCAGTTGCGAAGCCGTACATAATACTAGCCTCAGGACGTCACCCACCTGGACTGGCCCTGCATTTCCAGGGTCTCGTGTGCAATCTGCCATCCGCCATGGGTGTTGTAGACGACTTCATTCTTTCCTTCGTTCCCCTATTCCAGCCCATTGAGCTCGACAGATAGTTTCAATCGAAGATAACCAACTCGCCTCCCTTCAAGTCACCCCCCTCTTCTTCAACTTCCCACCCCGTCTCTATATTTATGTTTCGATAGGCATATTCGTCATGGCGCGAGTGAAGCAAGCGGTACCCATTGAGCGCCAAACCTCATCAGAGTACGTCGTCGCGGGTCAGCATCAGACGGACCCCCAGATTGTCCGCGAGCAGACGAAGGACGAGGTGGCGCTTCAGTTCGATGGAGGAGCTGCGGGTAGCAAGCCGGCGACGACGCGGCCGCCGGCAGCGAAGGGGGACGCGGGCGTGACTCAACTAGTCGTCGCCGTCGCCGGGATTTATGGGTCCTTGTACGTTTATATGGTGACGATGAGTTGGCCTCTACCTCCTTCATATTCTCCTGGGTCGCGAGGAAGAAAGCGATAACATTGATGTAGCGGGCCGGATCGCTGACCTTACATCATCGGCATAGCCTCACGTGGGCGTACCTGCAGGAGAAGCTCACGACAACGCCACACGGCCCTGCGGGTGCAACCGAAGTCTTCAAGTACCCGGTGTTCCTGAACACAATCCAGTCCTTGTTCGCGGCGACGACGGGATTCCTGTACCTGTACGCGAGCGCGCCGCGCGGGGCCGCGGTGCCCCCCGTGATCCCGTCGCGCGGCATCCTCGGCCCGCTGCTGCTTGTCGCGCTCACGAGCTCGCTCGCCTCGCCCTTCGGCTACGCGAGCCTCGCACACATCGACTACATCACCTTCCTCCTCGCCAAGAGCTGCAAGCTCCTGCCCGTCATGCTGCTGCACGTCGCCGTCTTCCGCCGCCGCTACCCGCTCTACAAGTACCTCGTCGTCGCGGCCGTGACGGCCGGCGTCGCCGTCTTCACGCTGCACTCGGGCGCGGCCGGCAAGAAGGGCAGGAGAGGCGGCCCTGCCGGCAACAGCGCCTGGGGCCTGCTGCTGCTGGGCATCAACCTGCTGTTCGACGGCCTCACCAACAGCACCCAGGACTACATCTTCGGCACCTTTCAGCCCTACTCCGGTCCCCAGATGATGTGCGCCAATAACCTCATGAGCACCGCCGTGACGGCGGCCTACCTCGTGCTGAGTCCCTGGCTCGCGCGCACCGGCGTCGGCGAGTGGTTCGGTATGGGTGTCGACGTTGCAGGGAGTGCTGGCGAGCTCGAGGCCGCACTCGCCTTTATGCGCAGACACCCCGCCGTATGGGCCGACGTGCTGGGGTTCTCGGCGTGCGGCGCCGTCGGGCAGGTTTTCATCTGTGAGTTCCTCTGTCTTCCTTTTCTTTCCAGGGCGCGTCTCCCTCTCCTTTCGTAGGCCCCCTTTCTCCTTAGGAAGCTGCGGAGCTACGCGTCCCCAACGCTACATCTGTTCCCCCTCAAGCTACAGACGTATCAAAGATAGGATCGGCTAACGAGGGATTTTCGGTGGGAAAAAAAGTTTACACTCTGTCCACCTTCTCCTCGGTGCTACTCGTGACGGTTACGGTGACTCGCAAGATGTTTACCATGATCCTATCGGTGGTCGCGTTCGGCCACCGCCTCAGTCGCATGCAGGTGCTCGGCGTGGGCCTCGTGTTCGGCGGCATCGGCGTAGAGGCGGCGATCGCGCGCCGCGAGAAGATAGCCAAGGAGGAGGCGAAGCAGCGAGCGAGGAGGGAGGCGGAGAAGAAGGGACAGTAAGCTTTTTTTTTTTCTTCTATGCCATCTGGGGGTTGATTCCTCCCTGGCCTTTTCCTCCTTATTCGTGCGGTAGTTTGGGGGCGCGATGATGATATGGGGAAAAAACGGGATAGACAAAAGAAAAAAAGAGAAAATTTTGATTGAAATTTTACGGACGAGGAAGCAAAACTCGGGTAGGTAACCTTTTCTGTCCATGTCCACGTGGGTGGGCTTACCATTCACTCGCAACCGACCTCTCCTTCTTCTCCCGTCAAGTGTTGGCTTCCTCTCCGTCGGGGTGTTTGGAGCAAGCGTAGGTAGGGTTGGGAGTTTCGCGGCTGGGTAGAGGAGGATTTATAGCTATAGAACGGGATTAACCACAAATTGGTTCGTCTTGCATACTGCGTGAGCAGTATGAAAACACAGGCATATATATATATATAGAGAGAGAGAGAGAGAGAGAGAGATGTATTCCCGACTTGCTCTTGACGCTCTCGCTCGAGGACGGCTGGCCTGCCCGCTAGTGTAAGGGTCTCGCGAGTTCTAACGTGTACGCGCCACCAGCGCGAGAGACGAAGGTTCGGAGCCCTGCTTGCTATCGTCTAGGGTGTCGCATTCCGATGTTCACAGGCATATATGCTCTCTCGATTTATCGCCGCCTTAACCGAAAAAACAAAATTGTGTGATTCCCTCCCGGTATCCATAGTAGTACGATGGTACACCCTTTCTCTCGAGCAAGGTAAGGTAGGTAGGTTAGGTACATGTAATGTAGGTAATGTATGTATAAACTTCTCTCCATTGACATACCCCCGCCTCGGTTTCACCCCTCTCCTCTCTCCTTCTGTCACCCTTTTCTTCTTCTAGAGAATAACTACTCTCTATCTCTACTATGTCACCTCCACGCCTCCCTCTTCCTCTCTCTCTCTCTCTCTCTCTCTCTCTCTTCCCGTACCTCTCCGGCCCTCTTCCGCCTCCCAACAAAATTATACATTGCAAATTCCAGCCGGCTTTAAGACGAAGTAAAACCGTAAAAACAAAGAAAGACAAGAATCCGACCGCGCGTGCCTTCCAAAACACCCCTTTTTCTGGATAGGCGCGTCGCGATTTGTGCCGTCCGGGTATTCGGTTCCGCCGTCCTGTGACAACCCCCTGAAGCCGCCACGATGATGGATAAACAGTTCGGCGTGTGATGTAAGAGAGGACAAAAAAAAAGAGAAAACGATGGGATGAGCTTTGATGGTTTGTTTTCGAGAAAAAAAATACAAATGGGAAAGAAAAGGGGATTATTTTAACGTCCTCCCATTGTAAACGATTGTTTGTATGAATAGTAGCGTATGAAGATCTTGATTGCGTTCGTCGTGTATCGCGTTATTTGATTCAAGTCAAATTACAGATAGCTAATCCGCAACACAATAACGGGTGGCTCTATGACTCGCAGAGACCAACAGTACTGTGAGGAGACATGCAATGCAGGCTAGATGCCGTGCGACGGGGTCTGCGTGGGGATCGGTAGCTAGCTATTAATTATATGTCGGTCACGGGCGTAATGGCCGTCGGACTCGACAGGTGGACAGGTTCTAGGCTGCCTCGCTGGATCATAACACGTCATCAATTGATCGGACGATGGGGGTCTCTCCCTTGGTTGGAGGGCTCCTCGGGTCGGCCATATGAGGGGGCCGCCCGAACGGATAAAACGGGTCTCTCGGGAACATGGTCTGTCGCGGAGAAAACAACCCCTCGCTGGGCGTCGGTGGCACCTCGACAAACTTCATGCCAGCCAATTCCGAGTACGAATCGCGCAGCGGATTGTTAGTCATGGTCTCAGCCCTTGGCGACATAAGAGCGTCGTCATCTGGCAAAGCGGGCGCCATTGCCAATTCCCTCTCTGCTTCTACTCCCTTGCGCCTTTCTAAGAAAGAGCCGCCCGTCCTGAGATCCATACTAGAGAAGCCTAGGCTCTGGTGCCCCTCAACGAAATGTTTAGGGGCAAAGCCTGGAGACGGCGGAGGCCTGAACGATGGCGATAGACACGGTTGGAAAAATCCCGGCGAGGGGGGAGGACGTAACGCGGTGTGGCCTGATTGTGGTTCCGGTAGCGGCTCGAAGAACCTGGGCGGCTCGAGTGAATCGCCAAAATTGAAGCGTCCGGGCTTTCCCGGGTCCTTCTCATCCTCCTTTTCAGACCAGGAGAAGGTCGAGGGGGCAGACGACGGCCCGGGCGATATAGACTCCAAGTTTGGAGTAGACTTCCCACGAAAATGGCTTGGCCCGCGGTCCGGACTAGAGCTGTGAGTAGCCCCCTGTTTCTCATCGGGCAACGGCGCCGTCAGCGGCTCTTTGGGTTGGATTTCGATGGCGTTTGCGGAAAGGGTAAGACGATGATGCTTGGTAGGACTTCTTCCGCTTCGGGGACCTACGGCGGATCGAAGGGGCATCTTTCTCTTCGTCACCTCTTTCTGGAAGTCCTGTAGGCAATACATCAATCGCATGTTTGGGCTGACCCATCTGCTCTTCGCTTGAGCAGCGTAATAGGCGTCGTTCACAGTCAAGCCGGGGTTTTGGTAGAGACCGTATGCGATGATCAAACTAGCTGAGCGGCTCGCACCCTGCTGGCAATGGACGAGCACCTTTTTCCCATCCTTGGTTCGGTTCTCTATTGTCTCGCAAAGCATCATCAGGTCCGTCGCGATATTGGTATTGTGGTCCCACGGCATGTGAATATACTCGGGTTCCGATATAGGGTTTGGCTTCGGCGTTGTCGGAGTCTCCATCCGGTTGCCGTCCGAAAGTGGAAATTCGAAGGCCGTCGCAAAGCTGTCATTTGTCATGGCAGTATCTGGTATCGGTGACGAACCTTGAACGATATTGGTACCCGCTGGGCTCTTCTCCTTGGTTGTCGCCTCAAACGGGTTATGTACCTCGCGCGCAACGTTGATTACCACATCGAATTTGGAGGCTTCCTCCGCGGTAGGCTCCAGGTAGAGGTACACGTTGTCCCCATAGATCGCGATAGGCCCATCGGGATACCCCGGCGATTTCTGGTCTTCGTTATTCTCAGGTTCAATAAAGGGCTCGAAATCCATCGCAGCGCGATTGGCAAGCTGGGTTTTTATGGGCGAGTCCTCCTCCAAAATCGTGGTATCGAAGCCCATGCCATTGTTTCCATGCTTCGATGGGCGTAATAACTCCGACAGACCCGAAGTACCACGCTCAAGAACCGTAGGGAAAGTCATGCCGCCAGCCGGGCCGAACGTTGCGGATTTCAATCCCGAAAGCATGTGTGGGGACGAAGTCGAGTGCTTCAGAGATCGTCGCTGTAAGATCGGTGGCAGAGCAGGTGAGCATGGGACCTCGAGAATGGCTGGGCGTATGTTTAAACCCGTTGAATCGGTCTTGAGACTCAGCTGGCTAGGTTTCCGCTTCATCGCTGGAATCTTAGGTTTGATGAAAGAAGGCGACGAAGGCTCCGAGATCAGACTCGTCGATAACGAAGTAGCAAACGGCGGTTGTATCGATAAGCCCTTCATGTTTCTCGCCCTCCTCGGGGAAGGCGACGTCATGGGGCGCTCCCGGATGGCGGAATCGTTTACGGTGAGATTGTTCATCGTCGAAGGTAGGCCTCCAAAAGTGGTGGCCGGAAAAGAATTTAGGGGTATCAAGTTAACGGGCGAATCTGGAGAAGATGACGGGGAAGGGTCTGACAGCGACGAGGTGTCCGTGGTTAGGGTGGTTGTGGGAGAGGAATCGGCGGATTCCGAATTGTGTGTCGAGGTGCTATCGTGGTGGCGATGCGCAGGATCTCCAGGTAGAGATCGCAACGCGTGCTGCGGCGATAACCCATGTCCATTTGGGAGTTGTGCCGGAGCACACGACGGCTCCATCCCCATCATCTTGGTATCGACCATAGTCACCAACCCCCTAGCATCGATATTGCCGTCTGCGTCGGGATCGAATATGGACATGAACGAGGGTATCTGATCCTCGTAGTGTCGCCTGGCTGTGGCGGACGGCATGTTTACCACCAAAGCCACCCAGCAGCCCGAGTCGTCCTACTCCCGCTCTTCACCACCAGACCTAACGAAGTGCGAATTGCCTCCTCCCGCGTCGAAGTGAGGTCCGGTTGCTCGATTGGCGTCGCGCCGTCAATCAATCGGTCGGAAGAAGAGCGAGTAACTCCACGATGAGGGGACCTTGGTAATGAGCGACGATGTGGCTCGACAATTGAGGCCTCGTAGTACTGGACAGCGCTGCTGAATCCTTTATCCTCCTCTTAAATTCCTTCTCTTTCTTCTTTCAACGTCAACGCCTCGGTATACTTCCTCCTTCAATCCGAAGCAATCACACCCATAACCTATTCCGCAGCGACCGACAACCACAGGAGGAGAGGGAGAGGGGGGGGAGGGAGGAATGGAAGTCGTACGTCGTAGCCAGGTGGGTGGGTGCGTGTATGAGTGTGTAGGGCAGCACCGGCAGACGAGAGGGGAACCAAGTGCTTAATAATTAACGAAGCGTGTGCAAGACGGAGGGGGTGTACGACGAAAAGAGAAGAGGGTCGAGAAGAGAGTGTGAGAGGATGTAGTTTTTGTTTTGTTTTCCCGGAACAGATCGCTAGAAAGTGGCAGCCATCGGAGGGTCAGCGCATCCTACCAACCACCTAGGGTCAACGGATATATGGGCGTAGGAGGAGAATTGGCCGGCTGCCCCGTGTGAGGTAGGCAGTGCAGCGGTTGGCGATACAACTGGAGGCTGCGGCAATGCGAGACGGGAAGGGAGGTGAAAAGGGAAGCGTTCGGATAGAACGAATCGGGACAGGAGAGTTGTTGAGGGAGAGAAACACAGACACCAGCACCTGTACACTCTCTGCACTCGATATCTTGTCTCTCACGCACACAGTCACTGTCAGTCAGTCGGCTGACAGCGGAAACAGGAAGAAGAAGGCCGGAGAGAAAATCTGGGGGTGAGCGCAAGAAGAAGAAGAAGAGGAGGTTTCGGTTGGGTAGGTAGGAGGGAGGAGGAGACCGACAAGCTGCGGTGGAGGGCGGGATCTGGGTTGTGGGATTGCGAGTGTGTTGACTGGTGAATGGGCGAATTTGGAGGGAGGAGAAAGAAGGGAATGGGATTGGGATTTGAGATTGCGCTAAGAGGGCATGGTACCTAAGGCAGGTACTTCGTACACAGAACTATTATACTCATAACAAGGACGGCAGGCACGTACGTATGAGTGTAGGTAGGTAGGAAGGCAGGCAGGTAGGCAGGTACTTGCCTGCTCAGTGCATGCCTACCTAACCTCTCATACATGCCTAGGCAGGTAGGGGCGACCGACAAACCTGCATCACGGGCCTGCCTCTCTAGCGCAGGACCCGGCGAAAGCGGTAGAGCTGGGGTACAGCCACTATGGCCGATGGCAGTGTTTGAAACAAGTTCGCTACTTGCCCTCGGCCTGAGGCGCTACCTAACAAACCTCGACCCGGTGGGGCTCCCTCAGCTTCATGTTCGTCGGTACTATATGGCTCCAAGTACCGCTCGGTATCTTCGCACGCGCGGTTTCGCGGCGCGATACACGTCCGATACATCGGATCCCTAGCCATAATGCCGAACATTAACACTAACTTTAGGTCCCTAACGTGACCCCTACGTAGCAGGTATGTAAGGTGACAAGGCAATATACGTATAGTACGTAGGTTCCTGCTCATACTTTACATTTCCCAAGATGCCTGCCCGGCAATAGCAGGGAATGGACGAGACGGAAGAAACCGACTGCGGCAACCAGGAGTACTCATACGTGAACTCTCCCTTCCGCTTGCGCAGTTTTGACCGCGATACCAACATCTGCTCTATGCCCACAAACGGGGACGCGAACGTCGGGTGGCTTTCGCTGCGCTACTGACGGTTTGATGTGTGCGGACATCTGACTGGTCCGTCGTGGCAGGGCCTGGGGAGGGGGGGCGCTCTGCGTTTGCGGCGTTTGCGAAACGAGAGACGGTGGCCGAGACAGCGCGACAGGGGTGGTGGTGATTCTATTAATAGCCATCTGCAGTTACCTTGCAGCAGGTAGGCGCCAATGACCAGCCAATCAAGGCCCCGTGCCAAATTTGGTCTTGCAGCTGATAATTTCGCTGGGCCAATCACATCTGGTCATGCCAAGCATAAGCCGGGAATTGGCTTCTCGGTGGCTGTCGAGGACTCTGCTCGAAATGCAGCATTATCACGGACGCTGCGCAGTCCAGTGGCGATAGCTCCAGGTGAGGCCTTAAGCCAGATCGAACGCATGTAGGATGCGTCGATTTTTTTTTTTGACCTTGCCTTCTCTCTCTTCGAGGTCGTCGTGATGAAGAGCTGGTCTTTTTACGTGTACCTAGGGATGTCCAAGATTATATGTCTTCCTATGTACCTACGTCCGCACGGGTACAATGTGAGCGTAGTTGCAACGGATGCCTGCCCTTGAAGCATGCCGTTTTATTAGGAAATCCATTCCCTCCCTCAACCCCTCGCAGCCGACGGGCCTCCCTACCTTGGACCCGGAGAATGATGCTTCGGTAACTGGATATTGCCGGACCAAAGCTGGCTCGCCTTTCTCGTCAATCCTCTTAACCCACAAAGGCGCGACAAGATGGGCGCTAGCAGCGTACATATACATACGCAGATAACGACCCCCAAGGCGAGAAACAAAGAAACGAGACCAATGACCAGACCCAAGCTGCCGGACCTAGTGTTCAGCAGATTCAGCGTCTCCTTGAAATCAACCCACAAAACAGCTACCTACCAGGAACTCCCGCATGCTATACCTATATATAACGACGATGGTGCCGCGGAATTTTCTCTTCGCCTAAATTGCTTGCGCTTCACGTCTTGACACGTGGGATCTATACTTACCGAGGGGTTGTCTCATGCCAACTCCCAATTATTTTTTCTGCATTTCAAGTATACTCAGTAGCATATCGAGGGCACCCTAGACAAGCCTATTCGGCCAGCTTGTCGAGTTTGACAGGAGTTTCCGGCCCAAGCCGCCAAACGATGGCTCATACCGTACCAGACTTAGGGGAGTATCTATTGTTGGCAGATTTGCTTGCCCAAAGAGCGATGAGAGAAATCGCTACGAGAGCCGGTTGCGACATAGGCGCCCAAGCTCGGCCATGATCTCACGGCGCATGTACAACAACGGATCGCCACGTCGTTCTGGGGACTAATATCTCCCTACAGTCGACATCACTTGGCGCTAAGATAGAGATTATGGGGGGTATCCCGCGTGCTACATAGATGTTTTCAAAGATCGCTCACCCCCACGTTGACCGACAACGCGGCACCGACCCAGGCCGGGAGGTCGATCTCGATATGTAAGGGATGTTGCCTGTCTGCCCCCATACCCTCTTGATTTTATCGACACGCGCGACACGAGGTTGGCTCGTTTTCCACGAGGCGCGCTTATTAGGTGTAACCTCCAATAGCCAGCGGGTGGTCCGCTCGGGGATGTACTCTGGGTAGGAGGCTAGCGAGATACGGAGATGATCTGAAATAGGGATTGTCGCCATACACGGGAAATTACAAGTGCCCGTTACGCGCTGGCAGGCTCAACCCTGACGCTTATATACATGTACCTGTATATGTGCTACATCTCAACTGCGTTGCCTGCATCCCAGAGGTACCTCCTCCGTAAGTGGCTAAGGAAGATGCCCTTAATTCAAGCACGCACACTCATGTTAAGTCGTAGGTATCTGACGAATGTATACGTTATACACATACCTAACTCGGCAGGTTAGCCGGCAAATATATGTCCACACCATAGAGAGCATTAGAAACGTAGTATTGTGTTGCGCTTTGTCCATATGTCGGTAGGTATTCAGATGGCTATACCCCTGCCGCACTTGAAACGCCCGAGTTTATGTATTAGTTCTTCTCTAATAACCGACGCGAGAAATACCTGATATTTACGTAGGTACATACTACCTAGTACACACAAACCTCGCTATGGATAGGAGACCCATGCGGTCCCTAGGCCATGGCGCTAGGACTTATTAGGTCGGACTGTTTATCTAGGAACCTAGGCGTGCCCATAGTGGTTGCCGTGCCATCACATGTCTTTCTCATCTATGGATTTCGCTCCTGAACACCAACCCGGCTATATATATACCCATTTTGAGGGAGCAACTTCTTAACACCTATGCATTAACGTACACACAGTGTGACGTGGCCATCCCCAAGCAACGCATGGCTCAATAGGTTTGCGGGCAGAGGAGGCAATGGGACGTAGGTGAGAAGTGTTGTATTAACTGGCTAGAAACGAAAGGAAAAGAGTGCGAATCTAGCAGCGGCCTCTATACATGCTCAAGTAGCTCAGGTAAGTCAGATTGCTCTCTACGGAGGATTCACTAGAGGCGCATGCCTATTACGTGACACATAGTTAGAAACCTAGATCCTCCCGGCTTCTCTATAGGCATCTGGCGTTCGAGTTTCCCTGGAGAAGAGGGATTTCCCCTGCAGAGTTCGTTTGTTAACACCCGGCTCTTTGTTTCTTGCAATTGGGTTTCTGAAACATCGTTCCGAGATTACAGGAAGCTATTACAGGTGAACTTTCTGGGGAATCATCGATGAGAAAGCGCCTAGCGTATCATGTGTTGAAGCGCACATGGCTCCTCATGAGGCATGCCCGAGACGAGCTTCGCTCCGTATATATTTCGAGGCTTTGTAGATTCCATTCTCTAACTTAAGTTCTTAGCAACCACTCTCCACGGCGTTGGGATGTTACACCATATATAACAGCCAAGGCAAACATGTCTTCCTGCGCACACTTCGCTCGGCGTAGCGGACCACGACGCATCGAAGCTGATCTCTCGCAGACGCCCTCTCAACACATCCCACCGTACAGCGCCGGCACAGGAAGGAGTCCAGGGAAGACACATCCAGTTCCTAGCGAGAAGGACATCAACCCGCACGGGATCAATACTAATACCTTGTGGAAGCGGCCCTGCAAAAGCGGTGGAACTTTTAGCCATCAAGACTTTGGGAAAGAGATCCCTCGACTGGTTGTTTGCTAGCCGACGAGGTGATTGGTTCCTTTTTTTGGAACAAAGAGAAAAAGGGCACGCCTTACACTACGTCATTATTACCTAGCACGTTATAATATGCAGTGCAGGTCATGCTTATACTATGTAGGTATGCGTTTATGCTTCGACCTTCCAGAACCCTAGAAATCATCGCCGACTTGGCGAGTTCAATCACTTAGCCAACTTGACATTGTAACCTTGGTGAATGCCTTGGAATTTCCCAATGGGACGATCCTAGTTTATCACGCCCATTAAAGGCCCTGTATGCCCGAAACACATCTAGGTAGATAGGGCAATGCTACCTATTAGTGATATTTATTCGATAGTGTCATTACTGTAGACATGCTATCGATAGACACCCCCCTTTATAGTATGTAGGTACCTAGGTAGTTAGGTATACATAGGTATGTAGTAATATGAGGAGAAAGTATCTTTGTATGTTGAAGAAAGACAGCTTGGACTCGCTATTAGAAGAGTTATATATAGAAACGACCACAGCTGCCAGCAACTAGTTTAGGGTGCTGATTAATAAGAACAACAGCTGTATCTAGCGATCGGCCAGCTGCAAATTGCAGTTGGGCGAAATGATAAATAGTAAGGATAAAGAAGGCAAATTCAACGATCAAGTATATAAACGAGTGTATGCCTATGTGTATGTGATCTACGTATGACGGCTGTGTAATAGAAAAGAATGTGAAAGTATGTATGCCAGATTCATATAAATATAGGTATATCGTAAGCCTTACAAGGGCTAACTAGATTAAAAAGTACCTACATATCAACCTACATATAGTATGTGCCTACCTTAGTTTAGGATCCGACTACGAGTTTAGGATATATTTAAACCCGTCTAACCTACGGTTCATTGTGGTTATGGTAAAGAATGAAACAGTGTCCTCTAGGTCTTCCAACGTTATCTGCCCCTGCTGACGGGGACGGGCTCTCTAGGATCTGTTTGAAATCCGGCATCAGTTCTCTTGCGTATGTCCATCTCCATCTCATCGCATATTGGCACTCTCAGACCTGAGCCTACTGAAGCTACCTTAGGTACCTCCTATAGGGCATTTGGTCAGTAGGTACCTAGCCTATTTTGTAGTACAGCATGGACGTATAGAAGTAGGTCATGTACTTAGGCATGTATATTAGGTATACGTGTACATGCATATATATGTAGGTACACTCACATACTCACCTACATAGTTGTTGCGTTGGTAAGAGGTGTTACGTAACCCATGCTCTTATGCAGTGCAATGCGCATAATACGGAGCGACGCTATGCTTGACGCTTGATCCACTTGAACTGGCACCTACGGGTATCCACGTGTACAATGCTCTCGTTGGTACGAGGTAGGAGATAGTTGAAGCATCTAGCAAATGTAGGTCAATGACTTACTGTGCATAGGTACGGGTCCGTTATCTACGTGATGGGTCAATTTGATGCAGAGTTTCATCAGTCCTCTTCGAGCACAGGGGAGATAAGAAAGGGGATGCATGAGGCTCAACTCGGTATTCTGCTGAAACATATCAGAACGCGTGTTTTGATGAGGTGAGGGATGGTGCTGTTGTCACGGACCCGGAGGGGCTTTTAGCTAAGTGTTTGATCTCCTCCAAGATCAGGGGCCAGATCCTGGTATTTCCGCTTGTGGTGCCTGCGATTGCGATTTATGATCAGAGAAGCCCGGGGCCCCCCTACGCCTCCTCGCTAAAGAGGTGGCGTTGATCGACCGTGGTAAAATTGGCCGAGGGTCCTCTTCACACATGCCCAAAATTGCGCCCCTCAAAATTCTGCGCACCCGGATTCTGGGAGCGATTATGACTACGCGGCTCGGATAAAAGGGGTTGATGAGGCTGGGGTGAAGTGCGATTCCGATCGTGGGCAGAGGTCACACTCAGGCGCCAACGGCCGTACTCACATATGCGTATGTATTATAGCCTAACCGCCTATATGTGATGACGAGAGAGAAGAAACACGTTCCCGAGTTCGGATGAATCGCTGCCTAGTCGATGGAAAGGAGATCGCAAACTCCGCAATGACTCGCGAGACGATTCCTTGCATCAAGAACATCATCATAGAGGTCCACGTCGGACCTACATATGTACGCGGATAGTGCTTACACACTAAACACCAAGCATGAGATGCAATGCACAGAACACGGCGCGACGACCTATCGGCCAACCATCACCTGGACAGTGCTTGCGCCGGTTCGCAATTTTTTTCGTTGGTAGTCCATAAATCGTGCCGGGCCCTTCTCATGTAGGGGGCTTGAGGGGCGTTACCTGCAGCCGACCGTTGATTCCTTGCAGGACTCCGCAGACTAAAATTCAACGTGACTGAGGTATCCCGCAAGTCAGAGTGCCCTTGATTATACGCATCCTGAATGGGTGGTGATAGTCAAGGAGGGGCGGGTAGAGAGGGGGAAGAAGGGGAAAAGAGATGGAAATAAGCAGGCAAATCAACGAAACAAAAAAGCCTGGGGAGTTGGCAATTAATAGGTATATGTACCTAAGGTAGGTACCTAGGTATGCAAAGACAACTTTGCGAAGAGACCTAGTAGGTACCTAACGCACCTACAAAGGTATACGTAAATGCATGTACAGGTATGTAGGCCGAATGCCCACCGACAACCCACCGAGTATGGTGCCGAGTCTCCTCCGAGTAAACACAACTGACGTGTACTTACAGGTGCATGGTAGGCACCTACCTATCGTGCCTACAGTAAACACACATTATAATCCGCATGCTTCGCATTCTCCCTATGTAATATGTACCAACGCCCTGGAGATTCCATGCGACAACGCTATCTATTTAATACAAGCCGGGGAGGTCCGTCCACAATAATATAGCGCAGGCCAACGATTGTCCCTGACAAGGCAGGTAGTCTCCCTCTATATATACCTAGATATGCATGTACACGCCTGCATACCTACCTATCTACACACCTATTCGTTTTCGAAACTTGGGTAAAGGCAGGCTCTTCGAGACGGTCAACAATTGACCCGCATCTCCCACTCTTCGCGCCCCGCCCCTTCAGGTCCAACAATCAACGCTTCTGGTTGGCTGCAGCAACTTTCCCGTCCGATGCGGTACTGTCTCCGAGCGCACCAAATCTCGCTGATAGCAATGATTGGGTATATCTTGCCGTCTTGCTACCGAGCATGAACTACTGCAAGGTTTTTTTTCTTTCGCTCTTCATTGATACCTAACGTTGTCCGACTTACTAGTAATTACACACCGCTTTCTAGGGAAGATAGCTCAAATATAGGCAGGTAGGTCACATATAAGGTACTGCGTATTCGCGGGAGGAAAAAAAGGAAGGAAAAAAAATTGTACGTATACCCATTATATGTGGGCCACTCGTTATTCGTACCTATTGAGTTGGGCATTATGAGCGAACATATTCTCCCCGCTTCGTAAACAATAATAAGAAGTATCCATCGCCACCCTAATTGGTGTTAAAGCACATACCAGCACATACCACACCCTCCAAAGAAGCCCCTGAACTTATCCTGCACCTATTCTTAAACCTTGCTTGCAGATCCTTTCATTGAAAATCAACATGGGACTCGGGACGGGACACGGGCGAGAACCAGAAGAGGAACTAATAGCTGGAGACAATAAGCTGTACCCTATAACTGCGTATGTACAAGGGCACCGTCTCGTGCTCACGGACCTCCTCTGTCGGATCACCACACATGCGTCGGTTGCAGTCTTGTGGCTTCCTCCCCTCCTTCCCAGAGGCCATTCCGTCCCACACCAAGTTAAGATGGTTAGCGTCTTCTGCACTCGCTGGCGTAAGGGCAGGCCTTGCCGGTTGTAACTAGCAGTGGCTAACTGCAAGTTGGTGCCGGAGAGGTCCTGGCCTTCGCGATGTGCGCCCCTTGCGCGGGAAAAGAAAGGGGGGAGGGCGAGTGCGAGATGACTGGCCAAAAGCCCAACCCGTTGTCTAGAAGTGCCTATGTTGCTATGAGAGAGGTATGTTGGCGCCTATGTTGGCATTTAGGCGCATCCTGTGTTGATGAGCTTGCGAGCGCAAACTATGTAGTAGGCACGAAATATGAGGCTAGTCTAGACATTCCAGATTATTTGTAGTCTACCTACCTACCTACCTACCTACCTAGATACCAAGGTGTGTGCCAATGAGTATGTATGATGCGCAGGCAATGTACGTGTATGTAGGCAGGTATGTCGGGCAGTTGACGGGTTAGTTGATACCAAGACGATTGGAACCAGCTTCCGATGGGCCACCTTCATATCCATACCTACCACATCCTTATCCTTCCCATCCAGACCCCCGGCACACGGACTCGGGCTACTACCCTCTCTGCCTCTCTCCCTGTCCTAGCCAAATCTCAGTATGATCGAGAGCTCTGATTGAGTGTTCGGTGTTCTCCTGAGATTGGAGCACTAGAGGTAAACCTCTCCTCCTCTTCTCTCCCTACCTCTCCCTTCTCTCTTTCCCTCTCTCCACCACCACTCGTCGCTCGTTTAGACAACCACACTTCTCTTTCCTGTCCACTCAGTCCTTTTTTCTCTTGTTCGAAAACGACGACGATACTGGCGGCATCTCGCGCGATCTCGGTAGAAGACCAGCCTCGATACCATTTATGGGACTTCCTTGTCTTTTACATTTATGCGGAAACAGATCTCGGAGCCCCTGCGAGTTCGAACCAATACATGGCCTACAGCAGCCCACACACACCACAGCTACATACACCACACCCGGCCTACATACATACACGTACACATACTTGCATACGCGACCTGAATAATACCTAATACAAGTGGGCGGAGAGGATCCCCTCCGAAAAGAGGGAGATCTGGCGGTAGCGAACGTCATTGGATCAGCTGACTGGGAATAGTTTGGTGAGAGACAGCAAGAGAAGGGACGGTTAAAAATAAGAATAAGCACGAAGATATGATGGTCCCGACGAAGCCCGAGGCGGTTCAGGCCTCAATTGATAAAAGGTGCCCGCCTGCTGCTGGTGGGTGCGGTAGCCGTAGCGGCAACTCTAGCGGTAATGGTAGGTGACTATGAATGTCCTCACCCTGACCTAAGCTTATTGTTCAACCCTCCGTACCTAACCATACCTGACTCTTCTTCCCCCCTTCCAACCCGCCCGACCACACCTCCATGGCACATTCACTTCAGTTGGGTCCCGCCCCCCCATATTTGGACCTTTGGAGGTACGTAAAGGTGCCACTGAGGTACATTGGCCATTGGCGTATCAAAGTACTTCGAAGGGCTTCCATGGTTCTGAGTACCCTAGGTAGTTACCTGGGGACCGGAGGGCGCCACTAACAATTTACGCCTCTGCATGTACATGCCTCCTCACGCGCAGTGGTACCTGGTTCCTTAGTACTAGTACCACCACTGCCGCTTCCTATCTCCCCAATAATACCACCGTCAATGCTGCGGCCTCCTCAGACCCATCGCCCTCCTTTTCGCCTCCCGCACCATCTACCAAAACATCATCACCATCCTCCTCCTCCTCAGCAACAATCACCGCAATCCCGACTGCGACCACCATCACCACCACTAACGCAACCAAAACAGCCGTAAATAGCGCAGGCAGGACTCCGGCGTCAGCTGCCACGCCGTCAAAGCAGACTGTCCTACACGCACACCGACAGAGCCACAACTCGTCCAAACTCCCCGCCTTTCGTTTCGCCGATCTGAAGAGAGAGCCCATCGTGTTGCCCTCGCTGCTGCAGAACAATCACCACATACATCACATACCGCCGTCTCCTGTCTCACCCGACCCAGATCAGCACCCCGACGCCCAACCAAACGCGACGCAGGAGACGCCCCCGCCACCCGTGCCGGCGCATCTGTCAAATCAACATCTCAGCCATACCAGCAACACCACTAGTGCCCGTCCTGGTCCCTCTGTCTCACGCCAACAATTGATCTCGGATCGCTCGCCTTCCCCCAGGTCTCGGGCGTCCACCTTTCAGAACCCCACTACCCTATCGACCGCCAAATCTTCAACGGCCTCCGTCAATGTAAAACGATCAGCATCGCTGGGTTCATCTGCTGCCATCGCTACTACTACTATTACTAACGGGCTGTCCCCCAATCCGGCCGGCATCAAGTCGCCCTCGGATTCCGCCGACACCCTCGTCACGGTACGCCAGCATCCACGGCACAGGCGCGCGCCTCTATCGGCCGGTTCAGCGACGACCCTCGACACCCCGTCTGGCAAGCGGATGCATGCTGCCGAGGACAATCCAGGTGCATCGCCAGGCGAAGAGATCAGCAAGGAGGGCGCGCACGGACAGCGAGAATTGCTGCTACCGAAAACGATACAGAGGACCACTGCGGATGAGAGGAGGAACTCAGTAGCGCGGCGTCCACCCATATCCTACAAAGCGCCGGTAACTTCTGCCTCGTCGGGAGGCACTGCTTCTATCCCGCCGATCCGATCTTTCCGGTCTTCCGGCGAGCGACGTAGTCTCGTGCTCGACATGAACGTCCGCTCGATGCGCTCCTACGACGGGGGCGATGATTACGGTGATTCGAACCACCGTGATAGGACCTTGCGAGCACTTGAGGGCAGGCGTTTCGACGACGTATCGCAGATAACGCCGCCCGACTCAGCTGGGGATCGCCCAGATGTCGACGAAAATGGCGATCTGTTTTTGAAAATCGCTCGCGAGGATCCTCTACGACGCAGTACCGACAGCACCGGGACGCACGGGGAAAATTCGAGTGCCTTGGTAAGTCCAAGATTATTATTCTCTTGTCTCCTAATTGTTTCAGAACCTGCAGAGTGTCATAGCACGCGCGCGCTCGTAGCTCTTGGACTTTCGCTATGACTTGTCCCCTTCAGGAACGTCCCCCACTCCCCGAGGTTGCAGGATCCGTGAATCTCACCCGTGCTGTCCACGTCGCCCACATCTGGTAGCTGACAACACTCGTCGCCTTTCCCAAACTTACTCTTTCGTCACCTCCCTTGATGCGAGCATAACCCTGAAGGCTAGCACTGACATATAATTCAGTCACGAGTTACGCGGACCAGCCGTCGGCCACTTTCTATTGGCGTCTCCTCGTACCAGCCAGCTTCGCCGCCCCAAATGTCTCGGCGCTTGTCAGATCAGGAGACCTCTCGGTCTAGGGGCTTTAGTGATGAGCAGTCGGGTGAGAGAATCGCCCGCACTCTAACCTACAGGGGGCCATCCAGAGACAAGTCCTTAGAGGAAACCAAATCGAAGGCGAATAGCGCTCCCCTCCGTGCTTCTCCTCTCACCACCCCACGATCGTCCTTTCCGGATGCTCCTCCCGAGCAGGCATCGGCTGCTTATGGCCGCAAGAGACAAATGTCCATCGACAACGGCACTCCAGGCCCATCGCGTGTGTCGTCGTTAAAGCTTAACAATGTCAACTATAGCCACCCTCGCGGCTATAGTTCATCGCCACTAGTGCAAAAGCCGATGGAATCTCAAAAGAATGATACCCAACAAGGTGACACGGGTCACGGTGTCGAGGGCACGGACTCTACGGCATCAACCGCGGCCCCATCTACAGTGTGGGATGAACTCGACGACCTCAAATCCCGCATCCACCGTCTCGAGTTGACTGGCAAATTGCCTCCAACCTCCGGTGCCGCCATTTCGCGCGCCTCGGAGGAGCGGCCTCCAACCGCCAACACTAACGCGACAACTTTATCTGCATCCCCAAAGCGCGGGTCTGGCGGCGCTGCGCAAGCATCTGATTCAAATATCCCGCAAAGAGACAGCCACCCGCTCCTACACTCGGCTCTGCTAAAATCCAAAGAGTTTATTAGCACAGAAGCTTTCGAGGCGCTAGAGACGGCAGCTAACGATGCGCTGTCCCTCTCCTCGATGATGGGCATCGCTGGCCAGCCAGGCCCTATTTCAAGCGGCGCAAGCAGCATTGGTAGTGGTACCACCATCACCGACCGACAGTTGAGACGAAAGGCGGATAGTATATGCCGCAGCCTCACCGAGCTTTGTCTTGCTCTCAGTGAGGGCGTGCTACAAGCCAAATCACAGCAAGTAGTCGCGGCAGCCGTAGAGAACCCCCCCATGGCCAGCCCTACCATTACCAAGTTTCCGGGGATGTCCAATTCGAGACGGCCGAGTCTCGTCGACCGCAACCTGGCAGTCACCACTAGCCCTCGAGCGCCACCTCGATATGAAGAGAGGCGGAACAGTGCGATCTCATCTAGCGTACAGCCAACCCCGCGATATAGTAACACGTTACCCGTGGGCCCCAATGAAAGCACGGTCATGACTGGTCGCAAGACTTCAATGCTGCTATCCCGCACCCGTCGAATTGGTTCCGAAGAGCCCGAAGAAGGACGCAAATCATCCCTGTTGAGGACTCGGCGGGCCACCACGGAGGAGCCGGAGGATATGTCAGATCGTAAGCCTATAATCATCCGAGGGCGTCAAGGGACGGTGGAGAACGAAGAAGAGGAATCGCGATTCCGCGCCCCTTCCCGAGCCATCACTGAGGTTCAGGGGCACCGATCGGTGACGCGCGAGTACGCGTCGCAGCTACCCGCACCCCCTTCAAAAGAACAGGAGACCCTAGCGTCGTCTGCTCTTCCGAGAAGGCGACTCGGCTCGGCCCTTAATACCAGACTGGTACTACCGGCAACGACAACGGGCATCGCCACGCCTATCCGGCGCTATTTTGAACGATCAACTCCCGACCGTGAAGCCTACAGCCCCGCAGAGAAGATTTACGAAGGCCGACCACAGCGGCAATTCTCGATTGCCCGCCCTGGAAGCATAGATAAACGAGCAAACCGAGACAGTATGATTGCTAGTGCTCACGCAAGCGGCACCTACCGGTAATGCCACAACGAAGACAACGACGAGCTCATGACGATGTTAGCCATAGACCGGTCACTTGGGCAAGAGCATACTCGCGCAGCTATGAAACATGTGCATGGTTAGATGGCTTTGATTATTAGTGTTATTCCTTTTTCTTTTTTCTTTTTTTTTCCCTGCAACTCCTGGAGACCTTTCTGCGAAAATACCCTTCCCACATTTGCGAAAGGCTTACGAATTTCCTTTTTACCGCCAAGGGGATGGCGTTGACATGCGCCATGTTTCCTGTACATACACATCAATCGGGGACCCAAAACGTGTGCGCCACGGAGATCGTCAAGCGAGTGAGTCGACGGTCTGGCATGGAGCGACATCTGGTGTCGGATGGGGTTTTCAAGTTGGTTCCGAAACCGCCGCGAACAGGAGTTCGTAGCGGACTGGACACACAACAGAGAGAGAGAGAGGCGGGGCGGAACTACACCGAACCGGGCTGGGCTGAGCTAACTCTATACGTTCCCTTACTTGGCCTTCCCTTATCGCACCTTGGCTTTACTTTACCTTACCTGAGCTCTGGGTTCTCCTCTGTGAAATAGCGGCGCAAAGGGGAATCGGATTTGAGGCTCGCGGCTCGGGAAGCGGGGAATCCAAAAGGGGGGGGGGTGGAGGGGAGAGAGTGTTGTACTCTGGTTAGGTATAGCCCAGTCTTGGCGGTCCTGCTGAGGGTTGGCTTTCTACTATAGGGCAAGCAGGGCAGGTGAGGAGGACAGACCGGTGTGTGGTCAACCAATATACCAATGTACTATGTAAATAAGGCCGTCGGAAGGCGGCAATAATGTATGAATATTAGGGTTTCGAGACGAATATGTCCGTTCAGCAATGATGCCGCTTCTCTGGAGTGACGCACCGCCGTACAATATAGGTACCTACCTAGGTAAGTAGGCTACAATGGTGCAGAAAAACACAGATGACTTCTTCTGGAGTACCAGGAGATGGGGTACCTGTGTTTTAGTTGTAAGTGCCCACCCAGTACGGTAAGGTACTTGAGTACATAGGTAAGTACCAGGTACCTACCTAGTTGGAATGTACCCGATGTACCTGGGTATATGAGGCAGGTGTTTATTCACTTTAGATAGGTACCCAAGGTAGGCGAGTAGCTTATGTATCTAAAGGCAAGTCGGTACTTAAGAGGTAGGTGAGGCAGGTCCCAGTAGGTAACCACCACTTCGCTTTTTTCAGGTTTGCAAACGGTGACAGACGGACAGACGGCGGAGAGGACTTATCGCGACGGCCTACTTACCTACGCAACCTGGCTATAGGTGCCTATCGCCTTTCTTCCCTCGTTTTCCCCCATTTAGATACGAGATGGACGTTGTTTCCAGTTCATCTGCTTCGTTTCTTTTCTAAGAGGGTTTTCTCAACAGAGACCTATCACCGTCTTTGCCGACACCCTGGCTCTACACAAGCTATCAGGACGCCGTTACCTCATCACAGGCTTGCTGGGCAGAGGCATATGTGGTAGCGGCAGCGGCGGCAGCAGCAACAGTGGTAACACTCGTTGTGACGTCCACAACTACTACCATAGTAATATCAATACAAACAACACATTAGCACCACAGCTACACCGGCTGGCGTGTCGTCACTTCAGTGGTACTAAAGGTTGACACCCCCCCTCTCATCATCCTCTTCCAACCCCAGCAACTAAGGAAATCCAATCGTGGGGTTTCCTCCGCTCCCTCTCCTGAGGCTACTTACTACTTCACTCCTACCACTAGGTACCACACACACCCGCTGACAGAACACAAGACAGTAATATCCGCACCCACAGCAGCGGCATGTCAGACTTCGAGGACGAGCTCGCCGAGGCGGCCGACCGTATGGTAGAAGGAGGTAAGGGGGCGAGGGGGGCAGGGAAGAAGGGTGGAGCCCCGGCGGGTGGCCGGAATCGCGAGGTACTCATCTCGAAGGCACTGTCGACATTACTGCGGCACCGCGCCCTAATCGCTGGCATCCGGCTCGACACCGAGGGGTACGCGCCACTGGATCGGGTGGTGAGTTCGTTTTTTTTTTGGTTGTTGATGTTGATGTTTTGTTTTTTAACGGGAGGAGGAGGAGGCTGGGGCAAGGCAAAAGGGAAAGCAGACTTCGCTAGAAAGGCGGGAGGGTTAGGAGGGGAGGTGGAAAGGAAACAGAAGGAAAGGAATGAAGAAGAAGAAGAAGAAGAAGAAGAAGAAGAAGAAGGAAAACTGAACTGGTGGGGACCATGACGGAAGAGGAAGAGCAATCCTGCTAACCCCTTCACAAAAAAGATGCTGTGGCCGCGCCTCCGGTCACTCAATCCCACCCTCGACGACATCCGACAGGTGGTCGCGGACGATGCGAAGCAGCGGTTCTCCATGAAGCCGAACCCCGCGGCGTCGGCGAACCACCCCAGCGGGTGGCTCATCCGCGCGAACCAGGGCCACACGATCGCGGTCGCGGCCGAGGGCATGCACACGCGGCTCACGCTCGAGGCGGGCAACGTGCCCGACGTCGTCGTCCACGGCACTTACTTCGCGTTCTGGCCGGCGATCGAGGCGTCCGGGGGGCTGAAGCGCATGGGCAGGCAACACGTGCACTTTGCCACAGGGCTGCCGTCGTCGCGGCCTAGTGCGGAGGGGGGACAAGACGAGGACGGGGGCGAAGGCGGGCGGGAAAGGGAGCAGGCCAAGGTGGTCAGCGGCATGCGCGGCGACGCCGAGCTCCTCGTGTTCGTCGACGTGAAGCGGTGCCTGCGCGAAGAGCCGCGGATCCGGTGGTGGTTGAGCGCCAACGGGGTCGTGCTCGCGGACAGGGATGGCAGCAACGTCGGAGACGGAGACGGGGACGGGGACGGAGGCGAGGAAGAAGACGCGAGTCCTGCTTTGGTAGTGCCGCTGCGCTACGTGACCGAGGCGCGGGGTCGCGTGCAGGGCGTCGGCGTGCTGTGGCGCGACGGCGAGAAGGTGGCAGACCTGCCACCCGACGTGGTGGCAAGGGTCCCATTTGGAAAGGGAGGCGGGACCGGAGGAGAGGGAGGGGAGAAGAAAGGGGCAGAACGGGGTTCCGGAGAGGGTTCCAGGAGGGGGAAAAGAGGCGGAGGGAGTGGTAGGGGAAGAGGGAGTGGGAAAGGGGGTGGTAGGGGGCGGTAGTAGAGGCGGTAGGGAAAGGGGGTAAAAGTGTAGAGTTTACGGTCCCTAATTATGCTGTCGCGGCAATCTTAGGCTATTCGCCACATACACATGATAAAGCCGAGCAGACATCGAAGTATGACAACTCCTACGAGCAGAGTGGGCGCCTAGCTATTTGAATGTTTTGGGAGGGCTCCGCTAAGAACGAATCTACTGCGTGCTACACGCGTAGGTAGATAAAACAACGTAAGACGCGAGTGCGCGACCGGCGCGAAACGAAAAACAATAGCTATCCCGTGCCTCTCCAGGCGGGACTACGTGCACACAACAATACCTATGTTCATATTTAGCTTGTCTCCTTTCCTCTGTCTGCTGTCTCTCCGAGGTCATGAGTGCGGCCACGTACCTACATGCTCCCCCCTTTTCCAGGCCGCGCCAGATTTTCGCCGCTCAGCGCGCAGCCGGCGTCGCCGGGGCGGAGGCGTTCTGGCGCCAGAACCGTAGCCGCGCTGAGGTGTGCGTGCGGATGGGCTCGTCGTTTGCTTCCTCGGCGCCTGCGCCTCCACCTCCGTCCTCGCCCTGACCTTCGTCCCCGTCCCCGCCCTCGTCATTATCATCGCCGTTTGAGTCCGAGTCCGAGTCACCCTCATCATCGCCGACCGGCGCCGTCGAGGTCGCGTGATGGTGGTGGTGGTGTCCGTGCGCGCCGGGGGTTACGGTGGTGAAGGACCCCCAGACGACGGTGGTGGTGCGGAGCCCGGCGCTGATCACGCCGGGCTCGGCGGACGAGGTGACGGTGAAGAGGTGGTGCGGCGTCACGGTGGTGGTCTCGGTGGTGGTGGTGGTGACGGTGACGGCGGAGCGCACCGTGGCCGTGGCGTTGGCCGTCACCGTCCGCTCGCGCGCCACCGTCACGACGGGCAGCGGGTTCGCCGCCTCCTCCTGCGGCGTGAGCTCCGACCCGTCGCGCCCCGCGCACGTCAGAGTGCCGTCGCGGACGTGGAGAACGTTTCCTGCGTGCGGTAAAGGGCGGCGGGGGGTTGAATTAGTAACTAGTTGTCGTCGGGGCTCGAGGAGAACGAGAAGAAAACGGGTGGGGGGGAAAGCATACGAAGGAGTATACTGGTCAGTTGAACCGTCTCCTGGTCCTTCTTTATGCACTGGCACACGAGCTGGACGCCGTTCTCGCTGTCGGCGGTCGACGCCACGGCGACAAGGCCGCAGCCCGGGCACTGCAGCGAGAAGGGGCCTGGGTCCCGCGGACCGCTCTCAGAAGACACTAGGGTCCCATCCTCGTTGGTGATGCAGCTACGCAGGCGGGGAAAAAGCGTTAGCAACGTCCTCGTTCCTCGGGCTCGAAACGTGGCAAAGATATCCTTGAGAGGAAGAGAGAGGAAGAGAGAGGAAGAGAGAGGAAGAGAGAGGAAGAGAGAGGAAGAGAGAGGAAGAGAGAGGAAGAGAGAGGAAGAGAGAGGAAGAGAGAGGAAGAGAGAGGAAGAGAGAGGAGGAGAGAGGAGGAGAGAGGAGGAGAGAAAAGGAAAACATACTCGCCGAGGACCAACTTGCTCGCGTGGTAGTCGTCCGCGGTCAGGTTTGCGCCCGGCGCCGCGCGCCCGGTCTGGCAGCGCGCCGTGAGCGTCGTCGTGTTGTCCCGGGTCCAGAGGTAGTACCACGGACACAGGCCGTCGAACGAGTCCTGGGGCGGCGTCGGCCACAGGTCCTGACCTGCCGCTCCTCTCGGCGCGCGCAGGAGGGGGAGAAGCAAAAGGGGAGAGAGGAAGGGAGCAGCGCCGGGGCGACTGCGTCGGCTGCGACCGATCTTCATCGCGCGCGCCTACGGGCCGGACGGACCGGGGGGTCTCGACTTTGTGTTCTTGATGCTCGCGAGGAGATGGAGAGAGAGAATAGAAGACGCTTTTGCGCTGATGGCTGTAGAACGGAGGTAAATGGGGAGGAAGGAAAGCAAATCGGTTCCAGGTTGGGAGAAGGGTAATATGTATAATGCGGAAGACACCTCAGGTTGGCTGTAGAGTTTTCTTGAGTAGGAGAATATAGTTAGTCACCCACGGGCTCAACCCTCCTGTGTCACTTTGCGAGGAACTCGGGTGCCCCAGGGTACTATGGGCACATGCGTTACTGGCGGCTTTGCGTAAGTTGCAAGTGACTCACTTAGCATGGACATGCTGAAATCGTAGGAGTCATTGACGCCCCGAAGGACTCGTGGCAGGCGAGACATCAATGGCGGGATTTGTCCGTCTGTCTGTTCTAGTAGGTAGTTAATGGGTGTACTCGGCTATTTTCCACTCATCCTGACTTATTGCCCAAGAGCCTGAGGGAGAAGGGGGCACAAACAAGCGACAATTGAGCCTCATTATTTGCCTTTGTATAGGTACGAGGTAGGTCTTGCTGCCATTGTTTTCACCCGCCTGGGCATCAACTTGATTTAACTTACCTGGCTTGCTATCCCTACCTGCCAGTTGAATGGGGCATCATGGCTATGGGCTGGCATATTCGAATTGAAGGTTGCCTATGCATCTTGAGAATAGTTTAACGAATGCTTATACTATATTTAACGTAGGTACCGAGTAATAATGGCCGCGCGGATTTAAATGTTTGTTAAAGCTATTACGAGAATTAATAAACCTATAGAAGCAAATTGATAATAAGATTAACTACGGAGGACTAAAACTAATCGAAAAAAGTATAGATTCTATAAACGAAGGTATCGCGAAAAAAACACGCGTTTACAGGCCTAAACGCGGTAGCCCGTAAATTGGTAGCCCGAAGAGTGGTGACCTATCTTAAAGAGACGTAAAGACATTAGCATTAACATAGGAATTACACAACTTGCTTCGCCAGTGACCAAGTCTATCAACCTAGACTATCTGAACGAGTCTACTATGGTCTGTTTTCTACAAATGCAAGCCAAGATTCGCTGGATGCCTCGCTCTGTCAATGGGACTGGGTGACGTGTAGGTGATTCCGCTGGCCCCGCTGACCCTGGTAAAGTTTGTAGGATGTTGAGTCGATGCAGACGGCGGAGGGTTATAGCTGACGGGAGACCGTGGAGCCATCCCGTAAGACGCTATAGTCTGGTCATAATTATACGATGTCGTAACCGGTGCATACGAAATAGGTGGGGGCCCATGGCTCATGTTGTAAGACGACGGGGGAATATAGGGGTTGGCGTAATTAGCTGGAGCGTAGCTGTTCGGAGCGGGCGTCGACGGCATCCGCCCATCGCCAAAGCTGTAGGTTCCGTACGGTGGAGTGGTAGAGGTGGGTCCTCGGCCCGGATGGTCGGCCAAAAGATACTCGTGGTCGTCGACGGGGGCTCTGAAATTGCCCGAAGGTATCAAGCTCGACGGCATTCGTCCGTCGCCAAAGGTGTAGGTTCCATACGGTGGAGTGGCAGTGGCGGGCCCTCGGCTCTGATCGGGTAGGACATACTCGTGGTCGTCGACGGGGGCTCTGAAGTTTCCCGAAGATATCAGGGTCGGCCGGGGGGTAATGCCAAGGAGTGAGGGGGCTTCGGTTGGCGTCGTCAGTTTGCCCGATAAAACGTCTTTGATGGTGTAATAGGATACTAGGTGATGCTGGACGCCGCGGTGGGAGACGCTGATCGTCTTCTTTATCAGGCCTTCTTGCTTGAATTGATACGAGTCAACGAGGGATCCGACGAGAGCTCTCTCTGCGTCATTTCGGGTATTCACCGAGCTCCCCAAGTCTGCCATCGAGACTGCACCCGCCATGAAATTGGTGTAACTGGCAGTTGCGACAGTCCTCGAGTTGGGTGTCGGCTTGGATATCGATCCATCACACGGCCGCTGGCGTTTCATAGCCCTCTTCTTCTCGCCCGGCTGGAAAGGTTTGTCTAGTTCGCGATACAACAAGAAATTGCCGAGAATCCGACTCGGGCTCCAGGGAACACCATCCGTCCAACGTTTGATTCCAGATGAGTGCTCTTCATAGATAAACACATTGCCGCTGACGATCAGGTCGGGGCGTTCTCGATCGTGTGGTCGTCTTGGCACATGCGAGAACCGGCCGCAGAGACACGCTTCGAATAGTATGAGGGCATCCATCGTGCTCCCTATGTAGCCGATAAAGGTCGGGCCCAAGGCAGGGCCGGATTGTCCACCCAGCATGGCGGATCCGGGGATCATACTCGACATTGTCTCGTCACGGCAGATAACCGAACTTTCAGACTCTCGGCGGGAACGTAAATAGTAGATCGGCCGCTAAGAGGCTTCTTTCTGGCTAGAGAAGTTCTGGTTAGTGACAGGAAACTACGTCTTCGAAAGCCGGGTATTATCGTACCTGTGACTTGCTGGATTATGACGTTCACCTGTCCTGGGTTGGGATATTATACGCTGTGAGAGAAGGAGATAGCCAGGCCAAGTCCTGGCTGTTGGTATATGTGTGAGGCAGATCAAGCTAGCTCAAAAGACGTCGGAGACGAAACCCAAACACCAAGGTTGCGGATGCCGGTGTAAGGTTGATGGATTGATGTTGACCGATGGGTATTGGAAAGGGCCAAAATTCAACTCGAGCGAGAAGATTAATCTCCGCTTTCACTTGCGACGGTTGAATGAGTGTAATCGTGCGATGGCCGAGCGAGTGCGATCCAGAGTGTGCGTGCGTGCGTTGTGTCTCTGTGTTGGCAAGAAAGGAGAGGCCTCTGCGAGAAGAGGAAGGAGTTCTTTTATACGAAATGTCCTGGGACCTCCGATGGCCAGCTCCAGGGATCAGAGGACAGAAGACCCCTGGACACTGGGCTCCCTCCGAACTCTCTATTTCTACGCACGTACTCGTCGAACGTATGCTGGCCGACCGAACCTTGTTGTGGGCGGGAGGGCTGGTATCTTCGGAGTGGTAGAAGCCGTGCCAGGTACTTGCAAGGACCCCAGAGCACCGTGAGGGACGCGTCCAAAGGAGGTATCGAAGGTTAATGAGGGCACCTCGTCGATTAAGTTGGAGTCTGATGCCGTCGTGCCCTGAGCTGTTCAGGGGGGGGAGGGGGGGGGAGGGCCAGGTGGCGGCCTCGGAGGCATCGGTTTCGAAATAGCTAACTACACGGACTCCGTGGTTTTGGGTGGCCGCCGCGCGGACCTCTTGAGGGGATTCCACCGGGGGATTTCGCAGCCGGATGGTGGCTGAGAACGAGAGGAAGCCGCGTGGGACGCAGGTACGTACGGGCTAAGAAGGCGCGAGATCTATGAGGGAGGGGGCGAGGAGGAGAAGAAGGTTGACTTACCTAAGGCGCGGCAGGGCGGTGATGTCAGAGGGTGTGCCGGGCAGCGAAGAGGTGCTTCCGGCATGGGCAGGGCATGACGAACTCGTATACGTGTGCGCGGACCGCCTTCGTTACCGCCCTTGCCACGGATATTCTGCCTACATCCCCCATGTCCAACTCGCCGGCGATTCATTCACCCACCTCCTCTGCTCTTCTCAGGCCTCTCCTCTTCTCAGGCCTGGCCTCCGCCTTCTCTCCTCCTCTTCCACCGTAGATAGGGTTGTTATCCTATATTTGTATATATACCTGCCTGTATATATCTACACCGTTGTTATATCTCTTCGTCCTCGTCTGGATGTCCCGGTCCTGGCGAGTCGCCTCCGCCCCGAACGCCATGCCCATACCACGCCATACCCTACCACCGACGAAGATAGGTAGGAATATACACATTTTCGGTCCCCCGGAAATAGACATGGATTGCCTACATAGGAGGTCGGTGTATTTCCCTCTGTCTCGGTGAGAACATCTGAGTCTTCCCCCCCTCGGCCCCTCGCCCCCCGCCCCCCTCTCTCCCCCCCCCTCCTTCTTCCTCACAGCAGCTATGCTAGGGCCACGGGCCCATTAAATCAATGCGCAAGGAGGGACTCCCTCTCAACTATGGATACCTACCGGTCTTGCTAAACCACACCGGTCCAGCCTTGGTCGGTCGCGGGCCGAATAAGGCGCAAGGGCTATTACTGCGAAAACCTGGCGAGTCAAAACACCGCTGCATAAAGCTGTGGGCAAGTCTACGCCGCACCGCTGAGGAATGACACGGAGTGATGGTCATGTGCCTGGAGAACTGGTTGCAAACTGGGGTATCGAGGCGTCTAGAGGGCGTCGTGTCGCGCCGCGTCGCTAGTTGCCACGACAACCTCGAGTACGGCCACCACCTGCTTTAGTCAAACAACATCGAGAGGGCCAATCCTGACAGGCCAGAGCGACGTAAACGGGAAATGGGCCGGTTCCGGGTACCGCGTAATACCTGACGGCCTCCTCTCCCCCCTTTGCGATCCGCGCCAGTACGAAGAAAGCTCTGGATGCTGTGTGACGGAATAATGATAAGGTTTCTGGAGCGGCCTGCCCAGTGACGTACGAGCCTCGGGGCGCTGTTGACGGCCGCGTACTTGGAGCTTTCTTCATGCCAGCTGATAGATGCCAACACGGATGGACGCTCGGCCACGGATGATTCCTAGACTTAAAATGAGAAAGAGAGGTAATCGTGTACCCCAAAGTGACAAGCCGTTAGCTTCTTCGATTTCTGTTTCCTTCCCACCAGGATCTGCTGTCAACCCTTCAACCCATGTCATGTCTCGTCCCCAAAGGCCGTCGCCAATCTGGACCTTCGAAGTGAGTCGAATGCGGGATCTGTAAAGTTGGCCCGTATTAGTATTTAGGCGTTGCGTCCGACAAGGGTCACCCATATAAGCCCCTCTTACCTTCTTGCTCTCTATGGTAACCCGCTCGGTAGTGTAGCGTGTGGGGTGGTGCTCTCGAAAACTAGGGCAAGCCCCCTCTATTTCACACAAAGTCGAAGACCATTGCGGAGGGGAGCCTGGGGATGTGCATCGGGAATAGCCAGTACGAAACGGCTGGGTTGGCATAGGGCAGTGGGTAGGTATTTCTGACGCCGCGCGTGTGTATGTAACCGCAGCTCGAAGACTGCGACATAAATTTGGTAGGCCAAAGGTTGTCGCTACCTACCTATACACCCATCCGAAAGGGCTTACCTGCCTATATACCTACCTATCCGCAAGGTTAACTATATCGATGCGGGATAGGGCAAGACAGGCTGATGAATTGAGCGCGAATACAACGTCCCTTTAAGCTCGCCCTCGCGTGTGCGCGAGCGTATCAATACGTCTACGCGGAAATCCTGGAAACTCGGGGCTTGGTGCGAGTCTCGCACGTCTTGACAGAGTTACTCACCGTCATTACCCCTGCCGCCGCCGCCGGGCCCTAGATCAGAGACAACAATCTGGTTCCGGTAAACCTACCCCGAACCACGACTACTTATCGCCCCTAAGGTTGCATGACTGCCGCTAGCCGTCTAACTCCCGTTCAGCCTCATCCCCCATCGCCGCACCCCGACCCAAGGGGGCACGGCGGGTCCGGGCAGGTATAACAACTGGAGTAGCGCCGCTCATTGTGGATAACATTTAGAGTCTCTTTAGCCGTACGGGCCAGGACACCCTTCCGGCAGAGGCACAGGCGTTGTACGGCAGCAAAGAGCGAGTTCGGATGCTTGCTCATCTCGAGAAGCCTACAGCACGCCCAACGTAGAGAACGTAAAGTCCAAAAGACACGAAGTCAAAAGGAATCGACCCGCATTGAAATGTCTATGGATGTATGCTTCGGGTAGAAACGTTCCAGAAGGAGGACAGGCGAAGAGAGACGTGGGATGAAGGGCGAGGAACAACAAAGCCCATCCGACCGACTCGTCACCGAAAAAGTCATCCCATGGGCCTGCAAGCCTTCTAACAGGAATCTGTACGGAGTCATCTCACATACTTCCACGTCTTATGTACCTAGGTGTGGGCAATATATCTACATCTATATGCCTATACATATCTATAGCCCGTCCCTGACACAATGCGGCTCCTCGCCGGGGGGGCTGGAATACCGGCAGCGGTGCCGGGGACGTCTGCTGTCCCTAGGATTGGCTCGGAATTGCAACCGATAGACGGGACCCGCAGCCACGGAAATGAGTGTCGGAAATTTTTCCTAACGGTTATACCGGGTTATCGAAGGCAGAGTGCTACAGATGCGGCTGGCTACGTAGGCAATTGCGTCGCTCTCATTTGTCCAGACGCTCCTTAAACGCATCGCTCACCTGTCGCTTTGCCTTTGCTGTCATCAGGATGGACATGGTGGACAGAGTGGACACCGGTAAGTTTGTAGGGTTGGCAAGGGGAGCGCGCCCGACAGGTCGCACGCACACCAAAGCATAAATATATCGTCAGAAAACAAACTGGGAAGAAAAAAGAAGACGATAGACGGAAGAGAGAAACCGAGAGGGGCCTGGCCGGTGTGGAGATGAAGGACTCCGTACTCGGGGGTCCCCTGCTTCGCCACATCCCCTCTGCCCACGCTCCCAGAGTTGAATGACGTGTACGGGTGAGTCTATAAGGCAACCTGCCTGACTCCCGATAACGTACTCCTAAGCACGCGCCCACGACAGCCACGCACTCTTCTTCTCCCATCCCCCCATCCCCCCATCCCCTCTCCTTTTTCTCTGTCTCGTCGGGGGAGAAAGCCACCGGCCCCACAACTCGCCTTCGTTGCCACCGCGGCCTTGGCCACCCGGCTTAGCGTCGATACGATGCTAGCGTTCAACGCCGGCGCCAACGGCAGCGCCGGTACCGACACCAACGCCAACGCCAATGCCGACGCTAACAGATCCTCACTACCGCCACCGCTACCTTGTCCCCTTCCCCTCTCCCCAAACCTGCTCGCAGAAGATAACCACTTTTCTAAAATTATTTTTGACTTTCTAGACACCCTTTGTGCCTACTACTAGTCACCAACTGCCTGGGTACCTACTACTTAGTACTTCCTATGAATATGCGCCCACCAATAAGCGGCCTAGGTCGAAGTAGGCACAACCATGGCGACAGAGGGGGGGGGGGGGATGCCGAAATGCCGCAGGAAGTCCGGCGGGGAGGCAGTTCTTTTCTGCCTGCTTTACCCGGGCGCAGGAAGGGGAGCGCGTGTGGAGACACCGACGCGGGTATGCGCGCATGGGCCTAGAATGAGGGAGACGGGCAACAGACAACCTGAGAGAGAGAGAGAGAGAGAAGAGGAACGAAGAGGGAGCGAGAGACAATTGCATCGTCCTACGCCCAGGCTGTTGACACGTGGGAGGCAGAAAGTACCCTATCCACACAAGCCTCTGGTAGGTTAGGTACCTAAGCACCTCCCTACATTAGGTACTATACACCTATACACACCTACTACAGGTACCTAGGCTATGTACCTGTACACTACTCGTATCTACGCCTGCCTGCCCGCCCGCCCGCCTCCACACGGTGGACGGGCAGAATGTACCCGACGCTAGCCTCGCCCATGCTCGTGCCTAACGCGCCCGAGAGGACCCTGGCTAAACCCTCGCTCAGCTCTCGAGATACAGCCAGGGTCGCCTCGAGGCTGCGTACGCCTCCGCGGGCACCCCCATAGGCACGGGGACCACGCCTTCGAACGTAGCCGCCAGATCCTTCCCACTTGTGGTGGGCGCGCGAACGGGGACTACGGCCGTGGCGTCAGAGTCCCGCGGTTAGTCAGGGCCGCGCAAACCTTTTTCGTGGATCTTGCGGGACGAGAGAGAGAGGGGGGGGGGGCAAGGGGGAGTTCCGGGTCCGTAGTGAAATGTATGCTTTCGGAGGCGCTCTAAGACGCAGAGGGATCTGGAATGAGAGGGTATGGTGGTAGCAGGAGAGAAAAGAACAGATCGCGCGCTTACCGAGAACGCCGCACTCCCAGTTGCGGCATGTGAGCTTCGGGTTGCCGGTGCCCCTCTCCTTCGTCAGGCGGCCCCTAGACGGACATTCCACGTTAGCCAGGAGATCCTGTCCTTGTCTCTATTTCGGCAACTCCCCCCCATCTCGACCCGATATATGCCTCGAGGGAGAGAGAGGGTAGTTAGGTTTGGGGGGCGGGATGGACGTGCTCACCAGGCGCTCTCTGACAAGTTCGCGCTCCCGACGTACGCGTAGGCGCCCCCGGCCGACCTCTCTTCTCCCGATGATGACGAGGACGGAGAAGTGGTAGGGGAGGGGCGCACTAGCATGAGTTTATTGTGCATCAGGAGACCAGGCCGGGTGCTCTGACAGTCGCGGACCAGCGCCCGGGGAAATGTCGCCGCGTCCCACCATTTGGACTGGGTGCAGATCGTGCGGCCGCCCTAGAGAGAAAGCCGATCGCTTCTGGTTAGCCTCCCCTGTCTCATCCTTCTGCTCCCCTGGTGTCTCCGTGTATTGACAAAAGTAAACAGCTGCGCGCGCACTCACGTTCTCCCCTAGACGACTCCGCACCACGGTGTCCCGGGACGGGAAATAGATCCGGAATCTGCTTTCGAGGTCTGGCTCCCGCCCCGTCGGCTCCGGCGCCTTGCGCTTTGCGCCCTTCGAGGCCCTCATCCCGTACTCCTTGAGGCCATCATCGCCTGCGTTTGTTGATCAGCGGAGTGTGTGTGGACGAGAGGAGGGAGAAGAGAGTGGACCGCACCTTGAGCAGCAAAATAAATGGCCGTGAGGAATTCCCTGTTCAGTGAACCCAATGAGGAGGTTACGAAGTCGACCTCGATGTCCTTGTCGGTGTTGAGACCGAGCGACGCTACGGCTCGGCCTAGCCCGCAGTATCCTATAGAGTGTGCTTAGCGGGAGAAAATAGCTGGAATTATAGCATAGGAGGCTCACCCGTGCGCTGCCACTTGTCACCGACATGGGACGTTCCGCTGCGCGTGCGTTAGTGGGGATATCGGAAAACCATGTAGGTGATAATTTCGTCGCAGGCTTACATGGTGTGGATAAATCTATAGCGGTCCGTCTCCGAAAAGTCGTAGTTAGCGAGGCTGGCCACCAATTTCTCGTTCAAGCCTTGGGCGCGGAGGAAGTAGCAAAGCTCTTCGCCGAATTCATTGAGATTATTAATGGCACGCGATTCAGCATCTTCGATCCGGGGCAGGTCCACGAGGAAGACCATGTTCTCCAGGCTGCCCGTTTCTCCCCACTACGTTTACGGGTTAGCGGTCGAATCAGGCCCGCGGTTGCGCGAGACAGCGGAGCGGGAAGACTCGCAGGCTTCGCGCGCGTGGTACGGGAGAGTCGTGTGCGATGGTTAGGTGTCGCTTCGGGCAGACTTACATCGAAAGGAACTAGATTCCCGCTCGGCACGACTATCCGCAGATATCCGGGGTACTTCAGCAATTGCAGCTTCGAATGCATGTTTCCGGCTGGCATCATGGGTGGAAAACAGAACCTGATGCGGGAAGCGGGCACATTGGCCTTCATCTCCTCCTGCTGCACCTCGCACAATTTAGATTAGCTTGTCGAATACCCGAGGAACCGGTGGTTGATGCAAGCTCGTACCTGCGCCTCGCTGGAAGCGAAAGCGATGCAGACTATCCTAGTCTTGGTAATGTCGATCTTGGAGAGCATCCATTCCTCATCCCACTGGAACGAACTGAGGACAGCGAGCTCGAGCTCGTCCTTCTGCAGCACCTCCTCGATCTTGATATCGTCTTCGCGAGGAAATCCGGCCGCCCATGTCTTCTTCACCACGCCCTTCGGGAACGGGAGTCTGCGGGGGTTGCTCTCGGCCGTCGAGTCGATCCGAGCTTCGGTGTCGAGCTTAGGTCTCTGTCGGCGATCCTGGTCGCCCGCGTCGGATTCTGAGGCTTTCCGCTTTCGGAGTCTGGCCAATCGCTCCTCTTCCATTTTCTTCCTGTCAAGCCCCAAAGTCGCAAACGTGTTTACAGCCGTCGTTGACGTGCACTGCTGCATAGGCTTCGGCACATCCTTCGGCGTGGCGTCTCTCAACGACGGCCGAGTAGGCTGGCTAGAGGCCCCTCGTACAATCGGAGGATACTTGGGCCCTTTGTCTAAATCATCGTCGTCGTCGTCGTCAGAGCCGATTTCAATAGGCTTCTCGGACGAGTGGCCGCCAGACTCTTGCAATGACAGAGCTATGGCGTACCGTAGAGCGGCGTCCTCATCGCCATCGAATACATCGGACCCGTCCATGTGGGGATACAGTATGGTCGGAAGCCCTTAGAAAGGTATACGTGGTTTCGCAAGGAAATGTTGAGTCTCATTTCTGCTCTAGAAAGGTGAGGGGAGTTGCGGAAGTACGTGAGCTACGTGTAAAACGCGTATCGGAGAACACGATCCGTCCACGAGCTCACGTGAGTCCTAAGACTGGATCCCGGAGGATAGCCATGGCGGCGGTGACGTGATGGAAGTCGGCATTGCGGAATTAAGAATTTCCGTATTTGGTATTGAATAATTACACCTAGGTAGCCGAGATACAACGGGCACCGTTACCAAAGATTTCGGTCTATGGCTGCACCCCTCGTAGTATAAACACACCTCCCATGACACATAACCTCAACAATGCAGCCAGCACTGAGTGAACAGACTGTAATAGATCAGGCATCAACATTGCTCCTTGCGATATCGCCAAGTTCAAAGACAAAGGTTTGATGATATATGGAGACCCTGGAGGGTCCGGTATATTGGTAGTTGTGCCCAAGGCTCGAGGAAAGCTGTGAGACCTAGAGCTAACTATATCATCAAAAATTTTTTTTTTTTATGTTTTCGTCTTTTTTTGGGCGGGGGGTGAACTCGTCGTAGCGAACCCGAACGGGCGTGCTGACATTATCCTCTTTTCAAATCATGCTTGGACCCTCGAGCCATAATCTCGTTACTAGCACGAGGCAAGATCGTCCCAACTCCACCCAACACTTCGTTCATACCGGGGATTCCCCATATCGCCTTGAACACCATATCTGATCCCGCGCCGTCTAGAATCCGAATCCCTAGATCCGGTGCCAATTCCGGTGAGGCCCAGCGGCTCCGTAACACCAACCCGCGGATCGCCCCGTGATGAGACCAGATTGCTAGGAAGTAAAAGACTCAGATGCCAACCCCTGAACTGCCGCCCGACCCCCAACCGAACGAGATCCGGGCCCCGTATGCCATAATACATTGTCAAAAGAAATTAAGAGACAGGAATGCGATCCCTACGATATCTTCCCCGCAAATTGGGTAGATTTTCTGAAATGCATGATCATGAGTATTCATGACCGTCATCGCTCGACGGATTCCGCCGCCCTGGAAAGGGACGTCTTGAAAAGGGCGCCGAATATAGAAAGGAAATGTGACGAGTAGTCGCAGAGTCGAGGCCAACGAGAGGAATCTCGTCCTTCCCTGAACGCCCGCAACACCGCGCCGCGTCTTGAAACCGACAAAGGAAACGATATTTGAAGTGCTTAACTGAGTGTCAAGGATGGAGTTGAGACATCCATCTTCAGGATCCGACGGAGGCCATCCTCCATCATAAGCAATTGCTCCGACCGGTAAGAAGTTAGTTGCGCGTGCACCTCTGAGTTGGATGGCTGGCTACCCGGCGCATTGGCCGTCAGGACCGACGCCGGGAATACGCCGCGGGGGAGACGAGCCTGTGGGCTCTGATGCTGAGTGGCCTGCCGCTGGTGAGGTTTTGGGTGGGTGTGACGCTGAGGAGATGTTCGAGTCACAGGCTTTGATGGGGTAGATTCTGGTTCTAGCTGCTCCTCGTGGCTGAGCCGACCGGTAGTTAAATAACGTTTTAGAGCTTCCGAGGAGGGATCCGATCTTAAGACCGGAGGTGCGACGGGTGTGGTCTGCGTAGAATTCTGATTCGACCGAGCTGCTCGTAAGCGCTCTTGAAATGGAGTGGAGAAAGCGGGGCCAACTGGCCGACCCGGGTTGCCATCTAGCTCGTCAGGGGATATACCGAGGGCAGCCGGGCGTTTGGGATAGTTTGAACGTCGAGCCTGGTTCGTCGTCGTCGTCGTCGTCGTCTTCTTAGGAAACGTAGCGCACTCCTTGACTAGATCGCGGGGAGGCGATAGGGGGCTGAGATCTAGCCTATTGACTTGACCATAACTAGCCCTGCGTGTCCCGGCCTTCTCGGCTCGGTCGGCGCGGAAGAAGAACTCCAAGGGAGACTCGTCAGTTCTCGGGATGAACGGGGGACTGGAAGGGCCAGAATCTGTGGTAGCCGAGGAATATTCCTGCTCTGGGCTGGACGCGGTCTTCGCTCCAGAATCGGGATCGGACCTGGCGAGGAAGCTAGGGATCGGGAGCGCCGAGGGGGCAGGCGACGCGTGGAACGAGGAGCCGGCAAATATCGGGGCGGCGTCCGCCTTGGACGGCGGAGGTGGACTTTCTTGATCAGGCTTCTCCTGATCTGTCAGCGCAGACGCCGTCTTGGTACAAGGGTGGCCGCTGCTCCTCTGTCCTTTTTTCTGCGTCGAACAAGCGCGCGCCGACGGGGACGCGCCTTGACCCTTCTGCGGTGTGGTGGGGTGACTGGAGCGACCGTGTTTGTATCTAGGAACGTCATTCTCCGAAGCGTAGGCCTTCTGCTGGGGGACGCCGCGGTTCCGACCGCCTTGGCGACGGCCGCTCGGGGACTGTTTTAGCTGCGACGTCTGTTGCATGCTGGTGATGCATGAATCCTGCGGGAGGGAGGTAGATGGGCCGAAGGGAAGCTCTGAGGCTGTAGAGAAGGTTGGAGGATGATAGCGTCGATACGGGACGGGTACCCAGCGAGATCAAAGAGAGAAGTTGATACGGCGGCGTAATGCGGGGCGAGGACAACCGGGACGAGATGAAAGAGACGGGATCAGAAGGAGAGCGGAATGGCAATCGCTGTCTCCCTTGGCAGGGTTAATAAGCGGTAGCTGTCTCCGTGAAGGGTCGACGGTGAAGGAGGATAGAAGATGCTGGTTTGGAAGGGGGGAGATAAAAAATAAGATGGGTAGGTATTGAAGGATTCCGGTCGCTCGACATATTTGTTGATTGTTATGAGGAGAAATGGGCTGGAATTGAATGATCGAGGCAGTCGAGCGGAAAGCCGGGGTTGTTGTACAGGAAATGGCGGGCGCCACTTTTCAGCGCCTGGCAAATGACAAATGGGTCACTGTTGCTTTATTGGGTCTGGCGCAAAATGCGTGGCTGTGCGTGCGTACCTGATCGGGGCCCTGGTCGGGTACACACTACGTACATGGCCTCTCCACGCTCACCTGACGGTACCGCTACCCTCATAACGTTAGGTACCCAGGCATTTTCCCATCCAATTGGGGCCAACTTCGGGGCAGAGGCCATCTGACCAAAGTCGATGGAGTCGATGGGAGCCTCATTCCGATTCGAGCCGGAGCCCGTGGTCTACAAGTTGCTGGCCGATCGCGAAACGGCGGTAAAATGGTAGCACGGGGTGAGGTACTTGAGGATTGCCGTCCCTTGCTATCCTCTATCCTCCTCCCTTTGTCCCTCAATGCTTTCTCTCTCTCTCTCTCTCTCTCTCTCTCTCTCTCTCTCTCTCTCTCTCCCTCTCTCTCCACCCCGGCAAATGCATTTGTCGACATCCATTAGTTACGGCTACCTACCTGGGTAGGTACATATTTATGCCTTTGTCTATGTGTAGTCCCCCTAGAGAAAGGAGGGTTGGAGGGGGTGTTGAGGTTGAATTGATCACCTCTCTGACACCCACGTTGCACATATATTGGGTAGCGGGGTGGTAATATAAGGCACTAGTGCAGTTCCGCGTACAAAGGGACCTACCAATGTACGCAGGTAAGCTCAGGAGGTACCTGCCTAAAGTAGGACCCAACGTCCAGATGGTATGTACCTTGGCACCTGAGATGGGAATTCTTCGATTGTGTGATCAATACGCCTACGGGGGAGATCTACTGATCGGGTACCTGTGGCACAGTGTTTTTATCAACGAAAGCCAAGTCCTTCCGATGTATATACACAACCACAGCCAGTACTTTGCCAGACCCCGCATAGCAAAAAGGAATTATGTACGGCCAGAGGGGCAACTGCAAGTCCGCGTTGTTGTTCGAGCCGGCGTTTACCTTCCACACATGCTTCGTCCGACAGACAAAACAACCTTGGAGGCTACCTGCTAATAATCGGAGCCTGCAGCACCCGATAATCCTAGAACGACCCGTGGGAGCCTCTCCCCTTCACCGATGCTGCAACTCCCGTCTGCTCACCTCCGAGTGCCCGACCCTACCGCACATTAATCCCGACTGATCCGTCGCCTACCGTCGTCCCCCTCTAGTCGCCGACCAAAGCCAGCCACCGTAACGAGCTTGATTTGCATATCGAAGCCCTGCCCGCAGGTGCCGCTCCGAAGGAGATTCACCGACATGGCGGACGTCGATATGACAGACGCACCTAACGCGGCTGCCTCCGCTGTCGTCAAGAAAGAACGAAAGGGCGGCGAGGTCGATAGCAAGAATGATGGCAAGAAACGCTTCGAGGTCAAGAAGGTAGTGGAGGGCCCCCCCGTGAGCTCGTATGCTTACGCTGACCTTTGGTTGGGGTCTAGTGGAATGCCGTTGCCCTATGGGCGTGGGACATTGTCGTCGATAACTGCGCGATTTGCAGAAATCATATCATGGACCTCTGCATCGAGTGTCAAGCGAACCAGGCTTCTGCGGCTAGCGAGGAATGCACCGTGGCCTGGGGGATATGCAATGTGAGCCGGCGCCCTTACCGCGCTTCAGGTTCAGAGACATCCAAGCTGATTACCTCCCAGCATGCCTTCCATTTCCATTGCATCTCTAGATGGCTCAAGGCCCGACAAGTCTGTCCTCTAGACAACCGGGACTGGGAATTCCAGAAATATGGCCGTTAGAAGGGAAGGACGCGTACAACTGCCGCTCCGGGGGAGACGGACGGGAACTCTGGCGCATGCGTACCCGCGACCGTTAGTGGCTCGCCCGTACCGCTGCCTAGAGCTCACGGGAGCGGATCCTTATGTCACAGATGCCGAGCATGTTTATGGTAGCAGTGTAGAATCGAGTGTATTCTAGGGGTCGATGTATTTCATCTCTAGAGTTCGTCGCCGTCCCTTCACCCGGTACCGATAGCCACACATGCATCTCTAATCGCGCCAAGGCGAGAGCCTGAACAAGATTCTTTATTTTGCAAAAAGCTTCTCGTCGATCACTATGTTCTGTTGCACACTTGCAATCGCTGGCGCCCCCCCAACCGGAAGCCACTTGACGGGGTGTCTATTGAAGAAGGGCCATGGGGGAACGACCGAGATGAAGGCGAGCGCCGTGCCGCCGAGGCCGATCTTCAGCGCTAGAGCGATATCTTGGAGGAAGAAGCCGGTGAGGAAGGACACGCCCTATTTGACAGTAGCGCAGTTAGTAGGTATGACACGGTTGAGTGAGACCAAGGTGGGATGGTGAGAGTCAGACTGGCGTACCCCGACGACCACGAGAATGGCGGTAGCTAAGGCCTCGGCTAGCTTCTGTCCTTCGAAGTCCTAGAGATGAAATCCAGTCAACGGCTACGTCCAGCGGTTTGCGGAAAGGGTATACACGGCAGCGGCAGAGCGAGAGGGAGCGGGCACTCGTCACACACAATTTGACCCTCCACCAGATCCCTCACTTGGTCCAACAGTTGGTCCGCCATCTTCGACTGGCCGCTTGCTGTATGCTTCCCCTGGGCCCGGAAAATATGGATAGCTTGGGGCGAGGGTCGGTTGACGGCCGGTTGGCAGACGTCGATAGAGGGCCGGGGGTCAACTAGGGGAATGCAGATATATCGGAAGGTGTGTGGTCGTGGGCGGGTTGGTCACACACTTGAGGTGGCCCTCGAGTTTGGTAGTTCTGTCCTTTAGTGCACCTGGCCAGAAGTTACCTCCAATCGCGACGGTTCAGGGACGTGGTACCTTGAAGAAAATTGGTAGCCAATCAGGGCTAGGGACAGCGGAAGAAATCAAATCAACCTGGAGGTATGCAGTACCTCGCGAATGTACGTAATGTACCTAAGGTGCCCTTCCATGGGCGCTAAGAAGGCATGTATATGGGTACAAAGAAAATGGGTCGCACTACTGCGAGGTAGTACGTCACGCACCTAAAGCAATGCGGGTGCTTCTTACTTAGTCAGCCCTACTTGATCTGCTTACCGCATCGGGATAAGCACGTAGAATGACTCGTCGGACATAGCTCTGCAGGACCGAGGCATTCCAGGTCAGAATAGGATGCTCTCGTCCGTGTCGAGGGAGAGAGGGGGGAGAGATTTTGATATGTACATGCTACGAGATACAAGTACCTAGTCCCGACCTAGGGGTTGCGAGGGGGTGCTGGGTGGGAACCCCTAGATGAAATTCAAAAATGACAATACATTAAAAGTACTATGTAGCCCGAGGTACGAGTCGTACAACTGTGGGGTGAGTCTCAGCCTGTGGACAGGTGCAATGGGGGGAGATGGTGCCTCGTGTTTCCTCGGGGAGTGGTAAACGGCAATGTGGCAGGGCGCTGGCGGTAACGATTAGCCATGTGGAAGGCTAAACAGCCATGAAGAAAATGAAACCAACTGGGTTATGAGGTAGGCGTTCATCTACTTATCTACCCGCAAGTAATAAGGGTGTGCCAATAGACAGCGGTGCGAATGCTGCTGCTGGAACTGGCTGAGCGTCTAGCATCTGATAGTATCTTTTAAGCGGCTCTCTTAGGCGGCCTCTGGTATAATAGGTACCTAACAGGACACCTAGGCTTTCCCTTTGTAGGGAACGTTACAGTGAATACCACGCTACTGTATCCCCGTCTTTTTTTTTACCTTCCACAGGGAAATCGCCCCCTCGTGACTGGCTGCTGCTCCAATCGGCTCCTTGACGCCACTAACATCAAATGCAATCGAGCTAATGTTTTTTGTCTCTTTTTTTTTTCTCTCTAACTAATGAAAAAAGAAGGCCCGGTTAGACGCTCAAGAACGAGACCAAAAAACCCTCCCTCATCTTGACCTCTCCCCATCTTTACTATTCTTTCATCTCTACAAACCTTTTCTCCCTCTTCCTATACGCCCCAAGTCATAACCAACTCCCACTTGCTTCGTGGACTAAACATAAGACCTGGATTTCTAGGCACCCCAACCTATCGCGATTCCTGCGAGGCCTCCGACTCGGCTTTGGATCGACCCAGACTGTATCCTGTTCACTGAAGTTTGATCGCTCCATCCAGGCGTTGGCTGCCAATTGCTAACAACGACGACAACGATACTGTCCACCATCTCAATTCCCAGGGAGCTCGACCGCATACTGCCCCTATCGCCACGCTGACTCCCGCTACCGCTTTGACACGAATTGAGGAAACCTGCTTAGGCCGTTAAAAGCAAGCCGACGCGACACGGTTAATACCCCCTGGGAGAAAACGAGTTGCGCCATTTCTTCCAGCACGCTGAGCTCTCTCTTGCGGTATATACCGCCGTTATTCCGAAAACCACCAAATTGGCGGGCATCAACAGCAACCGGTTCTCCTTCTCCCGACCGCTTCTCGGCCCCTTCTGTTGGGTCTACAGCGGTGTCAACAAGAAGCCGCCATAACTTGATTGTTGGCCCTGCTGGTTCGCCAGAGAGAGCCTTCACGCACTCAACCGATTTTGCGCGCATCGATCTTCTTCTTTCGGACGTCAGCCGTTGTACTTGTCTCCAGCACTGGCCTGCGCCCCACGCAGAGAGGTCACTTTTGCAGTCGGCGTGCTGCCACGCCCACTGCAAATATCTGATGCCTGTAGACTGAGGACATCCCCCAGTATGTACGCCTTCCCATAGACAGCTTGCGGAAGGCTATCCTCGACCAGAGCATAGCACCCTTGGCAATCGACGCGTCAATCCGTAAAGAGCGATCCTCCGACCCGGGTTTTTAGATATACTTGAAAAATCCTAACCAAGATGTCTGACCATGAGGAAACCAGCTCGGGCCCAGGTTTCGATACGCCGGTGCCAGAGCTTGACGACCACCGTCACCAAGTTTCGTCTCCTCAGAGGGGTGATCATCCTCGCCGTGGTACCGCTGACACTCTGTATGGGTCCCGACAACACCTTCAGCCTGAGGTCCCCTATACGCCAGCCGATGTCAAAGTTCGAGATTTCGAGGAGGCAGTTCTTGATGATGAGGACGGCAACATTTCGCCAATGGCTACCCACAGCCGAAGGCCCACTTTCAACTCTACAAGTGAGCAGCAGCGTGCCGTATCCCCTCCTAACTCGGTGAAGGCCTTCGCAGAAGCTCGCCGCCGCGAGCGTGCTCTCTCGACCACGGACGCTCGCGCCCAGAGACAGGAGGAGGGCGATACACTCCGCCGCAGCGGTTCCCGGAGCAGTCGCCGGAGTCACGCGAGCCATCGCTCTGGCCATAGTAAGGCAGCCACATCCACAGCTGACGACGGAGCAAGCCTGGCTACGAACAAGACTGCGGAAGAAGACGTATGCTTCCCTATGCAGGACGAGCATAATAGGAATCAGCTGCACATCGACTTCGACTACCTTGAGAACTTCATCGCATCTGAGAATGCGGCACGAAAGGAGAGTGCTGCCGGACAGGGCGCGGTTCGAGTATTTCCCACCTTGAGGCCAGATACTGCCACTCAACCCGCACCAATGATTACCGTTGACGGTGACTTTCTCAACGCGCCCTCCACTGCTTCGGAGGCTGGCGACGAGAAGGCGGACGAGATGGCCCACGCAGTGCCCAAACCAGCCGAAAAAGAGCATTTCGACCCCAACCGCTTTAGCTTCTTTTCCTCGGCGTGGGAGTCCACCATCCATGCTGCCGAATTTGGGGATCTCGTCCTCCCCGGTGAGGATGTACGCGGTCTTTTCACGTTTCCTCGCGACGAGCCCGACGGGGTCTGGTGGTTGAACGTTCATTCGCCAACCGAGGAGGAAGTTCGCACTCTATGCAAGGCTTTCGGAGTGCATCCCTTGACGATCGAAGATATCACGACGCAAGAGGCCCGCGAGAAGATCGAAATCTTTCCCTCGTACTACTTCGCCTCCTTCCGGTCCTTCAGTGTGGTGCAGGATGACGACGGCCCCGACTACGAACCGTACAATATCTACGTTGTCGTATTCCGCGAGGGCACTCTCAGCTTTAGCTTCCAGCCGAATACCCACGCCTCCCAAGTTCGGAAGAGAATCTCTAGCCTGAAGGAGTACGTTTCCCTCAGCAGCGACTGGATCTGTTACGCGTTGATGTAAGTCCAAATCACCGCCCCCTCCCGACTATGGATGAATCCGTACTGACAGGGCCCTCAGCGATAACATCGTCGATTCATTCGCACCTGCTATCTACAGAATCGAGCTTCTCACTGAGCAGATCGAAGATTCGGTCTTTACCGCCCGGGCCGATGATATGAACCTATTCCTTCGCAAGATCGGCGGCGTCCGCAAGAACACGCTGGGGCTCATGCGTGTCCTCGGCGGCAAGGCTGATATCCTCAGGGGCTTCACCAAACGATGCAACGAAAACTATAAGGTCACCCCGCGGATGGATATAGGAATGTATCTCGGCGACATTCAAGATCACGTCGTGACCATGATGACCAACTTGACCCACTTTGAGAAGATCCTGTCTCGTGCCCACAGCAACTATCTGGCCCAGTTGACCATCGACAGCATATCCCAAGGAACCAAAACGAACGAGGGACTCAGCAAGATCACCTTCCTGGCTACAATCATTGTGCCTCTTAACGTGATCACCGGCCTATTTGGGATGAACGTCAAGGTGCCCTGGATGGATGTCGATAATCACAATGCCTTCTTCGGCATCTTGGCAGGCCTGGTATCTTTCTGTGCTATCTGCTTGTTTTTTGCAAGGCACAACCGCTTTATTTAGGTACTAGATCGGCTGATCCCTTGAGGTGAAAACAATAGAGGATAGACGCGAGGACGGCGGTGATACCCTCGAGATGATGATCTACGGAGTTTACGGCTTGGGGCGATTTTTCCCTTTCTTCCTAACGTCGGAATTATCCATGGCAGAACCTGGCTGTTGGTACACAACTCTCTACCATACCTATACCGACTCGGCCTATGATAGCACAACATAGCCATCACTAATGCTAAATATTTCGCAAAACCCACGATTGGCACTTTCGCTACCTGTTTGCGCGATTGTAGTATAGGCAATGGGAGTGCTGAGGCCACCACACTGACAACCCACATACCATACCCTCACGGACCGAAGAATTTGAGTGTCCTGCCCATTTTGTAATTTAGTAACATACACACGCATATACACATACACACAGGCCCCTACTTTACATAGCAGGAATTTATATATAACTTACAGCGGCCTCTGCGATACGTACCATCTTCACCGTTTAGGCTACGTACGGCTGTCGCCTCATATTCCACGACCATCGCAACGACTTCGCAATGCACTCACCGTTCATTGGCGACGTTGTCTAGCCCATCCTGACTTCGCTCCATCTCCAGTTCTGTCTGAATGGGATCTGGTCAAGCCCCCCCGCCCGTTTCCCCCCCAGCTGTGGTGCCAACACAGCGCATTCAAATCCGATCCCTAGCTCCACACCGGTCAACTCTAAAAAAGCCCAGACGTAGATCTTGTGAAAACATCCCGTCTCCGCGGAATAAGCTTCTTCTTACCGCCTTTTTATTTCCTTTCCCGTCTTCATTTCTTCCCACCCTAGGTAATTCCTCGATGCCTTCCCATCTTCGACGATGATGAACAACATGCCCACGTACCTACCGGCGCCGCCGACGCTGGAGGGGATAGAGAACCTCGAAGACTGGAAGTCGAGCGTGCTGGACCACCTGCGGCTGCACAAGCTGCAGCGGTTCGTGGAGGAGCACGTGCCGGTGCCGGCGAAGGGATCGTTCGAGCGGAGCGTGTTCGAGCACCAGCGGCTGCACGCGAAGATCCTGGTGACGCAGACGCTGGGGGCGGAGGTGAAGAAGGCGCTGCGGCGGGAGCACGGGTGGGATCAGGAGGCGGAGGAGGACCCGAAGGTGGTGTGGGACCTGGTGCTGGCGGCGGTGCCGCGGGTCGGGGACGAGGGGGTGGAGGCGCTGGCGCAGCGGCTGGGGCGGGCGGACGCGCGGCGGCACGCGAGCCTGGGCGAGTTCGCGGACGACTTCGTCGGCGCGCGGCGGCACCTCGCGCTGCTGGGCGTCGAGGTCGGCGACGGGCTGGCGAAGTGGCTGCTGCTGGCGGCGCTGCGGCCCTACGACGCGGCGTGGCACGCGGCGCTGCTGCGCGACCACCACCCGGACCGCGCGAGCTGGGCCGAGCTGGTGGCCGAGGTGGCGGCGCGCGCGCGGCGCGAGGCCGCGGCGGTGAAGCAGGCGCGCGCCGCGGCCGCCGTGGCCGCCAAGCTCGCGCGCCCACCGTCCGCCAAGCCCGACGACCCCCCGCCGACGGCGCCCTTCGACGACCCGACCGTGCTCGACTGCTCCGTCTGCGGCCACGAGCACGAGTCCACCTGGGCCTGGTGCAAGGGCTGCAAGAAGCACCACTCGCAGTATTGGAAGTGCGTCGGGCTCGACGCGGAGGACGAGGAGAGCGTGCTGGACCCGTGAGAGGGAAGGGGGTGGTGCATTACGCGATGGCGGCGCCCGTTTTGGTTGGACGGGGCCTGGCTCGGGGGTCGGATTGTCGTCTGCGGGGAAGCCCCGGTTGGTTACGAGTTGCTACGAAATTGTCGACGGGAGGGGGAGCCCTAGAAGCGAAAACGTGCAGTATAACCTGTGTGATGAGGAAGTGGACCTATGTGGGTGTTATGTCTGTCTATGCCGCCGAAGGGGCGTATAGAGAGTTGGGATATCTCTCTTTAGGTGTTTGTCTTTTTGTCCCCTTGTTGGCGGGTTAACCCAGTTCTTGTTGAGAGCTACATCATACGCTCCCCTCTCACCTATGGCCTGTCGGGGAGATTTCGTCTTATCCTTTGCTGCAAATTAACTTATTTTACTAGGTCGTCTTCCAAGGGTTTCGCTCGTCCGTTGGGACCTCTTGCTTGAAACGTTCAAGGAGGCAATCTGACAGTCGTTGAAGACTGAGTAGAAGATCAATCCCACGTTTGTTTTCACGCCTATTCTCGACACTACTGATGTTACCCACCATCCCCATCGTTGCTCCTCTCCCTGATCTAAATACAGGTAAATACGCAAGGCCGCCTTCTAACACGAAACCTGCATACTATGGAGTAGGCACTGCTATCGCTGTGCTACTTCAGGGGTAAAGGGGGCGAAGAGTCGAGATGAGATGGGTTGACAGGGGCTCAGCAAGGTTACAGGTGATTGGTTGGCGGCCCCCGCATTAGGTAATTCGCCAAGGCACGTACCTCCTGTATCTTCAGATCCATAAATTTCCAATCAACCAAAGTCGATTTCGCTAGAAGCATCTCCAGTTCAAGCACGGAACATTTTGGGACGCTCCCCTCAACACCGCCAGATTTCCTACAGTTGTTGTCACACGCCAGCGGAATACCAATATGTGGCAAGTACTCCGCTATCCCATTCTTGGGCGAGAGAGAGAGAGAGAGGAGGGCGACTGACCGTTTCTTCGAAGCAAGCATATCTTGAATGCCCAGGTAGCGATTCGCTCTCCGTGCTGTACGTCCCCAACATGATCCTCTACCACACGAATCTCCATGAGACATACACGTACGAAGTGGCCACCGACAGTCACCATCGTGGTCACCCTCGCAGCCAACTACCAAAGAGAAGAACCCACCAGCTAACCCTCTCCCCTTGTCGCTCTTCACAGGCCGCAAGTGGTTCGACTGCGCCGACTGCCACCGAGAGCAGGAGTCGCACGAGCTGCTGCAGACGCTCGAGATGACCTTCGCGTGCAAGAAGTGCCGCAAGTGCTTCCGCAAGGACGCGCAGGAGTTCGAGGAGGCCGACGAGTACTGCCCCCACTGTGACAACCACTTCGTCCTCGACGCCGTCGTCCCCAAGCCCGCCCTCGCCGTCGAGGGCGACGACGCCCGCGTCGACAGCCGCATGCTGCGTGACGAACGCGTCAAGAACCCCGAGGCCCGCCGCATCTTTGACATCCAACCCGACGCCGACAAGCTCGGCTAGGCTTCTACATACGCGCGAGACCGGATTGTAGGGGTAGGGCGATAGGCGGGGTGAGGAATGAGAGGAGGAGGCGGCGCAAGACGATTTACGGTTCTGCCGGCGACAATGAATTTCACATGATACCACGGCATTGGAGACACCGATGAAGCACTGATGGAGCACCGGAATGGATGACAATTCACGGGGGGGGGGAGCCGAGAGCTTTACATGCTTAGCGGGCAGGTAGTGTACATGTTACTCCCTAAGTACGACGATGCGACGACGTCGCTTATATGAATATCCCTTTTTCTAGCAGCCCATGAGATCGTCTCTCTTCTTTTCTTTCGCTCTGCGCCTTCATTCGTCGCTCCCGCCTTCCCGCTCTCTCGTCAGGATGGCGGCACTACCGGTTCCCGGCGTCCGGCCCGTCTTCTTCTTGGCGGCCTCTTCCTGCTTCTCCTGCTCGATGTTCTTCACGTAGCTCTCGATATCCTCGACAGGTAATGTCTCTATCAACTTGCCGGGAGCCATGACGGCGATCTCGATGTTCTTGGCGCCGGTCTGCACTACCTCTAGTAGTGACTTGATGGCAAGTCGGATGGTCGCCTCGCGGTCCATATCTTCCTTGTAGTTGCGTTCGAGGAACTCTCGGACCGTCTTGCTAGAACGGCCGATGGCGTTCGCTTTCCTGTACGACGAGATTAGCCCCGACTGTTGTGCCGTAGTCGTCAGATAAGAGGTGGTCCGGGCGGTATCATACCACGCAGAGTAGATGCCGCTCGGTTCGGTCTGGTAGAGCCTCGGGACTTTGCTGCCCTTATCGAAGCCAACGATCATAGTGCTGATGCCGAACGGGCGTACACCACCGCTCTGCGTGTACCGTTGCTGCACGCCCGCGACGTATTTCGTAATGTACTCGATCGATACGGGGTCCTCGACGGTCAGGCGGTGCGACTGTGCCTCGAGCCGCGCTTTGTCGACCAGGATTCGGGCGTCGGCGTTCAGGCCGGCGAAGGCGAGGCAGACGTGGGTGTCGAGCAGGCCGATCTTAGAGGGGGTGATGCGCGTATCCTGCAACTTCATTGCCGACCGCTTCTCGCAGCCGAGCACGACGATATCTGCGCCCTTCACCCCGACAGCGCATGTCCCTAGCACGGCATTAGCTCGCCTCAGTGACCGAGCATGCTAGATCCTTCACTCGTTTACCTCGCTTGACAGCTTCGCCGGCATACTCGACCTGGAAGACGTGTCCATCCGGACTATATGCTACGGGTCAGAGAATTGCATCGGGGCGCCGATGTCGAGTACAGACCTAAACACTACGAGCAGCCAAGGTTAGCAAGCAGGGTGGGCTGCCTTGTGAATCACCCCCACTGAGCGGGCAGAAATCGGGGAACACATACCGGAAAGGGCACGGTCGTATCCTGACGCCATATTTGAGTGATGTAGGAGAAAAAGGGCCGGTGAATGAGGATTGAGGATATGGCGTCTCGAGAGGAGTGTTGGGAGCCGAGGGAGAGCTCGGATGTTGGCAGAGGACTCTGTATGTAGGTATGTAAGGAGGGTTGATCATTGCAGGGCCTCAGCAAGGCTGCCAGAGTTACGAAGCTTCCCTCCGCAAGTAAAGTGATACTTACGTAAGTAAGTACATATGTACCTATCTTATACCAAAAGTGGACACCCGAAGCTCAAGCCGGGTTACATTAAAACGCTAAGTACCTAATCCCTGCAGCATTCCATAACCATATTTTCACCTTCGTTTCTGCATTTTCACCTTCGCTTCTACGTCCCATGGCCGTCATTGCTGCAGTTCTTCCTCTCAGTTGTCTTGGAATCAATCTCCCTGATCGCTCGGGCCTCGAGGAATCCTGATAACTTATCTCGTGCTTCGACAATGGCTATGAACATATTGTCTGCGAGCATGTATTGCACATCAATGCATTACCTAGTAGGTTCGAACGTCAACTCGCAGCCGGCGCCGTCGATGGAATAGATGCATATACAACAAGAGTGGCCGAATACCCTTTCCGGAGCCAGCGATCGACAACTAAAGAAGGGCTACATGCCCGCGAACCGAAAAGTATCGGACGACGTGAAGGGTGGGAGCCGGGAGTATTCTTCGGCGATGTGGGCTGCCGTCCAGCCCTCCTTCAGCGCCCGACTCTGGCCAGCGCCCCGCCCTTGATCGTGTTAAAACTACACAACCCCCGGGCCTTTAGCGCGTAGAAGGCCGCCACGGGCTACAGGGCTAGTAGAGTTCAAGGACCCTAGTGCAAAAGCAGTGCAGTGATCATGGGGTACCTCTGCCGAACCAACGGCAGAAAGCCCTTAGAGCGACCGGTAGGTAGGTCGAGGGCTGCCTCAAGTAAAAGGAGTCCGTGAGACGACTCACATCATGGAGTTCCCGGGCCTCTAGGGGCTCGGGCTCGAGAGTGTCTCTTCGTCGCGAAGTTCTTGTCAATATTGCTTAATTCTGAACGGGTCCCAGCAGGTCCATCTCAGCCGTAGCACGCCCAGGATATCCCCCTCACAAGAGTAAAATACGTTGGAGCGGAGTACCAGGCAGGGTTGGGCAACCCCGATACAGCAGCTTTACGTGAAGTCCAAGAGGAAAATTAAATACAACATTGTGGCAAACTGACCTGACTTGATTTTCTATAAACAGGAGCGCGATGGGACAGCATCTCGATTTCGATATGCCCTACACCAAAGGCGGGGAAGCCGAAGCTCAAGCCACATCAAAGCGTTCGGACACCGCCACATGCTATAGGTGCGTACCCTTACGTAAAATGCACATAACGAGGCCGGTACGTCCATCCAGTACTTCCATTCCGTACCTCCTCCAACGGAGGCATCCAACATCCATCCATCGAGTAACGGGCATCGAGAAGAATGACAACGATCACGGCTCTATTCCGCTTACAACGCCAAATACGGCATGGCTGTAGCTCTCTCTGGATTTGGAGCCTATATATGACCAAAGACATCATTATCTCAGACAGACATACGTACGTTTACCTAGGTATATATCATGACCGACCACCCTTCCACCCACTATCTCCAGGCCCCTTTCCCTCTTGTCGCCTGTGTATCATATGCCGCGATTGCGTTTTCGTCCATCCCATCCAGCCTACCCAAATTTCCGGATCTCTGTCCATTTTCTTTCCCGTAACCACAGATTCATCTTGTCTACCTTGGCTTCCAGTCTTCCCCTGAAGCCAGTACACCAGAGGTGCTCCATCTCACCACCACCAAACCGACGCATTCCGCTATAAAAGTTGCTCACGACCCAGAGCGGCGATGCCAATAGGTCCGGCTGTCCTGTGCTATTGAGGGCGTATTCCAGACTTCGACACACATTTCCGGCGAGGATCCCGATCTGGGCCGGTTGGTATCTCTGAAGGTCTATCCCTGGGGGGAGTTCAGGAGGCATACTAGGATCCACAGAGTTCTCACCACCAGACTCGAAGACAATCTGTAGCAGCGCATACACGCACTGGTGAAATCCGATAAGGACTGCCCAGTAGTACACATGTACTAGCGCCATCAAGGGCGACGGGAATTGATACGCATCGGCGAATGGTACATGCGTACCGCCGTTCATCGTCTCTGCCATCCAATAAGGTGGGACTCTGGACTCGTCAATCCGTTGATGCAACACACCGTACCAAATATCGAATTGTCGCTCGATGTTGACGCAGTTGTTCAGGAGCTCTTTCGCTTTCAAATAGCGAACAGGAGTGGGCTCTAGCAGCGGAATTCGGTCTGTTCGTGAGAATAGCGACGGCAACAGGACGACTATGTCGAGGAGATCATCGAGCGGCGTTCTAGGATGACGCTCCCACGGCACCACTGTCCATTCCGGCGAGCAGAGAAAACTAGGTTGGCGGTTAAGGAGGGCGGCCCAAATCTATCCCGAGAGTGAGCTACTACCGAACGGCGGGGCGAGAATATGCACTTACAGCGTTAGGTCGGTAGACCCGGGCGAAAAAGTGATGCTCTGGGAAAGATTGGTACGCGGTGGGACCTGATTCACGAATGCGGTCGGCCAGCGCGGCAGGGTCATTCCAAGACGCCTCGTTTCTATAAGCAGCCGAAGAATTTTGCTAGAACCCGTTCAGCAACTTAGACACCAGCGGCTCCATTATCGGCATACCTCGTATAGAAACAGACACGATCCTTCTTGACCGTCCCCGGCCGATTCCCTACCCCCTTTTGACGGTAGATGGACGAAGCAATGGGACTTCAAACTGAAGGGCTCCTGGCTGAAGGTTGGACATACATCGAGAGCGCGAAAACCGCCTAGCGATAGTGTCACTTCGTTATTCCCTCGAGATGCTCTATTTCTTGCTTGAACAACGGAACCAAGGTCCGTTTGGAGGGCAATAAATCTGACCCGGTAGGATCCAAGCTTCGACGACAGAGAGATGACATCGGCCCATGCCGGTTGTGGTGGTTGGATCGAGGCCAGCGCTAATTTCTCGGGTTGCCGGCTCTCCTTTTCCCTCGTCCTCTTGCCTCCTTGCTGGTTCCGTGGCGGGTGAGAGGAACACCTCCCCTTGTCATCCGGAGTGCCGACGATGAAGACGGTCTGGTTGGCATTCGCTCGTCAGTCCTTGTCCAACTTCGCAGTTTTAGGGAACTCGAAGCGTGGCATATCAGAGGTAGATAACCGGTTCTCGAGGTATGGCCTGGGAGTCAACTACTCCCTGAACCGATCTGGGACAGCAACGAAGGGCACTAAGCTACTAACCTCCCTTTCGTACCCGCCGCATTCTCGACCAAAATCTGTACACTTCTTACAGAGCGGTCTTGCGTTGTCGCATGCCACCCGCCTAGCTCGGCACGTATTGCACCCTTTGTATTTCCCAGGGACGCCGACCATCTTTAAAGGGGGAGAGCCTGCGAGACGAGTAAGTAGAGGGTACACCGCAAGCAAGGTTGAAATACACCCTGCGTACTTTATATTGGCTGGCTAGTTGGGTTATGGGAAGACAGATCCGTAAGATGCGGATGCTACTATCGGTCCGTGCAACACGTCTGGGAGGTCGTTGACTTATTGAAGGTAGGACTTGAGGCGGGCACGGCGGCATATAAACGATTCAGAGTTCTAGCCCCCGTCAGCCGAAAAGGACCCTGCAAGGATGGCGAAGCACGATTCGGGGTGAATAGCCGTGCGTTATCCTGCATACCACAGCTTCCTTCCAGCACCTTGAAATAGTCCAGAGATCTGAACACACGCAGGGGCAGATCACCGCCAATACGAAGCGACAGGTCTAGCAACGCTATGCAGTCTCTGATCTCGACCGATTATCCCAAGCCCTGATAGGCGCTGCTAAGATGTACTTTCTCGCTCCCGCAGCTCTCGCAACGGGCCTCAGAACCCGTGGGCATGACGAGTACACGCGACAAAATGAAACCGAATACAGCCAAGAAACCCGTCAGCGGGACAGTCCTATTCTGCGGAACATAATTCGTCCTCCTCGCCCAGTCTATCGTTCGTGTAACACAGAGGATGCTCTCAAGCAACCTGTCGCTTGCTGAGGGTGTTAAACATGCGATAGGCCGGGACTGGAGTCCACAGGGCCGCGCCCCGACACGGGGGTACAACTCCCTAAGGTATGCACATGTATACCAGCAGCTGTCCCTCGACGCCCCGTAGGGCTGTGTTGGCAGGGACAGCACCCCGAGGAAATGCTACACTTACGGAGATGCTCAGAATATGCATGTTGCAGACCCGAAGGAGAGGTACCCAAAGTCTTCCTGGAGTGGGTGTGGTGGGTGACAATCGTGAGGAGTGCAATACCGCGCGCCTCCTGAAGCTTGATTCGACAACGCAATATGAAGGCTCTAATTGCATGCCTTCGCATGTCCAAAATCCAATCCATCTGACACCGCTCGAGACCCATCCCTTCGAGGGAATACTACTGAGTGACAAGGATCGCCTCCAAACCAGCCGTCATCCCCACTACGCCACCACAAATCATCAACAATTAGCGAGGGCGCCGATACCACTTCCACCGTTCAGGCATAGACTCGGCTCCGTAGTAGTCGATTTTTAACGGGAATCCTGTTCTCTCAGTTTGACGGGCTTCCCCCCCACGAGATCTCTATCTTGTGGATCACTTATCACAAATACGCTTGACGCGCGGGCTTGACAACGCTGGTGTCTGCCAATAGGCTCGCTTCGGAGCATTTTTCTAAGAATACAGGGAAACAGGCAGCGTTTAGTAGTACTATGCCAACCACTGCTCTCTCTCTCTCTCTCTCTCTCTAAGAGCTGTCGGACATCTAGGTACGGCTCGCCTTACGAGAATTTGCAGCTATTAGTATAGCCAACTGGATATAGTTCAGCTATCGATCTGCAGATATTCCGACCTCCAACCTCCCAGGGCTGTGCGTTTCGGGTCTTCAGATTACTGACGTTGCTGGTAAGTTCGGCTGATTACCATTTCATTACATCTAGTAACATCGCCCATAACACGTGGCGTTAGCCAGATCTGCCTGGTTGTTGGCTCGTCCCGGCGGTACGGTCGAAGCAAGGGGCGTGTAAGAAACCTCATGGAAATCCGAGACCCCTGAGAGAAAAATATTTTGCTACCCGCTATCGACGGGATACAAGCCATGCTGTTAATAATAATATTGGGTGAGATGGCTACTGGAACAGAGTCACCACAGCCGCTAGACTCCCACTTTCTCGCTGATATCGCGATCGTCATCCCCAGGCCGGGGAAATCGACATGCTCCAGCTACCAAGTACTCGTTTACAGTACAAGACACTGTACGTGATATTGGACGGTGTTTATCTTCAACCCTGCCACTTCCAACTCCCTGAAGCCGTCATCAAGTGCTATCGGCACTCATCACGGCGATCACATACCCCGTGGATGTGGGGCACGGATCCGAGTGGTGGGTTTCAGAGTCAGAAGCTAAGCTAGGCTTGCGATCGATGCATACCTAGTTGATATTACCCTCGTGGACTCACTACGGCCATACTTTGCTTCTTCTGGGAGGGAGCTCTCACGCGCGCCGAGCTCGATATAAGTATCTCGAGAATTTCGGCTGCTTCATTCGAAATCCTAACCGCAATGGGAGCATACTAGCCAGCCGTGCCTAGGACTGCATGTACCGGCCACGATATGCATCTGATTCATCTGGATCTCGCGATCCCGGATACCCCCCCCCCCCGCCTTACCCTCAGACCTCCGCTTACTACATTGGATAGGGCGCCCCAGTCTTAGCCGAGTTAACGTGGTGTTCTCAAGTACTAGCAAGGTGCAATATGCACTCGCAGAACGTGGTGGCAACGTTTGTTTATCCTGCGGCATACCCACGGGCCTCTCGGGAAGGGCTTCTAGTCCCCTTGGGGGTCTAAGTATACGAAAGCTCACCAAAGTATTGGGTTCTGTCGATGTGGCTGGTACGACCACGACGAAAGGCCTTGGGCCCCCGCGAGGCATGTGACAGTTAAAGATACCATTTGTCAAAATCGAAAGGAAGAGGCCGTGAGCTCCTCTAGACCCTAGTCGGCACTACCGCACGCAGATGACCACGGTTTGTGGCTAATTCTTTGCTCCCATGTGCCACCTAGAACGCCCAAAGAACGTGAGGAACATTCTCGCGAGACTCGATAGTACTCACCTGCTCGACGAATGGCAACACCTACCCAATCCCGGGAACAAATAATAAAATTACGAGTAACCTCGAGGCAAGAGAAAGGCGCGGACATCAAGGACAAGCTCCAGCGTGTGCGCGTATTCGAGGCTGGGTTTGGAGCGTTTAGGGCGTCGCTTAGACCCTAAGGGTTTCCGGAATATCATGATTTGCCGAAAGCATGCAAATTGCCGCATTACGGAGCAAGGATCAGTTAAGACATGCCCGAGGCGGCGGAATTCTAGCTGCCAAAATTCAATGGCCCCTAGATAAGACGCCAAAACAATAGCCATCGCGGGCTGGCAAACTCGGTAGGCGACGCTTCAAGCGGCGGGCTCCGACAGGAGAACTGGAGGGCGAACCGCGGTCTGGAGCTCGTTGTGATGTTACCTCTACCTGGCCCAGCACTAGGGGGCCCGCCAGGCGTTCTTACTATCAAGTGTTGCCAAAGCGTGGCTGTTCACCAGGGTGAGGCCACAGCTACTATTCGCATAGGGAGATAGTGAGAGCTTGCTTACTCGATATACGTTGGCGAGTGCTAAACGAACGGCACCTCCGACGGGATTCCTTGCGGCAGCCACTCGCACAGCTGCGTAGGACTTTGGGAGTCGGGAAATAAAGCGAGGTGACGTGGTGGGTGTTTTTGCGCTGGCATCGATCCAGAGCAAGCCACGATCAGTCAAAACAGCCACCGCACTGGGCTAGTATGTTTCATACACACACAGGCAGGCGACCAGGCACAGGTTTTCGACCGCACACAGGCATCTCTCGAGGACGTAACCTGGGGGAGGGCGGTGCTGGACAGGACGGACCCGAGGAAAAGACCGGAAACGTTAGGACGGAGACGATGGGCTACGAATCGCTGCTTCGGCAGCGGTAGGCGCGAACTCGCGAGCTGGGCAAGTGTTTCATAATTAGCGAAGGATTCTCGAATGGCGATTTAGCGCCCCATTTCATGACACGGGGGGGCACATGCTAGGCGCCAGTCGAGGTGGTACACAGTCGCGCCGACTCTGACGATGATGGCCAATCCCGTTGGCGTCGTGTCGGAGCCGGGGGCGAGTAGAGGGTTAGGATGCGTGCTCGAGACGAATGCACCACCGGTCGTCCTTCTTATCCTCTCGCCCGTTCTCGCCCACACGCGTCCGGATACCCATACATGCATGCGTACCGATGGACATACATAACCCCTCACATCGCGTTGTCTCTCGCCCTCTCTGCGTGTCTCTTTACCGCCTTCAACTCCCGCCCCAAGTGCCACGCAGAAGCATCAGCACCAAGCGCCAAGCACCGAGCTGACAGGTCTTCCGGTCTAAGCCAACCTACAGTGTACATCACGGGATATCTCACATCGCACAAGCCTAGAGCTGATGCGAATCCTTCCGCGAAAATGATGACGATGACGACGACGGCGACGATGATGCTGATTATGACGGCGGTAGTACAGTGTATTACGCTGAGGAGAAGTTGCCTCAGGGTGCACTAACAATTTTTTACCGCTCATCTCCTCCTCGTGTAACGCGCGTGAGGGAGAGACAAGAGGTTTGTTGTGGTTACTCCAAGTCTACACCACGCCGTAGCCTTTAACGGCTCCGAATCTCTCTCGCTCTGTCTTCGGCCGGTATTGGTATGGCTTCTACTTACTCTTTTTTCTTCTTCATGTTCTTCCTTGTTTTGCCCGTCTACAATGCGTTACCATCTAGGTACCGAGAGCAGCCTGGTTGTCGATGTGTATCTATCCCCTGTCTTTTTGGCGAAGGATACTTGGGTTTTTTTTCTCTCTCTCTCTTCCCTTCCATGTTGTCGAATTATACTCTTCTTACTATTATACGCCCGCTCTGCAAGGGTAAGAAGTTAAGTCCTGTTGTTTCACTCGTGTTCGTGTCCTTGACAATTCCATCAACTCGTGTGCAACTGTACGAAGACATGCATATATACGACATCCAGCCTCCCCCTGCCTCGCCGTATGGCTTGTCAGCAGTTGGAGAGGCCAAGACCTCTCTCTCATCAGAGCATTTTAGTGGATTTGCCTCTTGTGTCATGCCCCGGAGATGCAGCCTCTGGAGAGGGCTCGCTCACCTTCCTAGACACGCATGCGCTTGCATAGAACCCAAGCTTGACCGGTTGAAACCTGATCTCGCCCTCAGCTGTTCCGCCAAGACAATACCTGGGCATTCGAAGCCTCGCTAACCTGCTTCCTCCGCCAGCTTCCTCCGCCACAGTCTCCGTCGG